TCCCATAACTGGGGGGGGAGAAGGGGACTGATTAAAAACAGGAAAGCAATGAAAATTGTTCTGTAACCCCATTGGGGAGGGGGGAGGGCTTTGCTTCTGTTGATGCCAAGGATGAAAGTTACATTTGTACGAATAAGAAATATGAAGCATCTCCAGAGCAGTGGAAGCATTGGCAGGATGCCAGCATGTTGGGACAGATGATCAGTGGTTTAAAGAAAACCAAAACAGATTTTTTGCTTCCAGGATAAATCTGTTTGACAGTTACTCACTGAAGTATAATTCCCTTTGAACTCACTTTAACTGAAGGGTGGGGAGTGGGGGCAGTGTTTGGAATAACATTTCAGGGACTCAGATTGTTTTAAAATCGATTTAAACCCGCCGGGAGATTGCAAATATTTTAAAATCTCAAAACATTTGCAGTGAGAGTTGATCTGAACTTATATTGTGACAAGCCTTCAAAACCTGTAGCCTTGTATTGTGACAAGCCTTCCCCCTCACCCCGACACACACAAACGTGCGTTTTTTTTTAATTGTAGAGTGTTCTTGCCCCTCTCCCCCCAACACACACACATACAATCTATAGGGTGTTCACCAAGTCCTGTTAGCCCCATGTTTTTTTTACACAGTGCATTGACCAAAACTGAAACACATGGAAGAATGATGCTAATTGTAGTTAGAAGTACTTAATTGTATTCAGTACAAGTCTTTAACTATATTCAGACATCCAGAGGATTGATGTGAGTGAGCGCCGTCGTTTTCATAGCAGATAATGATCTGTCGCTGATTGTCTGCAACAGAAAATAAAAATTCATTGTATGCAAAAAACAGCGGGGACTTCGTAAACACACTGTACAGTACCTCCCCCCACACAATGTACAGTATTTCCCCATATTATGTACTGTTGCCTCCTCATATTATTCCCCCCCATCCCAAAAAACATACACACACTCTCTTGAATATTTTTGTGAATGGTTTCCAGGCATGACACGTCAAAAGATTGTTTTCTCCCAAAGCCTAAAAGGAGTTGACAGTAATTGGGGAAACCTTGACCCCCGGCTGTGCTTCCTTTACACTTCATACCACATCTGTTTGTGCTTCTCCTGTCCCAAGACACCGTTAAGCAGCACTTTTCCCGAGAAGCATCCCCCGAGGTGGAGCATTCGGCCTTTTTTGTATCTTTTTGTTATTGGCACCCAAGACCTCCTCCCCCAGCACCCTCCAATTACTGCATTCCCTGAATTCCTCCTCTGAAGGTAAAAGGAAAGACTTGTGACCTTTCAACCCACCCCTTGGCCACATCAATCCAGCTTGCAATTGGGTCTTTTAATATATTTAAACCTGCAGCAGGTTTCCAAATACAGCAGAGAGTCAGTTATCTGCACTAAGTGGGATCAGCCCCATTGCGGATAAGCAGACAGTGCAGGTAATGGATATTATACAAAATACATACAGTGTAAACTAAAATGTTCCATCAGGAGTTATACTGTGAGGATCGAACTAATGTGTGCCATCGCTTCTCATTCTGCCTCACTATATGTACAGTATAAGTGGAGTCTTGTGAGCTTGTGGAGCCCGGTAGCATAGTGGTTAGAGCACTCGCCTTGCAAGAGAGAAAGCCTGGGTTTGATTCCCGGACAGGGCGAAACCTTGGGCAAGTTTCCTTACTCGACACGCCTAATAATAATCCCTCCAAAACCAAAACAATAATAAATTGGTCATTTTCAATCTACGACTGTTTGTGGGACATTGCTGTGCGCAATTGGTTGCCGCGTTCGCCCACAAATATACAGTCAATTCACTTTACAGTGTGTTCTGTGAAGCGCTTTGGGACGTCCTCCCGACGTGAAAAGCGCTATATCAAATGCAAGGATTATTATTATTATTAAAACCGTCGATGGAGTCAGCACTCCACTGTTTGCCCAGTAGAGAGGGCCAGTTGGGAGCGAGCACCAACACAGACATGATGGGGAGAGAGCAGGGAATGGGATTAGAGTGGAGAGCTCCAGTTGGGGAATCTCACGCCACCAAAGTCAATAAGGACAAGGCAAGGAATTGGGAGCTCCAGTGGGGGAGTGAGCACCAGCATGGATACATTCGGGCTGCAAATTTTCTATGATTCTAAGAAAAGCCTGAGAGTTTGTCAGTAGCCCATCCCTCTCTCATGAGGTGTGTGAAAGGTTAGAGGCAAGAGATTTAAAAGGGGGAGAGAGCAACAGGTTCATTCAAAAAAGGGTATCAATCCATTACTGTTTGTGGGATGCTGCTGTGTGCAAACCAACGGTTGCGTTTCGCCCACAAAATACACAGTAATCCACTTTACAATATATTTTGTGAAGGCAAAAATACTACGTGATAAGGCACTATATCTAATGCAAGGATTATTATTGTTATAAGTAGACATATAAAGCAAGAATCTTCATAAAGGTGATGACCAACTGGTTTGGAGGATTGTTGGCAATGACACCAGGAAAACCTCCCTTCCCTTTTCCAATATTGTCACGGGATCTTTAGTGTCCACCTGAATAAGCAAACCCTACTTCAGTTTAATGTCTCATCTGATGGAGAGCTGTTGTGTGCCAGGCTGAATTCCGGTTCTTTCAAGCTGCTTTACTCAGATAATCCATCTCCATCACCTGGCTGATAAAGCAAAGCTCAGGTGTAAATAGCGTAGTCTGACGGTTGATTTAATGTTCTTCCTCCTATTGCGGAACTGCCTTGGAACAGCTGATGTAGACCTGTGTGCTGTTCAGTGCCCGTTGCAGCCTGCTGGTTCCACCGATGGGTTTATCTCTGAAAACATTTTGTTTTTAAAATCAATTGTTTTATGCACACAGTGATGTGCTAACTTTGCAAGATTGATTTCAGAGTAAAACCTTCATTCCCGGCTCACTGACTGTTGTAATAATCTGCATCTATTGCTTGACATTTGCCTTCCTCCTCCTTACTGTACGATACATATCTGCGTGAAAAAACACAATGGCCAAGAAACCAGTGGTATGTGCTATTTTTGTGTCTGTGTGTGCAGGGGTGGGTGTGTGGGTATGTCTGCAGGAATCAGTCTGTCCACGTACACCAAAAGAATTTACTAGAGAGTACCAGAGAACGGGAACAGAGTGACTGAAAGTTTGGCCACAGGTGGCGCCGGGAGGAAGTAAAGCCAGAATAAAAGAGCAGAAGCTGTGGGCTGGAGGAGATTGTACAAGTTTCAGCTGTTCATTACCCTCTGGTGTCTTTCCAAAAGTTTACCTATACACATCTGAACCTGCGCCCCCTTGTGCAACTGCCCTGGCATATCAGAAAGTACTGTGGATTTAGTTTCTCTATCCCGCTAAGCATCTTGTGTAGATCCATGAATATTTTTCTGGATCGATTTTGGATCCTTAGAAAAAGCCGCATTTGAAAAGCTGGCAGGCAAAACACAGCCCAGCGCCCAGAACTTGCCAAAACCCTTCTCAGGTTCTTTGTAGCACAGAGTTTCTTAACACTGCATCTCAACAGCTGAGACCATAAGATGCTATTCCTTGCCCATTTGTCCAGAACAGTCAGTCAGCGGGACAGGCTGGCTCATTACTGCATAGCTCAGATATCTTCATCAATTAGCTCACTGCTTTGAAGTCACTCGGAACCGGGTTGAGAGTATAAGCCCTCGGAGGCAGGAAAGAGTCCCAGTGGTAAGCTGATAGCTACACTTCTCTTTTATTTTTCCCAAGGCCATTAAAATAACACTAATCACATTGAGCGCTGGGCTGTGTTTTGCCTGCCAGCTTTCAAATGCGGCTTTACCCAAGGATCCAAAATCCATCCAGAAAAATATTCATAGAGCTACACAAGATGCTTAGCGGGATCGAGAAAGTAAACCCACAATACTTTCCGATATGCCATGGCAGTAACACATGTGACACTGTGTGGGTGGGTCTGGATCCTAATTTTGTGAGGAGAGCAACAGAAAGGGCTGTACAAAAATGTAGCCACCTGAGCCACTCCACTGCACCATCTCGCTTGTCCCTGTTAAGATTAAAATTCTTCTGCTGATAATGTACCAGCGCTGAGCCAGGTGATGTGGTGGTATGGGGTGCGGTGTCATGCTTGTTGATTGACGGATCGTTTTCCGGGGCTAATAATTCCTTCCAAAAAAATAATAATTTGGTTACTCATTCCACGGCTGTTTGTGGGACACTGCTGTGCACAATAATAATCCTTGCATTTGATATAGCGTTTTTCACGTCTTCTCGACGTCTCAAAGCGCTTCACAGAATAGACTGTAAAGTGAATTGACTGTATATTTGTGGATGAAACACGGCAGCCAATTACGCACAGCAGTGTCCCACAAACAGTCGTGGATTGAAAATGACCAATTTATTACTGTTTTGTTTTGGAGGGATTATTATTAGGCGTGTGGAGTAAGGAAACTTGCCCAGGGTTTTGCCCTGCCTGGAATTGAACCCAGGTGTCTCGCTTGCAAGACGAGTGCTTTAACCACTGAGCTACAGGACTCCACAATCGGCTGCCGTGTTTCGCCCACAAAATACACAACCACTACACTTTACAGTATATTCTGTGAAGGGCTTTGAGAAATCTCAAAGACGTGATAAGGCTTCAAATGCAAGGATTATTTATTATTATGGTGGTGCTTATGTGGTGAGGTGCCATCTTGGTGAATCCAGGTTAGCAATTAGATGGAAATTGTAAATAGGAACTGAACCCTTAATCGCATTAAGATGTTTCTTTGCATTTATATATACAGTAGTTGTTGAGTCCCATTTTATTCCTTTCTTTGTTCAGTTTGCCATTGAGCTCAGTCGAGGCATGTGGTGGTTTGAACTTACAATTATCTGGTGCAGAGGTGAGTGTGCTCCTGACTTGAGCTAGGGTGACACGCGGGCCGTGTCAGCAAGGGCAGGTGGGCAGACAGCCCTGCTCAGGGATCGAGTGGAGATATTGAGCAAAATGTCCTTGTACTTGTGAACCTTCTGTAATTCTCCTGTTTTGTTTCCTTTCAGACCCCAGAGTCCCTTCAGATTTCCCCGCAGGTGAGTGGCTGTAGTCAACATGAATGAATAATAGTGGTACATGTAATGAGAAACCTTAGACCCATACAACACATTTAACTGAAACAGTCCTAGCTGACACTCTAGTGCAGTGCTGATGGAGCGCTACATTGTCAGTGGTGCCACCCTTTAGATGAGACATGAAACTTTGAGTTCCTGTCTACCGGTTCATGTGTAAGTTAAAGATCCTTTGACATTATAAGGAGACAGGAGTTTTTTTTAACTTAAATGGTCATTTCATGTCTGTTTCTGGAACCTTGCTGTACACAGATTTGCTGTCATGTTTGTCTACTAATGAACACTTACTTAATTGTACAGGGTGTTCAAAAAGTCCTGTTACCCCGTGTTTTTTTTCTGCAGAGCACTGACCAACAACTGAAACAACTGGAAGAATGATGATAACTGTAATTCGAAGTACTTAATTGTGTTCCGTACAAATGTTTAATCGTATTTAGACGTCCAGAGGATCGGTGTGTGTGAGCGCCATCATTTTCGTGGCAGATAATAATCTGTCACAAAGTACATCCGTAACATGGATGAAGTGACGAGGAAGTTCAGACATTGTTACACTTGACTCATCTGCAACAGAAAATAAAAATGAGTTGTAAGAAAAAAACAGAGGAGTAACAGGACTTTGTGGACACCCTGTACAGCTATTTGCTGTGAAATGCTTGTGAGATGTTTTGATGTTGAAGGCGCTGTATCAAATGCAGGGATTATTATAAAACCACGGATGGGTTTTGTTTTGGTTGCAGCTACGCAGCTCTGATTGCTGACTGGCCTGTGGTGGTACTGGGAGTTTGCACGGTGCTCATTGTGATATGTGCCCTCTTCGGGATTCTCGTGCTGGACCTGCCCGACTTCTCAGACCCGCTGCTGGTGAGTGCTTGCCTCTTCCCCTGGAAGGAGAGGTGTGAGTGACTGGATCCAACCCACAGATAAAATGACTGTTCTCTCCGCTCAGCAGATTCTGGCTTTCGCTGTGTCCCCTGCCCACCCCACTATCTGCAGTTGGGCCTTAAGCCTTTCTGCCCCCACCCTTTGGAACTCCATCCCACAGTCTCTTTGCCTCGCCCCCTCCTTCAAGGCTCGACTCAAGACCCTCATCTTCGATCATGTTTTCAGTCACCCTCCTACCCCACTCTCCCTGTGCTCCACCCCTGATCCTAAACCCCAGTTTGGGTCCAAATCCTTGACTGTCAAGCGCCTTGGAATGTCCTTGGGATGAAAGGCGCTATACAAATGTAATTTGTTGTTTTTTTCTGTGCTTCCAGCTGAATTCAAGTCTAAAACTCGATTGCTTTCAATAGTAAGGATTAAAAAATAATCCAAAATATAATTGTGAATAGCTTGACCTGTGGGATGAAACTGTAAGGTGTCACTGTGACTCAGTATGGAGGGAGTTACGGGGCACAGCAATAAGTGCTGGGCTCTGTCTTTGTGATTTATCGCATTTCCTCTCGGGGCACTGCACTGTACTGTGATGCCATTCAACGTTATGGCACTTTCATACCAGATGTCAAACTGGCTCATGACACACCAGCGTAGAACTGGGGAAGTGCTGCATTGTCAGAGATGATATCCTTCGGATGAAGCCTAAAACCAAAGACCCCCTTAGGCAGATGTTAAAGATCTTGTGACACTATTGAAAAAGAGAAACTATTTTTTTCTCAGTGTCCGTGCCTTGCAATCCTCCAGACTAATGGAACATCTTCCTTCCCAGAGCTCGGACACACATTTCGAGCAATGGTTCCATCATTTGGAGGTTTGAAGCTTTGAGCAGCAGCTAATAATAATAATAATAATAATCCTTGCATTTGATATAGCGCTTTTCAAGTCAGGAGGACGTCCCAAAGCGCTTCACAGAAAAAAACTCTAAAGTGAATTGACTGTATATTTATGGGCGAACGCGGCAGCCAATTGCGCACAGCAATGTCCCACAAACAGTCGTAGATTGAAAATGACCAATTTATTATTGTATTGGGTTTTGGAGGGATTATTATTAGGCGTGTGGAGTAAGGAAACTTGCCCAAGGTTTCGCTCTGCCTGGAATTGAACTCAGGTCTCTCACTTGCAAAGCGAGTGCTCTAACCACTGAGCTACAGGACTCCACTAACGCCCTAATCCCATTTTATGCTGAACTGTGTAGCCCACCAGCACGTTTTCAGGGGGTTCCTGGTACCTGACATGCACCTAGTGAGGTCTGAGACCCTCGCTTGTCCGATGTGAAATGACCAATGAGTGACGATCCTCCTTGGAGGGAGGTAAGTGGGGTATCTTTGGAGCTGAACTGACTTCAAGGTGACATGTTTGGCATTGGAATGTTGGAATAGAGCCAGCTCTCTGTGACGGTCTCTAGTCCTGTTCCTGAGCCAGGCGGGTCCACAGTATCCCTGGGCACTGCTGATGACAGCTCGGCCCAGCCTGGCTCATCGGCAGGGCTTGGAAGGGCAGACCAGTCACTGGGGGCAGAGAATCCTCCCTCTCAGCCCTTTGGTGACATCATCCGCAGACATGGGGTCAACTTCCACATGTATGCGGATGACACCCAACTCTATCTTTCTGCCTCCACCCTCAACTCCAGGACCACTGCTGTCCTGACAGACTGTCTGTCGCACATCAAGTCCTGGATGAGAGCAAATTTCCTACAGTTGAATGTGAACAAGACTGAGGCCTCCTGATTGGCTCGCGCCAGCGCCTCAGCACCTCAGGTTCTGGCAGCATCAACCTCCATGGTTGCACACTTCAACTCACCAAGTCAGTCAGGAACCTAGGTGTCTTGTTCGACCCTCAACTGTCTTCCCCACATCCAAGCCATGACCCGCTCTGCCTTCCCTCACCTCCATAACAACGCCCGACTCCACCACTATTTCACCCCTCAGGCCGCTGAAACTCTTGTTCACGCCTTCATCACCTCCAGGCTCGGCTATGCAAACGTCTTCCCAACTCCTCCCTCCACAGGCTGCAGATAATCCAGAACTCTGCAGCCTGTGTCCTCTCCCGCACCAAACTCCATAATCCCATCGCCCCCATTCTCGCCCGACTCCATTGGTTCCCTTTTCCTTCAGAGGATCCAGTTCAAGATCCTGGTCCTCACCTACAAAGCCTTCCATGGCCTCGCCCCACCCTACCTCTGTGACCTGCTAACATCCTACCAACCCGCCCGTTCCCTCCGCTCAGCCGGCTCTGGCCTGCTCCACGTCCCCCGACCTACTCGCCCCAACATTGACGGGAAAGCCTTCAGCCACTCTGCCCCCAACCTCTGGAATTCCATCCCTTAATTACTCCGCCTCGCCCCCTCCTTAGCCTCCTTCAAGTCCCGCCTCATAACCTTCCTCTTCGACCATGCCATCGGTCACCCCCCCCTTCCCCTCCCTTCTCACCCCCGACCCCAGCTCAGGTCTGAAATGCTGTACACTGTCCAGGCACTATACAAATGTAATCTTCTTCTTGTTAAGCGTGTGAGCCAAATCCCTAATGGTAGGATGGTCTTAATTGGACAAGCAGTGGGAAAGTTTGCCAGACAATGCTTTCAATTGTAATCTATGCGGCTTTGCCTATTAAAAAAAACACCTGACAGCAAAATACTTCGAGACTTTTCAACGTGATTGAAAAAAAGCAACTTCTTTCTTTCCCGTTTAAGAGGCATTAAATGGAGTAGACTGCCACCTGCAGGGGCCTGTGAGGGCAAAGCGGAGGCATCTGAAGGGACTGGTGTCACGTATCGCCTCCCAGGGAGCAGCTGTAGGGCAGCAGGACCCCAGCTGAGCTGTTGGTTAGATCAGGTTTCTTATACAGGAAAGAGGATGTAGGGGAGGGGGCGGAGGAGTTGGGACACAAGCAACACAAATGGAATCATCCTTTGTCATAATATTCTTCATTTTATTGAACGTTCCTGCACAGAAACGGCCCTGTCGCCGATCAACTCTCAACAGGTGTTTTTTTCCATGTGAGCTACCTGGTCTAATCTCACTCTTCTGCCTGCTCCTTGAACCTTGTATTCTTCCTCTTCATGTATTTTATCTAATTCCTGGGGAGTAGTGGTTAGAGCGCTCGCCTCACAAACGAGAGCAACTCGATTCCTGGGCAGGGTGAAAGCTTAGGCAAATTTCCTTTCTCAACATGCCTTGGTTTATCTAGTAGTAAGTTGGAATCCGGTTCTTAGTCGATTGGCAGATTGCTTTCCAGGGATAATAATCCCTGCATAATAATAATAATAATTTGGTCACTCAATTCACAACTTATTTGTGGGACACTGCTGTGTGCAATTGGCTGCCACGTTTCGCCCACAAAATACACCAGTCAATTCACTTTACAGTATATTCTCTGACATGTCTCGACGATGTGATGAGACACTATATCAAATGCAAGGATCATAATTATTCAAAAAGGAGTTGGATAAGTAAAAAATTAAGGGAGAGAATGGGGTTAATTAGTAAAGGGACAGTATCAGTGGCACAGACTCAGTAGGCAGTACAGCCTGCTTCTTTGCTGAAAGGTTCATGTTAAACATTACCTTGAGTTGGAAGTCAAAAGGCTAGTGAAAAACTTCACTTGGGTTTGCTGCTTACAGGGCTTCGAACCCAGAGGGACGGCCATTGGTCAACGGCTGGTCACTTGGAATAACATGGTGAAGAACACCGGCTACAAAGCCACGCTGGCCAACTACCCTTTCAAATACGCCGAGGAGCAATTCAAGAGGTGAGCAGTGCTGCACTGCGGGAGCGTGCTATTGCCAAGCCCCCCCCACCCCCAGAGCCTAGCTGAGCCCTGTAGCAGAAGGTTGTGGATAAATCAGGGGCTTTGGCACGAGATTCATTTGCTTTTCTCCACGCCGCTTGCTTCTGTTCACAGCCGTGATCCTGTAGCACTAACACCTCAAGTTCCTTACCCCTGTCCAAAGTTTACACAGGAAAGAAGAAGCTATATCTCGGTGGTTTTCATCTTAAAGCTAATACTGGACATGCGTGTACACAGAATATACACAGTGGATATGCACACACTTTTATTTTTAAGATATACATATATATTTTAACTTCTCTGGAACTCATGTACTCCACACTCTTTTGACCTAGCAGTATGTAGGAACCCGATTGCTAGTTGATTATCAGATTGCTTTCCTGGGTAATAATCCCTCAACAGAAAAAACTGATTTTGGTCACTCACTCCATGACTGCATGTGAGGCAGTGCTGTGCCCAATTGGTTGCTGCGTTTCGCCCACAAAATACAGTCAATCCACTTTATGGTATATTCTGGGAAGCGCTTAGTGGCGTCTCAACGACATGAGAAGCTACTATATCAAATGCAAGGATTCTTATTACTATAATACACAGTCGCTATGTACACACTTATTTTTAGATATACATATTTATCTGTTCTCTGGAACATAATCCTGTAGTCCCTCCGATCTGTCCCTTCCCTCGTTCAATATACATGTACATACTCACACAGAGACACTAAATATTCTATATACTCAGGCAGCACACACACACACACATATACATATCCTCACACAGACATATATATACACACACATACACAATCTTTTGAGAGAGAAAGATGTAATTTAACTATGCATTAGATGCTTTGATTTCTCTTAAATAAAAAAATGTTTTGTGTTTTCACCCTAGTCACCGAGAGGACAGATGGTCAGATGATCCTCATGAGAGAGACAAACGCCAGGCTGAGTGGAATTTCCACAAGGATAGCTTCTTCTGCGATGCCCCCAGTAAGTAGTGCTGCTTAGGATCTCACAAACAGTGATGGATTTTGGGGCGTTTTTCTAGCAGAGACCTTTGCAGTATTGGAGTGAGTTGAACGCTGAACAGGCATTCAAGATTGAAGAGGGGTAAATTCAGAACAAATCTGCAGAAACATTACTTTTATTGAGCGAGTAGTAAACTTATAAAACAGGCTCCCGAGGGACAGAGTGGAAGCAGAAAATGTTGTTTGTTTCAAGAACAAATTAGATAGATTTCTGCTAGAAAATAATATCTCAGGATATTATAGTTTGGGACACGACATGTCAAGAGACTGCCAGGAAGGTGGAAGGCAAACTAGATGGACTCGGTCTTCTTTCGCCAAGCAAATTCTTATGTTCTTTTTCAGCCCAGACACACACAAATGGAACACGGACTGTCAGATGTGCAGGACTGTTTTATTGGGCTATGGTTTCACTATGTGTGCCGTTTGGGGTAGGGGAGGGGAAGAAGAGAATGGGCCTGGGTGGAAAATAAGCGAATCTATTATTATTCATAATCTCCTTTCTCTTACAGGTGACCGATATTCCCGAGTGGTATTTGCCTCTGCAGACGGGGAGAACCTGTGGCGCATGCAATCCATTAAATCCATGTGCAATCTGGACAATGCCAGGGTAGGTATCAGTGGCTTTGGGATAGCTTACTGCCAGCCTCACCATAGCTTTGTGGCGTTCTGTGGCATAGTGGCTTGTGCGCTCGCCTCGCAAGTGACAGGACCTACATTTGATTCCCAGGCAGGGAGAAATCTTGGGCAAATTTCTTTACTCCACACATTTCTGTTTACCTAGCAGTAAGTAGGAACCCAGTTGTTAATCGATTAGTGGATGATTCAACCCATGACTGTTTGTGGGACACTGCTGTGTGCACTTGGCTACCGCGTTTCAACCACATATTACACAAAAAAATCACAGTATATTCTGTAAAGCGCTTTGAGACATCTCAACAACGTGATAAGGTGCTATATCAAATCAGTTATTTTATTCCCATAGTCTGTGGCACTTTTGGAAAAGAAAAGTTCACTAACTTCATGGCTGTTGGTGGGACATTGTTGTGCACAAATCGTCTGCCGTGTTTGACACTGCACTTTACAGCAATTCTTTGTGAAGCATTTGAGATGTTTTGGCATTAAGAATGTTGAATCAAAATGTAAGGATCATTATTGCCCTGTGATTAAATGTGGCCGATGAATAAAGCATTCTATTTCTCAGTGTGGGAACGAAAACCTCCTGAAACAAAGTGGAAGTGTCATTGTTTGAAAGACCCGTCTCAAGACTCTCCTCTTCGACCGTGCCTTCAATCACCCTCCTTCCCTCCCCTGCCCTCCACCCTCCCCGATCCTGACCCCCAGCTCGGGTCCAAAACACCGATTGTCCAGAGCCTTGGACGTCCTCCCGACGTGAAAAGCGCCAGACAAATGTAATTTTGTTGTTGTTGTTTCTCTCTCTCTTCCCCACCCTCCCAGATACGCTCCCACTTCCAGTTCGGGGACCTTTGCCAGCGCACCACAGCTGTCTCCTGCTGCCCCAGCTGGACGCTGGGCAACTACATTGCCATCCTCAACAACAGGTCCTCTTGCCAGACCATCACCGAGCGCGACGTGGGACACACACTGAAGCTTTTGAGGTCCTGCGTCAAGTATTACCACAACGGCACGCTGGGACCTGACTGCTGGGACGCGACAACCAGGCGCAAGAACCAGCTGAAGTGCACCTCAGTGCCTCGAAAGTGCACCAAGTACAACGCCGCCTACCAGATCCTCCACTTCCTGGTGGACAAGGACTTTTTGAGCCTCAAGGCTGTGGACTACGTGACGCCAGCCCTGAAGTACAGCATGCTCCTGGTGCCCACCGAGAAGGGAGACAGCATGATGGACATCTACCTGGACAACTTTGAGAACTGGAACTGCTCGGACGGCGTTACCACCATCACGGGCATCGAGTTTGGGATCAAGCACAACCTCTTCCAGGACTACCTCCTGACGGACACTATCTACCCGGCCATCGCCATTGTCATTGTCCTCCTCATCATGTGTGTCTACACCAAGTCCATGTTCATCACCCTCATGACCATGTTCGCCATCATCAGCTCCCTCATCGTCTCCTACTTCCTGTACCGCGTTGTCTTCGGCTTCGAGTTCTTCCCCTTCATGAACCTGACCGCCCTCATCATCCTGGTGGGCATCGGTGCCGACGACGCCTTTGTCCTCTGCGACGTGTGGAACCACACCAAGTTCGACCAGCCTCAAGCCGAGCTGTCAGAGACGGTGAGCGTCACTCTCCGGCACGCCGCCCTCTCCATGTTCGTCACCAGCTTCACCACTGCCGCAGCCTTCTACGCCAACTATGTCAGCAAGATCACCGCCATCCGGTGTTTCGGGGTCTACGCCGGCACAGCCATCCTGGTCAACTACGTGCTGATGGTCACGTGGCTGCCGGCGGTGGTGGTGCTCCATGAGAGGTACCTGCTGCACCTCTTCTCCTACCCCTCCAAACCCCAGCGCCGGGCGCACTCCAGCAAGTACCTGACCTATGTGTCCCTGCTGTGGGGGAAGGTGCGGAGGCTGTACATTGCCGCCTCGGAGACTTCCCGCATCTTCTTCGAGAAGGTCCTCCCCTGCATCGTCATCAAGTTCCGCTACGTTTGGCTCTGCTGGTTCCTGGCGCTGACCGCTGGCGGAGCCTACATCGTCTGTGTGGACCCCAAGATGAAGCTGCCCTCACTGGAACTGGCCGAGTTCCAAGTCTTCCGCTCCTCCCACCCCTTCGAACGCTACGACGCCGAGCTCAAGAAGCTCTTCATGTTCGAACGGGTGCACCACGGCGAGGAGCTGCACATGCCCATCACCCTGGTGTGGGGGGTCTCGCCGGTCGACGGGGGCGACCCCTTGGACCCCAAGAATAAGGGCCAACTCCAGCTGGACAGCTCCTTCAACATGGCCAGCCCCAGTTCACAGCTCTGGCTCCTCCGCTTTTGTCAGAAACTGCGCAACCAAACCTTCTTCTACCAGACGGACGAGCAGGATTTCACCAGCTGTTTCGTGGAGACCTTCCGGCAGTGGATGGAGAACCAGGACTGCGAGGAGCCCACCATCTACCCTTGCTGCAGCCAGTCCACCTTCCCCTACAAGCAGGAGGTCTTTGAGCTGTGTATCAAGAAGGCTATCATGGAGCTGGAGCGCAGCACGGGTTACCACCTGGACCGCAAGACCCCAGGACCCCGCTTTGACATCAATGACACCATCCGGGCGGTGGTCCTGGAGTTCCAGAGCACCTACCTCTTTACGCTGGCCTACGAGAAGATGAACCATTTCTATAAGGAAGTGGACGCCTGGGTGGGCGAGGAGCTCAAGGTGGCTCCCAGCGGCCTGGGCAGCGGCTGGTTCGTCAGTAACCTGGAGTTCTACGACCTGCAGGACAGCCTGTCGGAAGGGACCTTGGTGGCCATGGGGCTGTCGGTGGCCGTGGCCTTCACGGTCATGCTCTTCACCACCCGCAACCTGATCATCAGCCTGTACGCCATCACCTCCATTGCTGGCACCATCTTTGTCACGGTGGGCTCGCTGGTGCTGCTGGGCTGGGAGCTCAACGTGCTGGAGTCTGTCACCATCTCGGTGGCTGTGGGGCTGGCTGTGGATTTTGCAGTGCACTATGGGGTGGCTTACCGTCTGGCCCCGGAGCCCGACCGGGAGGGCAAGGTGGTCTTCTCCCTGAGCAGGATGGGCTCCGCCATCGCCATGGCCGCTGTCACTACCTTTGTGGCCGGGGCTATGATGATGCCCTCCACCGTGCTTGCCTACACCCAGCTGGGCACCTTCATGATGCTCATTATGTGTGTGAGCTGGGCCTTTGCCACCTTCTTCTTCCAGTGCCTGTGCCGTTGTGTGGGACCCCAAGGCTCCTGCGGGCAGATCCCGGTGCCCAAGAAGCTACGGTCCGCAGACATGCCGCCCGCTCCCAGGCGGGCCGGAGGATCCCGGAAGGCGGGCAAGTGCGAGGGGGATCACTATCCAGACGGGGAGCGGGAGGACTACGAGCTGGAGCCGCTGGCATCCGAGGGGGAGGGTGTGGCGTCCGAGCCCCCCGGCCTGCACCCTGGACTCTTCAATGGGACGTCTCAGAGCACCAACGGGCGATCGGGCACTGATGGAAGTGGATGTGGAATCAGACCTGGGGAGCGGCTATACTCGCCGCTCGCCAGGCAGTGTGGGTGCCTGGAGCCACAAAGGGCCCCTCGGGATGGCACAGACTCTCAGCGGCTAAGGCAACGTCCACCCGGCGTTCCACCCGAATCCCTCCCAGCTTCCACTCCAGACATTGCCCAGCAGCCCACCAGCGAATGCTGCTCCCGGCACGGGCGCAGGGCACCCAACAACCCGTCCACCAACACGTGCCTCCGTTCCTTGCTGCAGGTCCACACACCCCAGGGACGGGCCACCAGCCAGGATGTGACTCCCTGCTCCCGGTGCTTAGAGGAAACTGTCAGGACACGTGCCAAAGCTGTGGCTCCCCAGCTCAGCCGCCAGGCTCAGCCCACGGGTCAGAGATCGTGCTGCTCGATGACGGAGGACGGCACCGGCCAACGTCAACCGGGTTCCAATGCAAACTGCAGCAAATGCATTACGGATCGGGCGAGCCAGAACTCTACAGGAGCCGTGGCGGACAACTCTGGCCCCCGACAGAACGGGATGGCTGAGCCTCGCCTCTCCGGCCGGACACTGCCAAGCAAGTGCCACTGCACGGACATTCGCTTTCCTGACGCCAAGGTGCCGGCGGTGTGGAGGAGGCACTCAGAGCTGACTGGCGAGCCATTGTGCACATAGAGCGACACCAACAAGAAGTCTAGAACGTAACAGCATGTGCGACATTCTCGCCAGCAGGCTGTCTGTCTATCTGTCCTGCAACATCCTGTTCTGGGGAGTGTAGAAGGGTTGCAGAGGAGAGAGAGGAAGGCAAGGGAGCAATGCAGTGTTGTATGTGGAAGTCTGGAGGTTGAGAATTCAAGTGGATTTTGCGCGAGTTTTCTCACCGCTGTGTCCCTTGTCTCCTCCTGAAGATGCTGAACATTCCCCCATCCCAAAATGTTGGGGGAGGTGGGGCGGAGAGAGCTTGCTGTCCGATGGGGGGAAGATACTCCATGTCCACAGGGGAAGAGCGCATGCAGTTTGGGGGGGAGAGAGAGAGAGAGCTCCCTGTCTGGGGGTTGTGGGGGTGTTGCCTTTCTTTCATCAGTGCCTCAGATAGCTGGGGGGTTGGGCTTCCCACCCCCACCCCCACCCCAAGGGAAGGTTGAGGTGTGACCTGGTGGCTGAACCTCCAATTGAAGCTGATCAATTCCTCTTTTTATATTATATTATATAAATATATATATATTATGTGAGGCGAATGCTTATGGAGAATAATTTAATACTTTCATTCTTTAATGTATGCTTTATGCTATTTAAAAAAACAAGTCTGCTATTAACTGTCGTTTACATACCCTGCCTGTGACTGTGGAAAGCGTGGGATGTGGGCTTCACTCCAATGCTCAGCCCGGCCCAGGACTGCCTGGTCCAGCTCTGCCCGGCCAGTGACTCGGAATCCTCCACTTCATTGTAATGACGTGTTTGCTGAGCAAATGAAGACGACTTTTTATAAATGCGCAATTTGAAAAGCGCCTCTTAACCCGACTTTTGTCTTTTAGTTATTTACCTCCCTTCCCCTTTCCTTGACTCCCACGACCCTGCCTCTCATTCTTATTTCATTTATTCATTCTTGTCTCTCTCATATATTGACTTTTTTTGTTGCTCAGCTGGGTGTCTGAACCATGCGGAAACCCATCATTATGCTTAAAGAGTATCCAAATCAAGCTGAGATTTCCATGCATCCCACCTACACATGGAAATTGCAGAAATAGATTGTTGAAATGGAATACGCACTCTCTCCTAGGAGGGACACATCCTGCTTACTTAATTTTGTCTGTGTCTTTCCAATAAGGATTGCAGGATTTTTAACCTGCACAGGCAGGGATCGGTTTAACCAGGAGCTTTTCCCTGATCAAAAATGAAATGATGAAATATTTTGCAATGTAATGTAGGAATCGAGCTTGGACTCTGCTGGTCTGGGTAGTTCGGTTCCTGAGCCAGCCGGATCTGCACTATTCCAGGGCACTACTGATGACAGCACTCGACTCCTGTTAACCCTCGGAGCCAAAGCCGTAACAGGTAGGGTGATCCTAGCTGGACAAGCAGTGGGAAAGCTTGCCAGACAGCGATATCAATGGCAAGCTATGCGGGTTTAGCTGGTTAGACTCCAGCAGTTATCCCAATGCACACTTTGGGGTCTCCAAGCCTTGGCTCTTGCCAACCTGCACCTAATACTTACTAGAATTAGGTAAGCAGGAGGCGTCCCTCCAGGGAGAGAGAGCACATTCCATTCCAACAATTTGTCTCTGGAATTTCCATGTGTAGGTGGGATGCATGAAATTCTCAGCTTGGTTTGGATACTCTTAACTATGGTGATGGGTTTCCGTATGTGTCAGACATCCGGCTGACCAAAAGAAAAAAAATCTACATGGGCTATTAAACCAACCCAGAAATTAGGCCCAATGTCACACAGGCTTTATTTATTCACTGCTCTATGTGTGTGTGTTTTGTTAACCTGCCACAAAAACAGCAGCAGATTCCTAGAGGTAGGACCTGGTTAAGGCTGTTTTGGGTTAAACAAGGAAAAGGAGATGTTCTTTTTCCCTTTATTAACTTATAGAAATGTACATTTGTTCTCTTTCAAATTGCTATTATGCATTTAACACAGCCAAAGGATTAATATTATGATATTTCTTGATGATTTCTTCATTAAGAAATCTGGATCTCTGTGATCTCAATCTAGGGAATGCCGCTGCGACCAGTAGTAGAGCTCCCCGGAGGTGCAGTGATGTGTTTCCAGTTTTGCCCCCAGCTTGGATTTTTTTAATTAACAAAATACTGCAAAATTGACCCCCTCCCCCAAAGGTCAGGGTATTATGAGATATGGGGCAAGGGCGGGTAACTGGACTTGAGGTACAAATCAGCCATGATCTTATAAAATGATGAAACAGGCTCAAGGGGCTGTATTGTGGGATGTTTTGTGATGTGAATCTGAATGGATCGGTGATTATAAGTGGGAATTATGCAGCAAGATTCCTGGTCTTTCTCCCCGACGATGGTCCTGATCCGGGAAGGCATTGCTGTGGCTTTGGTCTGCCCTCCATGGCTGTGTCGCCCTGTGAGTGTAGCGCAGGGACAGACTCGGGGAGTGCAGGGTACACTGTGGGCAGTTAGGACTCTTCATCCAACAGTGGAATTTCTGTGATGGAAACAGACTAGGGGTTACAGAGCCAATTGGCTGTCGCATTTCATCCTCAAAATACACAGTTACCCGATTTTACAGTATATTCTGTGAAGTGTTTTGAGACATCTCAACAACGTGATAAGACGCAGGCATTATTATTATTATCTCCATGAGCCAGCTCCCGCACCCTCCGCCCCCCCCCCCCCCCCTCACCGTCTGGGATGTTGATGCTCGGCGAGGTTGACACCGTGTTCTCTGTCTCCGGGATGCTGTTGTTCTCTGTCAGCGGGTGGGTGGCTGGGGTCCCAAAGGATGAGGCAGCTGATGAGCTGTCCAGCTCTGGGTCGACCCCTCCGCTGCCTGAGCAGTCCAGGGCGTCTGGTCGGGGGACCCGGTCGGGTTCCAGCCCATGCCCGGGGTAAGCCGGGGGGCTCCTGGTGTCCGGCGAGGCAGCCCCCTGCTCTGGCTGGCTCCCACTGGGGGCTGGAGCAACTGGGGCCGTCCCGCTATCCAGTGGGGTGCTCACTGCCTCCTCGTACGTGGGCAGCATGACCGGAACTCCGTCAACCACCACAAAATTCCGAGGAGCCGGAACTTCGGAATCATTGCTGTAACTCAACAAAGGAATCAGGTCATAGGAACAGGAGGAGGCCATTCAGTCCCTCCAACCTGTTCCGCCATTTCATTAGATCATGGCTGATCTGTAACTCAACTGGAGGTAGAGAACCCGCTTCTGTGAGTTGTCAGTCAGGTCAGTAAGCTGCTGCATCAAATGCGATGATCATTATTAGTAAAGATTTGATATTTTATAATAGTGCTAAGGTTTAAAGAAGTTTGGGGAGAGAACTCCAGGGAGCGGGAGATGTGACAAGGTGGCAGGGCAAGAGCTGGCGAGAAGCAGAACAGAGTATTATATAGGCAGGCGAATGGGTTTTGAAGAGTGAAGAGTTAGGGTTGAGTGAGACCAGGAGGGCATATAAAAGTTGAGGGTTGCTGCAAAATTGCACACTCAGCAGAACAGGCCCATTAATCTGGAGAATTGTTGGCAAGGACTTCAGGAAAATTTTGTCTCTTTTCCAATAAACCTCACGGGATAGTGTCAATTAATTCAAATGCAAATTAGAAAATAATATTTTGGGATACAATATTTGAGTAACTTGAGACATGACAAGTGTAGTATTCTTGGAAGAATTAGGCAATTTGGGATCTAAAGCTCCAAAAGCTTTCCACTCTCTTGTAGATAAATCCATACAGAATTAATTGCTGTCAACATCTCCATTATTGTAGCATAACTGACGATAATGCAGTGATTGTTCAGTACTGCAATGGACTGTCATCCTGGACTTGGACTGATAACCTTCTGAGCCAATGGAGAGAGTGTGACCAACTGAGTCCGGCTAAATCAGCGCATGTTTCAGCCTTTCAGCGTTCCAACCACAAAATACACAGTCAATCCACTTTACAGTATATCCTTGACGACGTGATAAAATGCTACAACAAATGCAAATAATTCCTCTCCTCCCCCCACCCCACCCACCCTCGCCCGCTCCACGATAAGCATGTCTGACCTGGATTGACACGGTGGCTTCAGCTTGATGTGAAAAGCCCTGACGGAGACCAGTAGCAGCAAAGCCAGGAGGACACTGATGGCCGTGAAAGCCACGATCTTCCAGGTGGACAGGACACTCCGCTCGGCCCCTTCCCAGTTCCGATCTGCTCCAACAACAGGGAGGTCATTAACCCGGAGTCACACAGCACCCAGCCCGGGAACCTGCCGTCCAGGGAGATACCAGTCGACAGGGTCCCAATGCCACTGCCCACCCGCACACAGGCCCTGCCCACACACAGGCCCTGCCCACTCAGCCCCTCTCCTACCCCCGCCCACTCCTGTCCCCACCCTCTCTGCTCAGACTGACCTGAAGACTCACAGAAGACCTGGCCCGTTGGGAACCACTCCCCATACTGACAGGTGATGTACTTGTAGTCACTGGCCAGCATGTAGCCGGGGTCACAGTAAAACTCCAGCACCGTGCCGTGGATATAACCATCACAAGGGTAGGGGTGGCACGCGTAGTCCCCGTGGTCGGGTATCAGAGGCAGTGGGCAGGCTACCGAGAGAGAGAGCGAGCAACAACAAATTACATTTATACAGCGCCTTTCGTATCGGGTGGACATCCCAAGGGCCTGGACCATCAGGGATTTGGACCTGAGCTGGGGGTTGAGATCAGAGGATGGAGGGCAGCGAAGGTGGGTAGAAGGGTGAACGAAGGAGCGGTCGAAGAGGATGGTCTTGAGATGGGCCTTGAAGGAGTCAAGGGAGGGAACGTGGGGGGAGAGGCTCTGGGATGGAGTTCCAGAGGGTGGGGGCAGAAAGACTGAAGGCCTGACCACTTAATTGATAATTAAGCAGAACAGATCCATGTTTAATTAATTAGATTACAATTATTAAATCATAATGAATCAGATTATTAACTAATTCTGCTTGGATTATTAATTAAATTATGAATTAGAAACACACGCAGAAAGAAACCCATCATCAGGCTTCAGTCTCCAAATCAGGCTCTACGTATATGTAGTTTCCCTGTGCCTGGATTGTGTACTCTCTGCTCACCTATCCTCAGAAAGAACGACCACAACAAGCACAACTTGCATTTATATAGCACCCTTCATGCAGGATATTGTCTCTAAACGCTTATCAGTGGCGGAGCCAGACCCCAAGCCAGGGAGATGGGCGAGGTGACTGTAGGCACTATCAAAGGTCTTCTGGTGAGATCTGATGTTAGTTGCAGGTTGGTATGAACAAAGGCTCAGGAAGCCGAGAGGAGCTATTTTGGGAGATAGATTGGACGGTGAGGAGCAGTGAGATTACCTTCCACATCCAAGCAGCGGGGAGGGCTCTGTGACCACAGCAGGTGGTACATGCACTCGAGGAGTTCGGGGCCTTGTAGTTTATAGCCAGGATAGCACTGGTAACGTAGAAATGAGCCCACTGCTAGTGAGGTCACCCAGTCCGACACATTGATGTAACTGTGAGCAAACACCGTGGGCCTCAAACAGCCTGAGGGAGGAATACAGAACGAGATTTAGTGCATCTCAATAGCATCGCGGGATCCTTAATGTTCATCCAAACAAGACTGATGTCTGATCCTAAACACAGCACCTCTGACAATAATAATCCTTTGATTATTGTTACAGTGCTTTTCTATGTCGTGGAGTCCTGCAGGGTAGTGGTTAGCATGCTTGCCTTGCAAGCGAGAGGACCTGGATTTGATTCCCAGGCAGGGTGAAACCTCAAGCAAGTTTCCTTATTCCACACACCTCTGTTTACCTAGCAGTAAGTAGGAACTCTTGTTGTTAGTCTATTGCGGGAATTGCTTTCTGGGGGTAATAAGCACCTGATCAGTAAAAAAAATTAAGGGAGAGAGTGAAATTAATAGTGAAGGGACAATATCAGGGTGGATTACAAACCTTGGCAGGTGGGTAGGTTGTCCCAGGCTCCATCCTCCTGGCACACTGAGTCCACATTGTCCATGTCCGGGTATCGGATTTGGAAGCCGCGGTGGCAGGAGATGGCCAGCTGGTCCCCGGGCAGGTAGGTGTCGTTATACACATCAGCGTCCTCCACATGCGGTCGTGGGCACACGGGTACTGGGCGGGGAGAGGCCAGGCAGCATCACACAGGGATATCCGGTATCATGCGAATCGGCGAGGAGAAAAACAAACTCCAATTTTTAGATCATCTCATAAAACTGACCCCCATAGCATAGTGGTTAGTGCGCTCGCCACGCAAGCCAGAGGACCCAGGTTTGAATTGCAGGTGGGGCGAAACCTTAGGTAAGTTTCCTTACTCCACACACCTCTGTTTATCTGGCAGTAAGTAGGAACCCGATTGTTATTTGATTGGCGGATTGCTTTCCGGAGGGTAATAATCCCTTTTTAAAAAGAATTGTGTCACGCATTCCACGACTGTTTGTGGGACGTTGCTGTCCCACAAAATACACAGTCAATCCACTTTATATTCTGTGAAGCGTTTTGAGACGTCTCAATGACGTAATAATGACGCTATATCAAATGCAACTGTTAGTATTACCATATATTATAATAAAATAGCGGCAAAATCGCGCAAATTACTGTCCAGTGTAGTGACTGTTTTTGTAGGCGAACGCAGCAGCAATAAATAATGATAATCCAGAGTAACTGCTGGAGTCTAACCAGGTAAAACCACACAGCTTGCCATTGAGAGCACTGCCTGGCAAGCTTTCCCGCTGCTTGTCTTGCTAGGATCAACCCATCAGAGCTTTGGCTTGCAGGGTTAACAGGAGCTGAGTTGGGTGGGAGAGGCTGGGGTGGTGGTCATTGTTTTGGATGTGAGGGAAACCTGAGCAGGTAAGACGTGGGGTTTGAAGATGTTTAGCCCATGGGCTGTTTTAGACCTTTTTCTGTTAGCTAAACCATGTCTCGCTTTTTCAACCAAATGTTAAAGCTTACGTTCAGAGAGGCAGACGGGCCTGTAGCTCGGCTCCCAGCCCAGGCCCCCGTCCTCCTGTCTCTCGCACTCTGCCTTCGAAGCCCCTCGCAGCTTGTACCCCTCTCTGCAGCTGAAGCTCACCACGGCATGCTCAAGGAACCGCCCCGCGGAGGGGGTACGGGAGCCATGCTCGGGGGTCCCAGGATCGATGCAGGAATTCTCAGAGCCAAGGCCTGAAAGCAAAGTGAGGGATTAAGGCGTGGAATCCTGTAGTGTAGTGGTTAACGCGCTCGCATCGCAACTGAGAGGACCCGGGTTCGATTCCCAGGTGGGGCAAACCTTAGGTAAGTTTCTTTACTCCACACGCCTCTGTTTACCAAGCAGTAAGTAGGAACCCGGCTGTTAGTCGATTGGAGATCGCTTTCCGGGGGGTAATAAAATTTGGTCACTCAAACCCAGGACTATTCGCGGAACACTGCTGCGTGCAATTTTCTGTCACCTTTCACGCCACTTCACAGCGTACCCCGTGAAGCGCTTCGAGAGACGTCTCGTCGACGTGATCAGGCGTTCTCTCAAATGCAAAGGTTGTTATTGTTGATTTGGGGGTTACGCTCCGTGCGTGAAACTACCGCAAAACACAGGTTCCTTCTCTCTGCATCTGAGGAAACCCCTGAGATCCAGTGAGTGAGTGAGTAGGAGAGTGAGTGAGTGAGTGAGTGAGAGGGAGAGTGAGACAGTGAGAGGGAGAGTGAGACAGTGAGAGGGAGAGTGTGACAGGGAGAGGGAGAGTGAGACAGGGAGAGTGAGACAGTGAGAGGGAGAGTGAGACAGTGAGAGGGAGAGTGAGACAGGGAGAGTGAGACAGGGAGAGTGAGACAGGGAGAGTGAGACAGTGAGAGGGAGACAGTGAGAGGGAGAGGGAGACAGTGAGAGGGAGAGGGAGAGGGAGACAGTGAGAGGGAGAGGAGAGTGAGACAGGGAGAGGGAGAGTGAGACAGGGAGAGGGAGAGTGAGACAGGGAGAGGGAGACAGGGAGAGGGAGACAGTGAGAGGGAGACAGTGAGAGGGAGAGTGAGACAGTGAGAGGGAGAGTGAGACAGTGAGAGGGAGAGGGAGACAGTGAGAGGGAGAGGGAGACAGAGAGAGGGAGAGGGAGACAGTGAGAGGGAGAGGGAGAAACATACCAAATGTCAGATCTGCGCTGCAAATGCCCATCCAGATGTGAGCGGACAGGATGAGAGGCAGCAACGCCAGGCAGCGCTCAGTCAGTCCCCCGCGGCTCAGGCTCTCTGCTGCTGACAGCGGGTCCATGGTGCATCTTCCCCACAGAGGCTGCGGCGGCCGAGGAGAGGGACTGCGGGGAAACAGCGGCCAAACACACACACACACACACACACAGAAAGAGAGCCACCAGGAAGATCGCAAACCATATTCGCAACCGCTTTTCGCCGCTGAAATGGCCAGACAGCCTCTCCCAGGCCGAGCAAACCGAGGAACGGGGGGGGAAAAAAAATAATATGCACCTCTTTCCCGTGGTCCAGGGTTCCTCCCAGAGACTTGTGGTCAGTCCTGCAAACAGCCAACACCTTCCACCTCAGGGTCCACCCGCCTCGTATCGCTGTGCATTTGCGGCTGATTGCGATGTTGAACGGCAGCGGAGACGGGAGAGGTCGGGGTTTGCCGCCCCCTTTTTGCACGAAAGAAACGGCGGAATATAATTAGAAAAATAGAGACTGAGCAGAAAGCGGTGTCAACGGTGGTGTTGCATTCCTGCGTCTGCAAACATACCTGCACCCGCCAGGCTGGGGGGGGGGGGGGGGCGGGGGGGGCGCCAGCGCTGCTCTCCACTCTGATTGACAGCTCCCCGGTATGATTGACAGCTCCCCGGTATGATTGACAGCTCCCCGGTATGATTGACAGCTCCCCGGTATGATTGACAGCTCCCCGGTATGATTGACAGCTCCCCGGTTTGATTGACAGCTCCCCGGTATGATTGACAGCTCCCCGGTTTGATTGACAGCTCCCCAGTTTGATTGACAGCTCCCCGGTTTGATTGACAGCTCCCCGGTTTGATTGACAGCTCCCCGGTTTGATTGACAGCTCCCCGGTTTGATTGACAGCTCCCCGGTTTGATTGACAGCTCCCCGGTTTGATTGACAGCTCCCCGGTTTGATTGACAGCTCCCCGGTTTGATTGACAGCTCCCCGGTTTGCTTGACAGCTCCCCAATTTGATTGACAGCTCCCCGGTTTGATTGACAGCTCCCCGGTATGATTGACAGCTCCCCGGTTTGATTGACAGCTCCCCGGTTTGATTGACAGCTCCCCGGTTTGATTGACAGCTCCCCGGTTTGATTGACAGCTCCCCGGTTTGATTGACAGCTCCCCGGTTTGATTGACAGCTCCCCGGTTTGATTGACAGCTCCACAACGGGAACTATAAGCGGCGTCTCCTGGGACGCTGAACTGGCCCCGAGGTGACATGTCTGGCCACGGGATCGCGGAATGTCGCCAGGCCTCTGTGATGGCCTCTGTGATGGCCTCTGTGATGGCCTCTGTGATGGTCTCTGTGATGGTCTCTGGTCCGGTTTCTGGGCCAGGCGGGTCCGCAGTATCCCAGGGCACTGCTGATGCCCAGCCCGGCCCGGCCCGGCCTGGCTCACCGGCAGGATCGGGAAGGGCCTACCCTACCTCCATGACCTCCTCAAGCCCTGATGACCCACCTACTCCCTTCACTCCCCTGCTTCATTTACCCCGCTAGCCATCAGCGGTTGGGCTTTCAGCCTATTAGCCCCCCTCTCTAGAACTCCATCTCAGAGTCCCTCCAACTCACTCCCTCCATTCCTTCATTCAAGGTCTATCTGAAGACCTACCTCTTCGACCGCGCTTCTGATCATCTCAACAATTTTCCACTCTGATTGACAGCTCCCAGGTTTGCTTGACAGCTCCCAGGTCAGCTGGGTATCTGAGACAAGTGGAATCCCATCACCGTGCTTAATAGTATCCAAACCAAACTGAAAGGGCCAGAAATATCCAGTGTGCCGATGAACTGTATTAACTTCCACATTAAAGGAATTTAATCCTGTTGTGCTCAGCTGGCAAATAAACTGAGGCCCTGGCTGGGTGGACAGTACAGATCCCGTGTCAATACCCTGTTTCCTCCGGTGCCTTAGGATGTTCTCCTGATGAGAAAGGAGCTATACGAAAGTAATTTGTTGGTGGTGGTGGCGGGAAAATCCAGAACACGGGGGTATAATCTTAAAATCAGAGTTAGGCCATCTAGGAGTGAAATCAGGAAGCATTTTTTCACACAAAGAGTAGTGGAAATCTGGAACTCTTGCCCCCAAAAGGTGGTAGATGTTGGAACTATTCAAATTTTCAAGACTGAGGTGGATAGATATTTATTAGGTCAGGGTATGAAGGGGTATGAGATATGAGTAATTGGAGTTGAGGTACAGATCCGCCATGATCTAACAGAATAGAGGAACAGGCTCAAAGGGCTGAATGGCCTGCTCCTGTTCCTATTTTACAAAAAGTGAAGGGAGTCTCCCCTGCTGGCCTCGCCAATGATTGATTGATCGTCATGGAATATTGTAGGACCCTGCGGTGCCTAAAATATCCACTGAGTTAGCTCACAGAAACAGTCACCATGTGAGACACCAATTACCATGAAGTAATTTTGACATTATAAGAGATTTGTTGTAAGAGGGATCTGAAGATAGGAAATGAGATGAAGAGATGATGAAGCTGGTATTCATTTACAATGCAGCGTCTTCACATGATTTGTTTTTTTACACGACAGATATTTCTGGAAGTCTAAGATCAAATAAACTAAAGAGACAGCTTCACTGGAGCTTCTCTGTTGGGTGTTATCTTGGCACTAGGTTGTGGGTTCACGCCCCACATCAAGGATTTAAACACACCACTGCCACATTGCCCACCTCCGACCGTACCTTACCCCAACACAGCAAAACACTCGTCCATGCGTTTGTCACATCCTGACTTGAATATTCAAATGCCCTCCTTGCCGGTCTCCAAGCTCCACTATCCACAAAATCCAGTTAATCCAGAACTCCACCACCCGCATACTCACCCGCACTAACTCCATATCCCCTTCACACCAGTTCTAGCCAGGCTTCAGTGACTTCCTGTCACCAAGCAGATCGATCTCAAGATTTTTCCACTCATCCATAAATCCTTTTGTGGCTTGGCACCTCCTTACCTTTCTGACCTCTCTCCCGGCTCCACTACCTGCAGCCCCCCTCGTCCTCTCCATCATCGGCTCCTGCGCTTTGAGCCACTGCGCTCCTAATCTGTGTCCCCCAACTCTCTGGCTTGCCCCCTCCTTCCCCTTTTAGATCACAACTGAAGACCTCTTTGACTGTGCTTATGGTCACCTTCTCCCTCCCCCCGGTTCGGTTTCAGGCTCCACCACTGTTAAGCTTTCTGAGTGCTCTGGGACCTACCCTGCATGAGAGGCAGCGTCCTAGCTGGCAACTGTCAAGGCAAATTGGCTGTTTTTACTATTGGCTTAACACAGTCAACACACTTTGCATTTACATAGCGCCCCTCACCCAGTGTAGCATCCCAAATCTTTCTTAATAAAAAAAGGGCACCCATATCATAATAAATGATCATATAATAAAAACCATCACAATGTCATGTGTGGTACACATGACATTTGCCCTCAGCGGTGCTCTGACTTAAGTGCATGCTGCATATGTTCCTATACATATTTGTAAAAAAACATTATTATATATATTTGTTGCAGTAAAATTGTGACGGATTTCACAAAATCCCTGGTTTCACATTTTGTTGTAACATCTACAGTGTATAATACCTATATCATAAATGACTGTATGCACTCTTTAACTATACAGGTGTCAGCCTGACTTACCTCTGAGTCAGAAGTTTGTGGGTTCAAGCCACTCATTGGGACTTTGAACTCACAGTCTAAGCTGACACTCCAGTGCAGTGCTGGGGGGAAGCGCTGTATTGTTGGAAGTACCATCATTCAGATGACACATTAAACCGAGGTCCCTTCTGCCTGCTCAGGTGGACATTAAAAATCCCAAGGCACTATTGAAAAAGAGAAGGGAGTTTCTCCGGGGTCCTGACCAACAATCCCCCAAATAAATTTGGTCACTCAGTCCATGGCTATTTGTGGAACGTGGTTTTACACAAATCTCCTGCCACATTGACCTGCAAAACACAGTGACAGTAAATCTTGTGAAGCGCTTTGAGAAGCCTTGACAACGTGATAAGGTGCTGCTTCAATACAAGGATTCTTATATGTAGGTCTGTGTGTGCAGGATATATCTATATTACATGTGCAGTTTGCAGTTTACTGTATGCATGGTGTATGTTATGTGTGTATTATGTATTAAGTCTGTATACAGGATATAATGTGTATATAATGTTTAATGCAAGGAATAACAATTTTAAAGGCACTTGTCTGGAGCAGTAGAACCAGAGAACATGGCCTGCGATAGAAGGAAGGTAAATTCAAAAACAAACCATTTTCCTCTCTCACTACTTAAGTGAGAGAGGGAAATGGTGGAAGCAGAAAGTGTTGATTCTTCCAAAAGCAAATTAGATAAATTTCTGATAGGAAATGATATCTTGGGATACAGTAAGTAGTTTGGGACATGATATAATGTGACTGCCAGAATGGTGAAAGGCTAACTGGATGGACCTTGGTCTATTTTTGCCAGCAATGTTTATGTCCTTGTGTTATGGTTATCCAATCCGGCTTCCATGCTGCCCATGGACCGGAAACAGCCCCGGTCAAAGTCACTAATGACATTCTGAACATCTGTGATCAGCGCTCCCTCTGCCTCCTTGTCCTCCTTGACCTCCTTGACCTCTCACTTTCGACACTGTCGACCACTCGATCCTCATACACCACCTCTCCTCTTTACTCAATCTTTGCGGACCTGCCCTTGCCTGGTTCGATTCCTATCTCTCTCACCGTCTCCACTTTGTTGCCTCTAACGGTTTCTCCTCCATCCCCCGCACAGTCACATCTGGTGTCCCCCAGAGCTCTGTCCTTGGCCCTCTCCTCTTTAATATCTATATGCTCCCCCTTGGTGACATCATCCGCAGACATGGGGTCAACTTCCATATGTATACAGATGACACCCAACTCTATCTTTCTGCCTCCACCCTCAACTCCAGGACCACTGCTGTCCTGACAGACTGCCTGTCGGACATCAAGTCCTGGATGAGGGCAAATTTCCTACAGTTGAATGTGAACAAGACTGAGGCCCTCCTGATTGGCTCACGCCAGCGCCTCAGCACCTCAGGCTCTGGCAGCATCAACCTCCATGGTTGCACACTTCAACTCACCAAACCAGTCAGGAACCTGGTGTCTTGTTCGACCCTCAACTGTCTTTTCTCCCCCACATTCAAGCCATGACCCGCTCTGCCTTCCCTCACCTCCGTAACATCGCTCGACTCCGCCACTACCTCAGCCCTCAGGCCACTGAAACTCTTGTTCACGCCTTCATCACCTCCAGCCTCGACTATGCAAACACCTTCCCAACTCCTCCCTCCACAGGCTGCAGATAATCCAGAACTCTGCAGCCCGTGTCCTCTCCCGCACCAAACTCTGTGACCATCTCCTCCACTCTCGCCCGACTCCATTGGCTCCCTATCCTTCCGAGGATCCAGTTCAAGATCCTGGTCCTCACCTACAAAGCCCTCCATGACCTCACCCCCACCCTACCTGTGACCTCCTAACCCCCTACCAACCCGCCCGCTCCCACCGCTCGGCCGGCTCCGGCTGCTCCACACCCCCCGACCCAACATTGACGGGAGAGCCTTCAGCCACTCTGCCCCCAACCTCTGGAACTCCATCCCCCAATCACTCCGCCTCGCCCCCTCCTTAGCCTCCTTCACGTCCCACCTCAAGACCCTCCTCTTTGACCATACCATCGGCCACCCCTCTTCCCCTCCCCTCCCTTCTCCCACCCTGACCCCAGCTCGGGTCTGAAATGCTGTACCGGAGATGTCCTCCCGACGTGAAAGGCACTATACAAATGTAATCTTGTTGTTGTTGTTGTTGTTGATCTCTGTGCCTGATTGGCTGCAGCGGCTCTCGCAGTTCCGCTCTGATCCACCGGGTGGCGCTGGTCCGTACATTCCGGGCGTCTGTGGGACGTGGACTCTCGTTACCGGAGGCTTCACTGTCCACAACAGCGAGAGACAGAGCCAGAGGGGACCCCAACCCCAGCCACAGCCCCAACCCCAGCCACAGCCCAGCCCAGCCAGAGGGGACCCCAGCCCCAGCCCCAGCCCAGCCCAGCCCCAGCCACAGCCCAGCCACAGCCAGAGGGGACCCCAACCCACCCCCAGCCCCAACCCCAGCCACAGCCCCAGCCCCAGCCAGAGGGGACCTCAGCCACAGCCCCAACCCCAGCCACAGCCCAGCCCAGCCAGAGGGGACCCCAACCCCAGCCCACCCCCAGCCACAGCCCAGCCAGAGGGGACCTCAGCCCCAGCCACAGCCCCAGCCAGAGGGGACCACAGCCACAGCCACAGCCACAGCCCCAGCCAGAGGGGACCACAGCTCCAGCCAGAGGGGACCCCAACCCCAGCCCCAGCCCAGCCAGAGGGGACCACAGCTCCAGCCAGAGGGGACCACAGCTCCAGCCAGAGGGGACCACAGCTCCAGCCAGAGGGGACCACAGCCCCAGCCAGAGGGGACCACAGCCCCAGCCAGAGGGGACCACAGCCCCAGCCAGAGGGGACCACAGCCCCAGCCACAGGGGACCACAGCCCCAGCCAGAGGGGACCACAGCCCCAGCCAGAGGGGAGCAGAGAGAGAGAGAGAGAGGGTCACAGCCAGTGGGGAGCAGAGAGAGAGAGGGGGTCACAGCCAGTGGGGAGCAGAGAGAGAGAGGGGGTCACAGCCAGTGGGGAGCAGAGAGAGAGGGGGGCACAGCCAGTGGGGAGCAGAGAGAGAGGGGGGGGGTCACAGCCAGTGGGGAGCAGAGAGAGAGAGGGGGTCACAGCCAGTGGGGAGCAGAGAGAGAGAGGGGGGCACAGCCAGTGGGGAGCAGAGAGAGAGGGGGGGGGTCACAGCCAGTGGGGAGCAGAGAGGGGGGGTCACAGCCAGTGGGGAGCAGAGAGAGAGAGGGGGGCACAGCCAGAGTTGGGGAAGTTTGAGGAGTTGGGGAAGTTTGAGGAGTGCAGGGTTCAGGTCACTGGTTATCGTGAGGATAAACAATATCGTGAGGATGGACGGGACACTAACTATCCTCTGTTTCTCTCTGGCCATGTTCCTCGGCTGTTTGTTCCTGGGATTTATCCCGTTGACCATCAGGCTGTCAGAGGTGAGTCGGTTTACTATCACCTTATATCACCTAACACACACCTACACTAACTACCAGACTGCTTAGGGTCCTATTGCTCCACTGTCAGAGGTTAGACTGGTGACTAGATCCCAACCCTCCATTAACAAAGTGTTTTTACACTCCATCCTTTTAGCTTATCAACGTTCTAGATATTACACTGTGAGGATACTACATTGTAGGTATATTACACTAATATTATTACACCGTGGTACGTGCTTTCTTGCAGGTCAAACACACTTAAAGCACCTCCACCCTCACCGACACACACTCACTGAGTTACACATCACACAACTCTCACTCGCTCACTCTCGCTCACTGTCACTCACTCACTCACTCCCTCTCACACACAGAGCAGCTTCAGTAACACCAGTTTCCAGAATGGAAATGTGATTAGAAAGTTACTGATTAACTTCAAATGTTGAAGATCAAGAGATTAGAGACATTCATTTTCACGCACATTTGTTCATTCACACACGCAGTTGTTCACTGCACTGGCCCCGAGGTGACATGCCTGGCAATGGAATATCGGAATGGAGCCGGCCCTCTGTGAGGGTCTCTAGTCCGGTTCCTGAGCCAGGCGGGTCCACAGTATTTCAGGGCACTGCTGACGACAGCACAACCTGACTCATCAGCAGGATCTGGAAGTGCAGACCAGTCACTGGGGGCAGAAAGACATCCAACTCGGCTCCTGTTACCCTGCAAGCCAACGACCTAACCGGTAGGACGATAATAGCTGGACAAAACAGTGGGAAAGTTTGACAGATAACAATATCAATGGCAAGCTATGCAGTTTTAGCTGGTTAGACATCGCAGACTCTGGGATCCACAAGCCTTGGCTCTTGCCAACTTGCGCCTAATACTTTCCGGAATTAGGTGAGCAGGATGTGACCCTCCAGGGAGAGAGAGCGCATTACATTCCAACAATCTCTCTCTGGGATTTCCATGTGTAGACGGGATGCATGGAATTCTCAGCTTGGTTTGGATACTCTTAAGCACAGGGATGGGTTTCCGCATTTGTCAGACACACGGCTGCCAAACAAATCTCACACATACACCCATTCATTCACGTACTCACGCGTTCTCTCACCCACTCATTCATTCACTCACGAGCATGTGTTCACTCCCATATTCATACGTTCATTCATACGAACACATGCTTTCAAGCACCCAGTCACTCATGTTCTCATATTAACTCATTAACACAGACACACACATTCATTCATTCACATTCTTGCTCAATATTCATTCATACTCTTAAACACACACTTACAACAACAACAACAACAACTAAAAAATTACATTTGTATAGCATCTTTCAAATCTGGAGGACCTCCCACACACTCATTCACGCACACATTTATTGTCTCTTCCCACTCAGCTCCTGTTAACCTTGCAAGCCAAAACCCTAATGGGTAGGGTGGTCCTAGCTGGAAAAGCAGTGGGAAAGCTTGTCAGACAGCGATATTAATGGCAAGTGTTATTAGCAATACAGGAAAAGAGAAGGGAGTTTCTCTCTCACGGTATCCAGGCCAACAATCCCCCAGATAAAATCACTCACTCACTCCATGGCTGTTTGGGAACATTGCTGTGCTCAGATTGGCTGCCTGCCCAGAACAGTCCTTGATGGTTACTGATTAATAATGATGATAATCTTCGCATTTGATTCAATTTTTAGAACGTAGAAGCATCTCAAGTGGGGTCTCCTTGGATCCAAGGTGACATGTTTGCCAATGGATTGTCAGAATTGAGCCAGCCCTCTGTGAGGGTCTCTACTCTGGTTCCTGAGCCAGGCGAGTCCACAGTATTCCAGGGAACTGTTGATGATAAGACAGCCCAGCCTGGCGCTGCAAGCCAAAGTCCTTAGTCATTGGGAATCCTCCCATTCAGCTGCTGTTAACCCTGCAAACCCAATCCCTAATGGGTAGGGTGGTCCTAGCTGAACAAGCATTGGGAAAGCTTGCTGGACAGCAATATCAATAGCAAGCTATGTGGGTTTAGCTGGATAGACTGCAGCAGTTACTCCAACGCAAACTCTGGAGTCCCCGAGCCTTGGCTCCTGCCAACCTACCCATAATACTGTCCGGAATTACGTAAGCAGGATGTGTGTGTGGTCAGTGTAGTGACCGGGATTACGTAACCAGGAAGAGAGCTCACATTCCATTCCAACAGTCTCTCTCTGGAATTTCCATGTGTTCGTGGGATGACTGGAATTCCAAATTTGGTTGGATACCTTTAAGCACGGGGATAGGTTTCCACACGTGTCAGACACCCGGCTGACCAAAAAAACCATCTCAAAGAACTTCATAGTGGATTGCTTTGAGTTGTGAAACACTGAAACGTTCCCACACAAAGACCCTTGCTCTCCCTCTCCCCCTTTACCCTTCCCCCCTCTCTCCCCGCCCCCGCTCTCCCTTGCTCCTCTCTCTCTCCCTTCCCCACTCTCTCTCTCTCCCCCCCCCATCCCCCCTCCCCACCCTCTATCGCTGTCTCTTCCCCCCACCCTCTTTTTCTAAGGTCTCTGTAAATGAATCCGTTGTCCCTCCCTCCCAGGTATTTATGGATTTCTGAGGGAGTGAGCTGCTGGTTGGGATGTTTGCATCTCCCCAAATGTTCTCTGGCCTTAACTAAATGGGAAGAAATGAGTCATGACTGTGTGTGTTGTCAGTTTAGTGACTGTGTGTATGGTCAGCGCAGTGAGTGTGTCTGTGGTCAGTGTAGTGACTCGTGTGTGGTCAGTGTAGTGACTGTGTGGTCAGTAACTGTGTGTGGTCGGTGTAGTGACTGTGTGTGTGGTCAGTGACTGTGTGGTCAGTATGGTGTTATTGCCCACAAAATATATATATTGCTCACTTTACAGTATATTCTGTGAAGCACTTTGAGACATCTGGACAACGTGATAAGGTGCTATATCAAATGCAAGGATTATTGTTATTACAGTGACTGTGTGGTCAGTGTAGTGACTATGTGTGGGGTTAGTGTTGTGACTATATGTGTGGTCAGTGTAGTAACTGTGTGTGTGACACTAACAGGGGAAGCTGAAGCTGGTGACTGTGCTGGGGGCCGGATTGCTGTGTGGAACTGCGCTCACCATCATCATCCCTGAGGGAGTCGAACTGCTACTCGATCGTTCATCAACTGGTGAGTCTGTGTGTGTGTGTGTCACTATGTGACTGTGTGTACGTGTCACTGTGTGTGTGTGTATTACACTGTGTATATGTGTCACTGTATGTATATGTATCACTCTGTGTGTGTCAGTGTGTGTGTGTGTATATATGTGACTGTGTGTGTCACTGTTTGTGTGTATGTCACTGTGTGTCTGTGTATCACTGTGTGTGTATGTGTCTGTGTGTGGCGCTGTGTATGTGTGTTTGTGTCTGTGTCACTGTGTGCGTGTATGTCACTGTGTGTGTGTATCACTGTATGTGTCTCTATGGCTTGTTGTCTCATTCTGGGTATCGTTCTTTCATTCTATCACTCTCACTCTCTCTTTTACTGTTTCTCTTATCGTTTTCTGTTTCTCTCTTTCGTCTCTCTCACACATTTCCCTCTCACTCTCACTCCCTCTCTCATTCTTTCTCTCTCACTCTTTCTCTCTCACTCTCATGCTCTCTCTCTTACACTCTCTCTGAGAGAGTACATTTCTCACTATTTTTTAAACAAGTTACTGTATGTGAAATTCTAGACCAACCTGAGCCCTGGAACATGACGGAAAGTGTTGGTGTCCGGGGGGCTGAGGCGGTGGGGCAGGGGGTGAGGAGACCTCCAGCTGCCCCCCTGCACTCGCTGATAGGTGTCTCCCTCATCGTTGGGTTCCTCCTCATGTTCGTTGTCGACGAGCTTGCCAACTGCCTCTCGGACCACGCAGGTCAGTCCCCTGTTTACTGCTGTTGAACCTTTGCACTCACAGTCCAGGATGACACTCCAGTGCGGCTCTGGGGGTAGAGCTGCATTGTCAGAGATGGCGTCCTTCGGATGAGACGTTAAACCGAGGCTCTGTCTGTGCCTGTTCAAGTGGATGTTAAAGATCCCACGGCACTATTCGCAAAAAGAAGGGAGTTTCTCTCTCCCGGTGTCCTGGCCAACAATCCCCTAGAACAAACTGGTTGCTCACTCCACGGCTGGTTGTGGGACATTGTTGTGCGACATTGCTGCCGTGTTTGCCTACAAACACACAGTCACTACACTTCACAGTAAATCTTGTAAAGCCCGTTGAGATGTAGTCTGCATGTGAAAGGCGCTTTTATTGAATGCAAGGATTATTCTTCTTATTATAATAAGTGCCGGATGTCAGCCTGGCTCAGTCGCTCGCTTGTGAGTCAGGAGGTTGTGTAGGGTGGAGGACATTGAGCTCACGGTCTGGGCTGATGTCCGTCCCAGCCCGGCGCGGTGCTGGAGGGAGCGCAGCATTGTCAGAGGTGACACTAACCCGAGGTCCTGCACTAAGCTCTGTGAGCCTATCAGCCCATCCTCACTTCACTATCTCCCCATCCCCCAAAGAATTGAGTTCAAGATCGTGGTCCTCACCTTTGAAGCCCTTCACAATCTTGCTCCTCCCTAACTCTGTGACTTACTAGAAGCCTATCAACTCGTCCTCTCCCTCTGCTCGACAGGAACTGGCCATCTCCACGTTCCCCGCCCTGCTCGCTCCATCATTGGAGGTCAGGCCTTTAGGCTTTCTGGCCACACCCTCTGGATCGCCATCCCGGAGCCCCTCCACCTCCCAACCTCCCTTGCCTCCTTCAAGACCCATCTCACGACCTTCCTCTTTGATCTTGCCTTCGGTCATCTTCCCTCCTCTAACCCTCTTGACTCCAGACCGCAGCTTGGATGTAAACCTTTGACAATCCAGCGCCTCCCAATGTGAAAGTCACCATATCAATGCAATTTGTTGTTTTTGGTGTCTTGTCTGTGCCTGTTCAGTAAGATGTGGAGTCCTGTAGCAGTGTGGTTAGAGGATCCAGGTTTGATTCCTGGGTGGAGTGAAACATTAATAATAATAATAATAATAATAATAGGCATGTTAGGCACATTAGGCATGTCTCCTTACTCCACACACCTCTGTTTACCTAGCAGTAAGTAGAAACCCAGTTGTTAAATCGATTGGTGGACCACTTTCCAGGGTAATAATCCCTCAAATTAAATAATAATTTGGTCATCCACTCCACGACGGTTTGTGGGACGCTGCTGTGCACAATTGGCTGCCGCGTTTCGCCCACAAAATACAGTCAATTCAGTTTACAGCATATTCTGTGAAGTGCTTTGAGACGTCTCAATTTCATGATAAGGAGCTATATCAAATGCAAGGATTATTATTGTTATGATAAAGATCTTGTGACACGACTGAAAGAGAGGAGGAAGTTTCTCTGGTGTCCTGGCTGATACTGGCTCAGATGAATCAATCATTCACTCTGTGTCTGTGTGCAGTACATTGTGTGAAAATTGGCTGCTGCATAAATGGGTCACTCCACACTAATCCTCTGTGAAAAGCTGGAAGGTCTTTGTTGTGACAGATCGAATGCAACTTCTTTCTCTCCCCACCTCCCCCTACCCCACCCCCCACATCTGCACCAAATTTCTGTCCAGTTTCAGCTTCTGAGACATCGCCCACTTAACATAGTTAATTCCATTTGATGATAGCGTCTCAAATCGTTTCAGAGTTTGTCTGTAAAATGTATTTTCTGGGCGAAACGCAGCAGCCGATTTGCGCTTAGCAATGTCCTACAAACAGCCATGATGTGTGTGAATATCTGATGTTATTGGGGGAATGTTGGCCAGAACACCAGGAGAGAGAAATTCCCTACAAAACACACAAAATACTGCAGATGCTGGAAATTTGATAACAAAAACAGAAGTCGCTGGGAACAATCAGCAGGTCAGGCAGCATCTATGGAGAAAGGAAAGTGAGTCAACGTTTCGGGTCCACGACCCTTCATCAGAACAAAAATTCCCTTCTCTTTTCCTGTCGTGCTGCGGGATCTTTAATGTCCACCTGAACAGGCAGTCAGTACTTCAGTCTCAGACTGGAATAAAATACTTCAGAATTGTGACAATTCTTGGATTCAGTCTGATGTTAGACGCTGGTGTCTATGGTTTGCCGGGAATTGATATCCACTGCAATCCTCTCGACCACATGCCAGTCTGTGTGTGTGTCTCTCTCTCTCTCACTGTCTGCGGCTGTGTGGGTCTGTCTCTGCCTGTGTGTGTCTCACTCTCTCTATGTCTGCGGGTGTGTGTCTCTCTGTATATGTGTGTGTGTCTCACTCTCTGTCTGTATGCATTTTTTTCTCTTTTTTGTGTGTGTGTGTGTTTCTCTCTTTCTTTCTGTCTTAATTGCTCTGGGTGTGTCTCTTTCTCCCTTTCACTTTCTCTCCTCTCTCTCTGCACTCAGGCCTGGTGAAGGCATTACTCTTGCCAGTTCACAAAGGCCGGCTTGTGCTGCCAGTGAGCTCTGTCTCCAGACCGCGAGGCTGTGAGCAGTGCTCCGTGGCCAGATTCCCCAAATAGTCTTTTCTTTGTGCTGTCCTGACCGACATTCCCCAGAAAACACAACAGCCGGCGATAAATAACCAGATGCCTTCTGGGCCTGTGGCTGTGAGAGAAGGAGAGAGGCGATACAGAGAGACTATAATATCACAGGGCTATACATGGAGTCTTGTAGAGTAGTGGTTAGAGAACTCTACTTGCAAGCGAGAGGAACCGGGTTCAATTACCCGGGCAGAGCAAAACCTTAGGCAAGTTTCTTTACTCCACACGCCTCTGTTTATTCACAGGTCTCAACAGCATATCTCAACAACGCGATATCAAATGCAAGCATTATTATTATACAGAGATTATATTAACACAGGGGGGAGTGCTACATTGTCGGAGGTGCAGTACTTTGGATGAGATGTTAAACCAAAGTCCCGTCTGCCTGTTCAGGTGGATGTTAAAGATCACCTGCACTATTGGAAAACAGAAGGGAGTTCCTTTCTCGCAGTGTCCTGGTCAACAATCCCCCAAATAAAATTGGTCACTTACTCCATGACTGTTTGTGGGACATTCCTGTATTGAAAATAGGCTGTTGTGTTTGCTGACACAGTCACTTCACCGTGCTCTGTGTGTAACCTCGCTGCTGGAAGGTCCTATTAATACTGTATTGTTGATGGTTAATCTGTGTGTTTGTGTCACACACAGAGCCCAGATCAGGCTCCAGCGTCACTGCCACCATCGGACTGGTCATACACGCAGCAGGTACCCAGCACTGTGTGTGTGTGTGTGACTGTGTTTTTTGTGTGTGTATGTATGTGACTGTGTGTGTGTGACTGCATGTGTATGATTGGTGGGGGTGGTGGTGCTGGGGGAGGATGGGGGTGTGGCGATGGTGGGGATTGAGGTGGTGATTGGGGTGGGGGTGATTGGGGTGGGGGTGGTGATGGTGGTTGTGGTGTTGCTGATGGACAGTGTTGTGTCTCTAGCGGATGGTGTTGCTCTGGGCACGGCGGCCGCCTCCTCACTGCTCCCCGTCCAGGTCATTGTCTTCCTCGCCGTCATCCTCCACAAGGTGAGGGGAGCTGGGGACCCCCATTGTATCCGCTCTGACCCCCACTGTATCTGCTCTGACCCCCACTGTATCCACTCTGACCCCCACTGTATCCACTCTGACCCCCACTGTATCCACTCTGACCCCCACTGTATCCGCTCTGACTCCCACTGTATCTGCTCTGACCCCCACTGTATCCACTCTGACCCCCACTGTATCCACTCTGACCCCCACTGTATCCACTCTGACCCCCACTGTATCCGCTCTGACTCCCACTGTATCCGCTCTGACCCCCACTGTATCTGCTCTGACCCCCACTGTATCCGCTCTGACCCCCACTGTATCCGCTCTGACCCCCACTGTATCCGCTCTGACCCCCACTGTATCCGCTCTGACCCCCACTGTATCTGCTCTGACCCCCACTGTATCCGCTCTGACCCCCACTGTATCCGCTCTGACTCCCACTGTATCCGCTCTGACCCCCACTGTATCCGCTCTGACCCCCACTGTATCCGCTATGTTTAGGCTCCTGCGGCATTCGCTTTGGTATCGTTCCTGTTACACGCCGGCCTGGAGCGGCGTCAGATCCACAAACACTTGCTGGTGTTCTCGCTGGCCGCCCCGCTCCTCGCCATTACAACCTTCTTCATCGTCAGCACGGTGAGAGCCTCCACCTAGGGTCACCACAACACCCCCCAGACACCACCCAACACCCTCCAACACAACACCCCCCAGACACCACCCAACACCCTCCAACATAACACCCCCTCGCCCGGAACCTTTCCCCCTGGAACCTCTATGAATAACAATAATCCTTGCAATTGATGTAGCGCCTTATTGCATCATTGAGACGTCTCAAAGCGCTTCACAGGATACACTGTGAAGTATAGTGACTGTGCATTTTGTAGATTGAACAAGGTGACATCTCCAATACACAGGTTGTGGGTTCAATCTTCACTTTGGGAGTTTGAATCACATAGTCTAGGCTGACGCTCCAATGCAGAACTGGGGGATGATGCTTTGTCATAATGACGAGGTGGTGGTGGGTGCGTGAGTGGGTTAGTTGGGTCTTTATTTTTGACTGATGCTCCCTTTCCCTCTCCTCCCATCACAGAGCAGGGCCAACAGCACTCTCCACAGGACGGAGGCCACAGGGATGGGGATGCTGTTCTCCGCGGGGACCTTCCTGTACGTGGCCTCTGTCCACGTGCTGCCCGAGGTCAGCGGGAGAGGACGGAGCCTCGGACACATGCATCACCGGGAGGGGGCGAGCGACAGCGGGGCCAAGCCTGGTCTCAGCTTCCTGGAGAGCTTGGTGCTGATCACGGGCTGTGTCCTCCCCCTCCTGCTCTCACTCATCATTCACGAGGGGTGATGAAGAACATCGATAGACACCCTTTTACCTGCCCCCAGCTCCATCAACCCTCCACTCATGACATCTACAGCAAAGCACCTGAGTTCCCCCTCCACCACCCGTCTTCAGGGTAAAGGGTGTGGACACAGCGGATGTGCGAGGATTATCTGCTCTCTTCTGACTGTCCTGTTTTCCCATGTGGGAGCCCTGAGCTGCTTTCATACTAATCTCAAACTGAACTAACAGCGTGGAACGTTATTGTTAGTATAAGATATACACCGATGGCAAGCTCTGTGTTTCAGCTAGTTAGACTCCCGCAGTAACTCCAACACACACTCTGGGGTCCGAAAGCCTTGGTCATTGCCAACCTGCACCTAATCCTTTCTGGAATTGGGTAAGCAGGATGTGTCCCTCCAGGGAGAGAGTGCACATTTTCATTCCAATAATCTATCTCTGGGATTTCCATGAGTAGGTGGAATGTATGGAAATCTCAGTTTGGTTTGGTACTCGTAAGCATGGTGATGGGTTTCAGCATGTGTCAGACACCCGGCTGAGCAAAAATGAATGTACATCATGTAATGCTTGGCAGCACTGACACATGGTAGAAGAAGCAACAGGATGTGGAGGACATCCCTGACTCCCTCCCGCCAAATGAAGACGTTGTTCCAACTCTGCACAGATACTGAGCAACAGTTACCTGCAGCAACAAAAATGGACTCACTGATCATCCGATCACCTTCCAAAACAGGCAGCCACTAAACTGAGGGCTTATAGTACAACAGTGCTGCCTGTGGGAGAGTGTAGGAAGGCATGCACCACACCTAGAAAAGAAAAACTTGCACCATAATTTTAACAATAAAAAAGACAGATTTATTTTAATGAGAAAGCTCTACCTCTTTATATCCATCTTCTCCAGACTCACCTTCCTTCTCTGCAGCTTTGTACTGGGGTTTAATAGCCTGTGGCTGGTCCCAATTAGCTCTTAGAGCTGGAATTTCCAACAAGCCTGATTGAGGTCCAGCCCTTGTAGATCACTTGAATGTGACACCTTTCTTTAAACGAGTCACACAAAACGATCTTTTAAACATAAGTTGAGCACCAATAACTTTAGGAAGCAGGGATAGGCTTTATCTCCCTGCCACAGAGGCACGGACAGGCAAGCGTTCTTTTAAAAATGTTTGTTTTCCACTCCTGACAATCGGAAGTAGCCAGACCATGTGAATGTATTTGTGTAGATAAAACATGTTGCACCACAGAACCAGATTATCCAGTCCATCAAGTTTTTGCTAGTGTTTTTTCTCCAGATCAGCAATTGAATCGAATCCCACTCTCCCGAGACTCCAAATCTGTCATGGTTTTAAGTTGACTTGTGAGTCAGAAGGTTGTGGGTTCAAGCCCCCACGTTGGCGCTTTGAATTCATATAGTTATTTTGATCTATATAAATAACCTGGACTTGGATAGGGAGTGCAATTTCCAAGTTTGCAGATGATACTAAGCTAAGAAAAGTAATGAACAGTGAGGAGGATAGTAGCAGACTTCAAAAGGACATAGACAGACTGGTAACATGGGCAGACATGTGGTAGATGAAGTTTAATGTGGAGAAATGCAAAGTGAAGTATTTTGGGCGGAAGAATGTGGAGAGGCAATATAAGCTGATGGTAGAATCTTAAAAGGGGTGAAGGAACAGAGAGAGACCTGGGGGTTCATATAAGTAAATCTTTGAAGATGATAGGACAGGTAGATAAAACTGTTTTAAAAAAAGCATACAGGATACTAGGTTTTATAAATAGGGGTATAGAATACAAAAGTCAGCAAGTTATGATGAACCTTTATAAAACACTGATTAGGCCTCAGCTAGAGTACTGTGTTCAGTTCTGGGCACCACAGGAAGGATGTCAAGGCATTGGAGAGGGTGTGAAGGAGATATACCAGGATGGTACCAAGAATGAGGAACTTCAGTTATCAGGAGAGGCTAGAGAAGCGAGGATTATTCTCCTTGGAGCAGAGGAGGTTAAAAGAAGACTTAATAGAAGTTTTCAAAATTATGTGGGGATTCGGTAGGGTGAACAAGGGGAAACTATTTCCACTGGCGGGTGGGTCGGTAACCCAAGGACACCGATTTAAAATAGTTGTTAAAAGAAACAAAGGGGAAGTGAGGAGAAATTTTTTCACACAGTGAGTTGTTTGGATCTGGAATGCGTTGCCTGGAAGTCGATTCGATAACAACTTTTAAGAGAGAAGCAGATAATTATTTGGGGAGGACATGTTTGCAGGGCTATGGGGAGGGAGCAGGGGAGTGGGATTGATTTGGATAGCTCTTTTGAAAGATCTGGTACAGACACGATGGGCCAAATGGCCACCTTCTGTGCTGTATAATTCTATGATTCTATGATAGCCATGAGGATGCAGACAGTGGAGTTTAGGATAAGTTGCAGTTTATGGATGGAGAAGCTAAGGCAACCAAACTTTCAATGCAAGTCCAGGTGAGATAATATGTGGATATGTATTTCGAATGCATTTAGTATGAAATAGGAGCAGAGGCATCCTCTAGATAATTGAGGAGAGGAAGATAATAATAATAATAATAATCCTTGCATTTGATATAGTGCTTTTCACGTCGGGAGGACGTCACAAAGCGCTTCACAGAACACACTAAAGTGAATTGACTGTATATTTGTGGGCGAACGCAGCAGCCAATGGCGCACAGCAATGTCCCACAAACAGTCGTAGATTGAAAATGACCAATTTATTATTGTTTAAGGTTTTGGAGGGATTATTATTAGGCTATGTGTGGAGTAAGGAAACTTGCCCAAGGGTTCGCTCGGCCTGGAATTGAACTCAGGTCTCTCGCTTGCAAAGCGAGTGCTCTAACCACTGAGCTACAGGACTCCACGTTAAATCTACGTTTATCCAAGATAAATAGGGGTCTCCTTGGACCTCTGCCCAGTCTATAATGATCAAATGAGATCAGGTCCTTTTCATGTGGGAATATATTAATAATAATCCTTGCATTTGATATAACGCCTTATCACATCTTTGAGACTTCTCTAAGCGTTCGCAGAGTATACTGTAAAGTGAACTGACCGTACATTTTATGGGCAAAACATGGAAGCCAATTACATACAGCAGTGTCCCACAAAGTTGTGAATTGAGTGACCAAATTATTATTATTATTTTTGGAAGGATTATTACCCCTGAAAAAGCGATCCATCAATCAACTAACAACTGGGTAACTACTTACTGCTAGGTAAATAGAGGTGTGTGGAGTAAGGAAACCTGCCCAACATTTTACCCTGCCAGGAATCGAACCCAGCTCCTCTCACTTGTGAGGTGAGTACTCTAACCACTAAAATACAGGACTCCATAAAGGATCAGTTCCCTACTTTTGTACGCTGATATTGATGCGCTGGAAAATTATTTTGTTTATTTCAAGAGAAATCGTGGAAGCATTCCAGACCTCAGCACTTAGAATGACAAGCAAGCAGTGTGCATGGATTGTGAGTTTAAACACCCACCTCCAAACATTACTGATTAAATCTGTTCACCAACAACCAATTCCCAGCACTGAAATTCCAGAGTCTCTTTTAAGAGTAAAGGCAGAATGGAATTCACTGTCTTCTTGTCTCAAAATATTGTTAGACCAGACTTTGTTCAACAGTTTACCAGTGAAGGGTTTTCCAGGTCAATTGGTTTGGCTGTTCATTCCTCACAAGCACATTTTTTTTCAACTCTGTCCTCAATTCCCCTTCTTTGGCTCCTTGTGATGTGCAAGCCAAAGCAGTTTAACCAGCTAATACTGGCTAGCTTGCAGCTGTGAGCTGGTTTGCAAGCTAAAACCCTAGGGCAATCCTCACTGGACCAGTTCTCAGCTCTTGCCAACTTTCAGCTAATTCAATTAGCAGGTGTGTCCATCCAGGCAGTGCACATTAAAGTGGATTAACTGTATTTTTGGGGAGGGCGGCAAGTTGTGCACAATAATGTCCCCGGGGGATTATTGACCAGGACACTGGGAGAAAATCTCCTTTTGAATAGTGCCATGGCATCTTCAGCGTCTACCTGAATAGGCAGACAAGACTTCAGTTTAACATCTCATCCGAAGGACGGCAACTCCAACAATGCAACGCGCCCCCCTCCCTGGAGTGTCAGCATAGACTGTGTGCTTCTGTATGCTTAAGGATGGTGATGGATTTCCACTTGCATCAGGTGATGGCCAAAAATGGTGTCGAGCAGTGAGACATTGAGCTTACCTGCTCCCACACCTCTGGCAGAGCTGATCTGGCAGCCCATGTCTTTCTGCAGTTTCCCCTTACAGCCACCCCCCCCCAGAAAAACAGACGGTTATTTAAGAAACTTTTATTTAAATGGTTCGCAAAGCAAAAGTGGGGGTGGGGGGCAAAGCAGTAAAAGAACTGAATATCAAACATACAGACAGCCACCGCATCCTTCAGTAATAAAAAATAAAAATATGATCTGAACATGATCTTCAGACATTTGCTCGGTATAAAAATACTGTCATTTTAAATATATAAATAGGGGAAATCAAAGTTAGTGGCAAAGGAAATCAAGATGGTGGTGAGTTGTGGAGTTTTATTCTCTAAGGCCAATAAGATCCATTGAGGGTTTAATCTGTATAAATGGTCTACAATTCATACTGCAGTGGAGGCTCCTGCTTGCTCTTTGTTTTGTGAGAACTAATGGAGGGCAGTTTGGCACAAATATACCTTTCTCCCATTGGCAATATCTTGCTGTCACTCGTCTCCCAGCGAGTTTTGGGAGCAGGGTCTTGAGGGAGCCAAATAAATGTAATTGTAGAAAATAAATGTAATGGTTAATGTCATAAAGTAGGCTCATGGTTGAAGCTTGTGTGGCTAATGTCATCAACGTGGAATGTCATATACTATGGAAACTTGGGGGTGGGAGGGCTGCTAAGTAAGACAAGTAATATAAGGAGTGTCAGAGCCAGCTGACTCACAGCAAATCCCAACGGCTCAGAAGGTTCCACGTTCAAATTCAGAGCCTAAACTAACTAGATCAGTGTTCTTAATGAAAATCCCCTCCAGGGGTTGAGATCAAACCAAATTTACAGGTCTTTCAAATGTTACCATAAGAGCTGAAATAGTTTAATGAAATTAATTTAAAATGTAAGTGTCAATGGAAACATCCCATCATCAATGACCGCCAAATATGAGGCTCCCCTAATGCTTCCAATGGCTATTGCGACAGAATTCCTTTTATCCTTCGAATGGACATCGATCCGGATTTTGTTTTATTGCTTTTCAGCCTTGTGCTTGTTGAAGACAGGAGCTGGTACGAGCTCTCGTGATCTGAAATCAACTGCTTTTCCTTTACCTCCCCACAAAAATGCTACATTTTTCAATTTGCCTGTTTATTTCCACATTGCAGACCAGCGGAGCTTTACCACAGAGGCTGAAGTACCAGAAAGTCCCAGGAAGTTAACAGACGTAAATTACAGCTCTTTGGTGGAGGAAACCACATGAAATTTATAAACTACCAAACCACACGAATATAATACACAAGAGACTGAGAACTCTCTGGCCACTTTTGTTCCTGCCACGTGACTGTATGACTGATTTGTTTTAATCATGAACATCATGAGTTAGATTGTGTGGACGTTACAGGGAATAGTGATGCGCAGGTAACCAAACCAAAGATAAATAGGCCATGGCATTAGGTGCAATGAACAATGTGGCACAGTTGGTTCCAGAGTCCTGATCTCAGTGTTTGTATACAGAGAGGGGCTTTAAGCAATCAAATCCTTTCACCTGTAAGCATCTGTCTTTGACCTTCTGATTTGTGTTTTGTGAACTGCTCACAAGCAGCCCTGAAGGTGCTCTACACCTTCCATGGCGACACAGATCTGTATGCAGATACTCTACAGTGCAACGACAAGGTTTTAATGTTAATTGATATTAACTGGATTTCACTTCACTTCAATGTTCATCATCTCTGAGTGAGCCCTCAAGGCAGTTTTGAGAAGCAGGGCCTTGAGAAGGTGAAGAAATGTAATTGTAAATAAAATTAACGGATAAAGTCATGAAGTGGGCTCAGGGATGCAGCTTTTGTGGCAAATTATGTCAGAAAGTCATATATCCTGGAAAAGGAAGGCTGCTAAGTAATGGACCATAGCTACACAAGGAGCATCAGAGCCAGCGAACCACAACAGCTCAGAAAGTTCCACGTTCAAACTCACAGCCCAAACTAACCAGTAGACCCTTGTTCTCAATGAAAGGCCCCTCCAGGGGGTCAAGATCAAATCAAATTTACCGGCCTTTCAAATGTTACCACAAGTGCTTAAATAATTTAATGAAATGGAAATTTATAACTCTTAAAAGTTATGTTATCAGTGTGCTTCTATTTCGTAGTTATTTTGGGTGCAATTCCTGCCAATGGTTATTAAAACCCTCAGTTTCCACTTTAGAGTGAATAGAACGAACCAGCCACGTCTATCATTTTCAACAGAATGGAAAGAATATGCTGGAAGAGAGGAATGCTTCATTCACGATAAAAAGCTACTACATTCACTGTACCTTTCAATACAAACAGCCAAGAGGCCTAATAAAACATGTTAAAGTTTTGGGCGTGATTTTCATCAGGGCTCACACACCGTGACATGGGTTGCTCACTTTATTCTGAGAAGTCAATGCTTGCGTAGCAAGTATAATTCCATGGATTGATAGCCTCCAGCCTCGCACTACAAAACTCCTGGGTTCAGGAATTCATTTAATAGTGCTCACAACCGGATTCCTGTGAAATGAAGCGTACATTTCTGTTGCATGACCTTGGCATCTTTCACCCACTCTTTCTGCCACTGCCTCCAACCTACTCTTTTTCCCCCATTTCTCCCTCCCACTCAACCATCATCACCCAAATGAAACCCACCAACTGTTGTCTTGAGCCCCCTCCCCACCCAGCTGTTAAGTCACCCAACTGCACTTTCATTGCCCCCGCTGGCCAGGCAGTTAATCGGTCTCTCTCCTTGTGCTCCGTCCCGCTCCACATCAAAAATGTCATTACTCCTCAAAAAAACATCTTTGATCCTTTTGACTTTGCAAACTACCGGGTCACAAATACACGAATAAGGGTTTGGGTTGTATTGGGTGTGAGATACAGACAGAGGTGGGCAATATGTTGGGCTCTGACCTCCTTAACCTCCCCGGCCTATCCCTGAACCTAAGCACAACTGAGGCATCAGATTTGATCTCCAGTTGTCCTTAGGACCACATTCCTTCACCTCCAATGCCCACCTCTGACCGTGTTTCACATCCAATGTAGTCAACACCCTTATCCACCTTTGTGACCTGCAAACCACATATCAATCTGTCCGCTACCTCTGCTCAGCAGGCTCCAGCCAGTTCCACCGTCAGCCTTCAGCCTCTGCCCCCACCCTTTCGAACGCCATCCCACAATCCCTTTGCCTTGCTCACACCCTTGCCTCCTTCAAGACACGTCTCAAGACCCTCCTCTTCGACCTCACCCTCGGCCACCCCCCTACCCTCTCTGCCCTCCTTCCCTGACTGAAGTGAAAGGCGCTATACAAATGTAATTTACAAAATTTACATTCGACACCTCCCACCTAATTATTCCAATGTTCTGCTCACCGGCCTTCCTAGCACCATCCACCATTCATAAAATCCAATTGATTCAAAACTCCATCCCTCATCCCATCTGCTCCACCATCAGCAGCTATGCTTTCAACCATGACATCCCCAAACTATAGAACACTCTGCCTCAATTGCTCCACCTGGCCTGCTCCTTGTCCATCTTTAGATCACACCTGAAAACCTTTCTCTTCGACCATGCCTTTGTTCACCTCCCCATTCTTCCCAGCTCAATGTCACGCTGTGCCACTATTAAGCACTCCATGTGAAGGGAGCTATACAAATGCAAGTTGTTGTTGTTGGCACATGGGCTGAAGGTCAGCATGTTCAGTGGTCTAAAATTCCTAATGAGATTTCTTCAGAAAGGAGTCATGCAAAATGAGGAATCATATAGTTAATCTGTCAGACTCGGCTCCAATACAATCTAATTCCAGAATGGTGTTCCTGTGGCCAAGAATGTTGAATAGGATTCCTGCCATTACGCAACCTGCATTTTCAGATTCCTCCCCTCTCCTCTCCCCACCACACACACAGCCGACAAAAAGTAGTCAGTGCGATTGGTAGTTACACTGCACTCTAAGGAGTGTGTGCTGATCAAGTGGTATAACAAAATTAAGGTCTTACTTTTCTGGTCCTTGTTGAGGTGATGTCTTTACCAGATCTGCCTGAGAATTAGCTGACTCAGCCAAAGCTTGAAAGTTGGTTCTTTCTGGGTGGCTCAAAACCACATCAGTCAATGAATCGATTCCCACTGATTGACCCTGCAGTGGAGGGTCTTGTTTTTGTCCATGCGCCTGTTTAAGATATACATCTTGCACAGGGATAAATGAGCAAACGATCGATCACTCGTAGCAAAAGGTTGGCCATTATAGATGGCCCCTTAACATAAAACTAGAAACTCACAATTTACAAAACAACAAGATTACATTTGTATAGCGCCTTTCACGTCAGGCGGATGTCCCAAGGCGCTGGACATTGTACAGCATTTGAGACCCGAGCTGGGGTCAGGGGGGGAGAAGGGAGGGGAGGTGGCCGATGGTATGGTCGAAGAGAAGGGTCTTGAGGTGGGACTTGAAGGAGGTTAAGGAGCGGGTGAGGCGGAGTGATTGGGGGACGGAATTCCAGAGGTTGGGGGCAGAGTGGCTGAAGACTCTCCCGCCAATGGACGTGGAGCAGGCCGAGCAGAGGGAGCGGGCGGGTTGGAGGGGGTTAGGAGATCGCAGAGGTAGGGTGGGGCGAGGCCGTGGAGGGCTTTGTAGGTGAGGACCAGGATCTTGAACTGGATCCTCTGAAGGACAGGGAGCCAATGGAGTCGGGCAAGAATGGGGGAGATGGGGTCACGGAGTTTGGTGGGGGAGAGGACATGGGCTGCAGAGTTCTGGATTATCTGCAGCCTGTGGAGGGAGGAGTTGTGAAGGCCGACAAGTAGGGCGTTTGCATATACATACATACATACATATATATATACACACGTTTGCATTTACATGTATATATCGCCTTTCACGGCAGGATGTCTCAAATCAGTTCACACCGCTGACTGGAAGCCCAATCAGGGGGGAATCCTGAATTCAATCTGCTGGTGGATGAATGAGGATATAGGCTTGCAGAGCCAAGTACAGGAAAGGACATGGACTGCGGAGTTTTGGAAGGTCTGAAGCTTGTATAGGTAGATGCTGGGGAGTCCGGCGCGGAGGGCATTGGAATAATCAAGCTTGGATGTGAAAACGGAGTGGATGAGGGTCTCAGCAGCAACCGCCAAAAAGTAATGGCAAAGGCGTGCAATTTTGAAGAAAAGCCAAGTGAAAGCCCAATGGATGGTTTGAACAACAAGACACCAAAGGCCCACATCAGCTCCACAAGGTGGGATAAGCAACCTTGCAATTTGATGATGTCAGTGCCTCAGATGAGAAAGCACTGAAAGGAGCCAAGCAAGAAAGCTTCGGTCTTGTTGACATCCAGCTGTGGAAAGTTAAAACTCATTCAGATGCATTCAGGACACAGCAACAAACTTGTGTAAATGATTCACAATTTGAGGAAGAGCACAATAAAAGACAATTTTTCACTTGCTTGTCAAACATCATAATACACACACACACACACACACACATCAAACAACATACAAGCCTATTGCTGAAGTGATAGGAGCACAAGCATTGTCTTTTTACAGCTTCACAACACTGGTAGAAGAGTTTGGCATCAAAACACATTTTGGGAATATTTTACTTTGAAATAACCGACTCTAATGATCTTACGTCTATCGCACAGAATCAGATCTCTCGTGAAAATATTTCTCAATGGATTCCTGACAATTCAACTTTCTTTTTTGAGAACCTTTACCCATCCAATAGCCCACCAATGTTCAAAATGGAGATCACTGGTCAAAGGCTTCTCACCAGTTTGATTTCAGGTGATCAATGTGGGAGGTTTAGCTCAGGCACTAATGAGCTATCTTATTCGCCAGACCTGCCCACATCTGAGGTTCCATGGCCATTTGGTCAAAGGACCGTCTGTTAATCTGCTTCCTCACGCGCTCCCTCATTTGGAAGGCTGCCCTGGCCACTCGGCGAGACTCCTCTATGGTCTCTTCCTTCACTTTCAAAATCTCCTCGCTTCTCTTGTCCTTTCTCTTAATGGTCTCTTCCATTTCCCGTCGCTGCCATTCCTTTTCCTCCTCCACCCGTTTCTTTATCAGATGGTGGGCCTTCTCTTTCTCCGATCTGATCTTCTGGGTCCGGAGAGCTTTTTGGCGGATGTGGATTAACAAGGCTTTCTTGGCTTGCTGGACTTTGTATTCGGAGAGTTTGGCCAGGGCTTCCTTACGCTCCTTCTCCTCCTGTTCCAGTTTCTCGGCCCTGATTCTGGCCTGAAGAATCTGCTGCTCTTCTCTGGCAGCTTTTTCTTTCAATTCCCGGCTCCTCTCCTCCACCAGTTGCTCTTGGTTTTCTTTGAATTTCAGGAGCTTCCGCTCCAGCGACATCCTGGCCATCAGTTCCTCTGTCTTGGCCAGATTGTCCACTTCCCTCTTCAGGATCGTATGCTTCAGCTTCTCCTGTTCATTCTCCAGCTTGATGCGGTTCTGCTCCCTCATTTCTTTAAACAGCCGTTTCTGAGCCGCATTGGACAGCTTATCCTGGGAGATCTGCACTTCCAGCTGCTTGATGGTGCGTTTCACATCTTCAGTTTGTTGTAACAGTTGGTTTTGGTGGCACTTACGGATTTCAGCTTGGTATTTTGCTTCTTCTACTTTCTCCTTTCTCTTTAGATCCTGTTCCTCCGCCAGCCTTCTCCATTTATTTTCTTTCAATATCACGTCTTTTGCCTTCAGCTCAGCCATTTGTTTGATCTTCTGGTGAATCTTGCACCTCCTGTTCTCATGTTCCCTTTTCCACCTGGAAACACATAAAAGCAAGCTTACATCAACAACTGTCTCAGGGCAGTATCCTAAGCCTGAAATACCACTTAGTCGAAATTTGCGAGACTTTTTTGTGTTAAAAACTTAAGATGGTTGTCACTTGTGCCCTCTATTTGACCATCGGTGGCCGTGTTTTCAGCCTCTATGCCCCAAAACTCTGGAACACTCTCCCTCAATTCCTCCTCCTTGCCCCCTCCATCCTCATCTTCAGATCGCACGATGTATCCTGTTAAACACTGAGACACCTCGACAACATGCTAAGGCACTATATCAGTTGCAAGGACCATTATTATATTATAAGTTAATTTTACACAATTCTTAGAAATAAATGAACTTTAAGAATTTTCTAAAATTCAGCATCACCTTACGTTTTAAAGAAAAACTGCTCTTAAGGCTAATACTAGGTGGAGTTTCAGGTCTTACAACAGTAGGCACAAGTCAGACACATTGCCTACAAATACACAGTCACTACACTTGTGAAGCTCTTGGCAACGTGATAAGGTAGTGCAACAAGTGCATGAATTTTATAAACAATTTTTTTATCTTCAATTTTCTTTAGCAATACTTTTACCCATTTCTACTGGTTCTTCCATTTCTGGCCAAAGGTAGCTAACAGACAAACCTCCCAAGCCTCCACATAGCCTATTACTAGGAACTGTGAAGTCTGGGAATTACTTTTCCTTTATCTGCTCTAAGGCAACCTGAAGCCCAATGAAGTCCCTCCAAAACCAAAAACAATAATAAATTGGTCATTTTCAATCTACGACTGTTTGTGGGACATTGCTGTGCGCAATTGGCTGCCGCGTTCGCCCACAGATATGCCTTCAATTCACTTTACAGTGTGTTCTGTGAAGCGCTTTGGGATACCCTCCCGACGTGAAAAGCGCTATATCAAATGCAAGGATTATTATTATTATTATTAAGTCACCAGTTTCTCAAAAGCTATTCTTTCAGGACACTCAAATTTCTCACTTTTAAACATACAAAACTGAAAAGGTCCCACCTGCCCAATCGATTTCTAGTTACCATTACTCAATCTCTTTCTTTCTCATGACCCTAACCCCACTATCATCACAGACCTGTGTAATTCAACACTGTGCCTCCACGCGGAAAGTGTTGCCTATTTTATTATCCTCTGCATAAAATAATGGTTGTTCATCTTCTAAACCCCTCACCCCCTCAATCAGTTGTGAATTTTAACCACACTCACCATATTGGAGTCCATCTTATCTATATTCTCCTTATCCACATTTAATTTTAGCCTTTTATTGAAGAACCCCTCTATTTCAGAAGCTACCAAGATCTAGTTTACCGTAAGGAAACTAGCAACACATTACTGCCTCTGGCCATACTGGGCACAGCACATTAGCTCGTAGTGTCACCACCTCTCCAGCACCCAATAGATTCTCTCAATTCCCACAATTGCATTCTATAATAATCCTTACATTTAATATAGAGCCTTATCAATTCACTGACATGTCTTAAAGTGCTTCATAGAATATATTGTAAAGTGGACTGACTGTGTATTTTGTGGCCAATTGCGCACAGCAGTGTCCCACAAATACTTGTGGATTGAGTGACCAGATTTTTTTTTGAGGGATTATTACAACAACAAGATTGCATTTATAGAGCGTCTTTCACGTCGGGAGGACGTCCCAAGGCGCTGGACAGTTGGTATTACCCCCAGAGAGCAATCCACCTGTCAACTAATAAACTGGTTCCTACTCACTGCTAGGTAAACAGCGGTCTGTAGAGTAATGAAAATTGCCTAAAGTTTTTCTCGCCCGGGAATTAAACCCAAGTCCTCTCCCTTGCGAGGCAGGTGAGTGCTAACCACTACACTGTGGGACTTCACATGTTTAACGTCTCTCTGATGGATATTGCCCATTTGTTACCCACAAGACTGACTTTAGTGACAAGATCCAAGATTCAACTGAATTCTTTTCACTCAAAACCATTAATAACACTCAGATGAAACCTCTTATCTCTTTTGTCTGTTTTCCATTTGCCAAGACCCAGAGACTCTAAACAAGGCATTGCCGAATCCAACCCCATGATCGTATACTCCAAACGAAATTGCTGATTGTTGTAGTGACCTGCCAATGCTCTCAATTAACTCTCTTTGCCTCTCAGCCTCCTTCCTCATTTGTTCCAGTTTTTCCTTCCTCTTCAGACTATCCCAGAATTGTTGAGCTTGAATACGCTGCTCAAGCCTCTTCTGTTCCTCCTGATGTTTTACCAGCATCAAAGCTGCAATCTTCCGATCCCGTTCGGGGATGATGACATTGGTTTCCCTTCGGATCTCATTGACCAGTTTGTCCAGCTTCCGTGCGGTGGCGGGGGATTGCCTTAAATCACCAAGGCTGGTGCTCTTACGAAAATGCACCTTCAAGCCAGTGTCCTTTCTTTTCTTCTGGGGGGATGTTTTCTGGCTATCTTCTGATGAGATAGCCCAACTAGGGGATCTGTTCCTGCACTCAGAAAGAGCCGGTCTCGGGGAGCTCCGGATTCCATGGAGAGCGTCCAGAATGTCACTGTTGGGGAAAATAGATTCATCCACTGATCTGTGAGCAGCAAATTTCAAAAAGGCTGGTATTGGTGTTCTCCGGGCTTTTTCTACCTCTATAATCCGTTGTCTCTCTCCTCTGCACTCTGTAAATGTAAAGTAAAAAAGGTACTGTGAACACAAATGCATTTCATAATTCTCTACCAATAGTCAGTAAGCTATTAACTGTATGTAATAAATAATAAAAAGGAGACCAGAAAGCTGACATAATTTCTGCCTCTCCTATCTATAGACAGTAAAGCATTCTAAAGTCCACCTGGGAAAAAATGCTGCCTAAATGGAATTTCATTCCAGATGATAAGCACAAACCTCCCCCCACCTGCAGTCTGCAATCCAAAATTCAGAAAGTTGTCCAACCCTTCTTGACAGCAAATTCCAATGAAGCACTTTAAAGCAGCTATGTTAAATGCAAGTATAATACTAGTGTATACCGTATGCAATTGTGGGATAGGACACATTGCACTGAGAGGAGATGGAGCAGGGCTAGGCTGACTTTTATTAAGGGAAGGATTTAAGCATCTTATACAATAACCCTGAGAAGAGGACAGACAGGTGAAATTGGAAATGGTTGTAGTGCAAAAAATAAGCAGACAAATAGCTCATTCCAATCTACAAATTTCCCTGGTACCATTTCCAAACCTCAATGGTGTGATGAAAGAGTCTAAGCTTCGAAATGAAACCCGCAGGCAAAGTCCGTTCTAACACCTAACCTGCGAGTACTAGAGATTGGAGTCAGCAAAGTAAAAAAATAGCACTTTTTTTTAAAAAAAAGGACTTTTCCCCATTTTTCCTTTGCTTAGCAAAGCTACGGGAATTTAGACCAATAGTGCACCTTCCTCCTCTTCAAGCTCTCTTTCTTGCTTGTCTATACATTTAAACCACAACTGGATTGAGTTGTTCTCTGTAGAGTTTAAAAAGTAGCATCACAAACACGACACCACTATGAACATCTGTATGAGTGAACAGCAGTCAAACAAGACTGAAACCTGAAGCTTCCTTCCGTCCCATACCACGTGCTTTCCAGCCAACCTAAAAAACACCTGCCAGTTATATTCTTCCCAGCTGGCATATATCACACCCTTTCTCCCCTATTGCTCTGATCCTTTACCAGTCTTGAAGGAACCATCTCTCTGTAGTACTTTATGGTTTGCCAGCTTGACAGTAGCCACCCATCTACTGTTCTTATTCTTACCAGCCTGGATGTGGAGTTCGCCTGTTTTCGGACATTCTTTTCCTGGCTGTATACAGCAACTTGCCCACTAGAAACCTTCCTCCATCTTCTAGGACAGTCAAAACAAAAAGGAGGAAAAGGCAGGAAAAGAAAAGCAGTATGTAAAGAAACAACAAAAACATGAAGAACAGCAGCACAAAGGTTTTAAAAAAAGAAAAGAAAATGTATAGCTACAGCAACCTAACCAGAAAGAAGAAAATAAAACATTTTGATTCCTAATATCTGTGTGTTATCCCAGGTCAGGAAAGCAAAAGAGAATTAAGAAGGAAATAATGTATATGGAGAGATGAGTACAAGCATTGATGAAACGGCAAAAAATAAGTTGCTTTCCCCACCCCAATACAAGCTGCCATTAAAGGGACTGCACTAATTTAGAAGGCAAACAGAGAGGTGTAAAACAAAATAGATTTAGAAAGTCTCAGCCAGGCAATCTACTGTAATTTTTATGTTTTAATTGGTGCAATGTGGATCGCATGTCGCAATATATTAATCATACTTATACGTCATTAACATAGAAGTGGCATATCCCACTCACCCAAGATTACTGCAATTAAATTTCAAACACAAGCCAGTTTTGCCGCAATGTACAAGGTTTATTTTTCCTAACCACCAGTCCCCAACATTTCACTAGTCACTTAGATTAAAATAGTTCATATTCCCACCAGGTACCAATGTGGCTCAGCTCAAAGCGCACTCCCACCTTCTGGGTCAGAAAGTTGTGGGTTCAAGTCAGGACTTGAGCTCACACTCAGGGGTTTCCAACCGGTTATCGCCGCTAGATGGCGCCCTTGTGCGTTATCGGAAAGATAATAATCGAAAAGATTCAGCAATACAACTGAGTCGTTGTTGATTAAAAATGAAAACGAAGCCAGACGCCCAAAGTATTTCATGCATCTCAAAATAAAGATATAAACTTTAAGGTTTAAACTGTGGTAAATATCGCTCCTGCCTCTTGTGAGGCGCCACCTAGCGGCGAACAACCTGTGGGAGACTCCAGGTCTAAGGTAATGCTCCAGCCTAGTGCTGGGGGAGTGTTGCATTGACAGAGATGCTGTCCTTCAAATGAACCATTAAGCTGGAGTGCTATCCTACAAATACACAGTCTCTACAGTTGACAGTTATTACCTGTCTGTTACTTTTGAGATCTTACGAAGGACAATTCCACTTGGGTCTTACTTTATTGACTTATCAGTTGAGAGCACCCAGAACTTGGCAAATTGTTGAAGTCAGTCAATTTTGAAGTTGTTTTTCAGTAGTTCTTACCTAAAAATAACAGGCTGCTTCACAATCCCCTTCAGCCTATTTGCACTGCTCTGAAACTCAAAATTGATACTCTATAAAATAATGTCAAATTCTGAATGCTTTGAAATGCTAAGAAAATAGAGTAAATTTAGACTTATGTGGAATTTCCATCTCTCTGATGTTATAAGTGCTATATGAAATGAAAGGATTATTATTGCCCTTTTTTGGATTAACTGAGAATTAACATTGAACATGGACAAAACCAAAAACGCAAGTTAATCTGTTTTTCTCTTTTGAAGATGGTGACAGACTGGAATCCATCTATTCTCCCCCTCTCCCATTTATTTCCATCTTTGCATTTGATATTGCACTTTATTACATCATCAATACACCTTGAAGCGCTTCACAATCTTGCACTGTGACTGTGTATTTGTAGGTGAAAACTATGCATTTGTATTTACTCAGAATAGGAAAGAAAATAATTTCACTCTCTGTTTTTATATTTATATGATCATTTAAAGCAATCAAAGGCAAATAGATCAGAGAACAGAAAAATTAAAACTATAAAAACAATGGCAAATAGATTTATAGACAGAACATATTATAATCTGTTCAAACAACAGAAAATGAAACTTTTTTAATGTCTAAAATCCAACCATGTAGTGTAAATTCTGTTAGATAAATCAAATCCTATCATAAATATTCCTTGAAAGTAAATTTAAATAGATTTTACTGCACCAGTAAAATATTACTCCCATTAAAATAAGTATAGAATAATTTTACTACATTAACAGACGTAACTAGGGCAGGTGGCACTGTATTGTATTATATTATAATAATCCTTGCATTTGATAAAGCACATCTCAAAGACATCTCAAAGAGCTTCACAAAATATATTGTAAAGTGAATTGACTATATTTTGTGAGCAAAACGTGGCAGCCAATTGCCCAGCAGTGTCCCACAGTCGTAGGTTGAGTGACCAAATATTTTAATTTTTTTTGAAGGGATTATTACCCCAGGAAAAACGATACACCAATCAATTAACATCCGGGTTCCTACTTATTGCTAAGTAAACAGAGGCGTGTGGAGTAAGGAAACTTGCCCAATGTTGCACCCTACCGGGAATCAAACCCAGATCCTCTCGCGCGCAAGGTGACCGGTCTAACCACTAAGCTGGAGGACTCCAATACGCTTCACACAATGAAGCGGAGACAAATAGAGCAGCTATTAAGTGCTGTATCAAACACAAAAGTAAAAGTATCAAGAGCAGCTTTTCTCATGTTACCAAAGATTAAGCAAATCTGTACAGAGCAGCTTTGCCCTGTGTTATCAGTATACATAGTGTGCTGTGAAATAAAAAATAAAAGCAGCAGCTGCCTATGATTATCTCATTGAGGCAGACAAACAAGCAGGGCGGGGGCAAACAGACACAGAAAGGCACACACACTCACACACAGAACCAAACACACTCAAACACACACATAATACAACCACTTGAATTGTACAGCGCCATTCAATCCGGGTGGTGTCTGGGAGCGCTTAGCGGTGGTGACGGGGAGGTGAGCATAGGTCAAAGAGGAAGGTCTTCAGGTGCGATCAGAAGACGGCCAAAGGGCAGCGTGTCTGAGGCAGCCAGAAACACCCAGACAGACACACACAGGGCACAGACAGGACACACACACACACACACACACACACTCACACACACATACACACAAACAAACAGAGAGCCTCACCTCGGAGCTCCCTCCTGTGTCGGGCCTCCTCCTCCTCCTCCTCCTGCTGGCGGCTGAGGTTGAGGAGGGGGGCGCGGGGCCGCTCGCACGCCAGCTGGTGGAGCGCGCGGTGCACCAGCTGCAGGCGGAGACGAGGGCCGGACTGCGGCACGCGGGCCGCCTGGGGCAGCTCCACGTAACCCAGCTCTGCCTCTGCCCAACCTCTCCCTGGCTGGCTCACAGCGTCAGGAAATCACACCTCTGGGGGGGGGAGGGGGGGGAGGGGAGAAAATCCTTTGGGTCCCAACAGTGACGGTTGGGGAAACCATTCAAACCGACCCTGGCGGCGCGCGCGCCTTCTAACGGTCGCGCTGCCCGGTTACCGAAGGGGGGTTTTTTTTTTTTTAAAAAAAATCCACGACTCCAACCGTCGTACATACAGATATATATATATATAGAGAGAGAGAGAGAGTCTTTTTTATATTAAAAAAAAGATTATTGTTGTGTGTGGAGGCGGCTGTGCGGCTGTCTTGAGAGGAGCCGAGATAAGAGTGCGCTGCCGTCGGCACTCGGGTAACAGCCGCTTCTGCGGTGACCATTGGAGATGGACTGACAAAGATATGTGCGGAAGGTCAAGCGAAGCCCCCCCCCCACACACATATACACACACACACTTGTTTCTCCCCCTCGCGGCGCTCCATAGCATCACCCGGTGCCTGGGAGGACCACTTGGATGACGCTGAGTGGGAGGGAGGATTCCCGACCCCATTGACTGATCTGCCCTTCGAAGTCCTGCTGATGAGCCGGGATGCTGCCTGGATCCAGGTATTCCAGGGCCAATGCTGCTGACAGCACAGCAATGATGCCAATGTTGACTGCGCTGTCAGCAGCAGTGCCCTGGAATACTGTGGACCCACATGGCTCAAGAACAGACTAGAGACAGACGCCTAATAATAATCCCTCCAAAACCAAAAACAATAATAAATTGGTCATTTTCAATCCACGACTGTTTGTGGGACATTGCTGTGCGCAATTGGCTGCCGCGTTCGCCCACAAATATACAGTCAATTCACTTTACAGTGTGTTCTGTGAAGCGCTTTGGGACGTCCTCCCGACGTGAAAAGCGCTATATCAAATGCAAGGATAATTATTATTAGAGACTGCCACCGAGGGCTGGCTCGATTCCGACATTCCGTTGCCAACATGTCACCTTGGAGCCAGTTCAGCTCCAAGGAGAACCCTGTCCCCTCCCCACCCCCCCCCCCCCCCCCCCCCCCACCCCCCAAGGAGGATAAGGGCACATTTATTAATAACACTAATCCTTGCATTTGATATAGTACCTTATCATGTGGTTGAGATGGCTCAAACGCTTCACAGAAAATAAAGTGTAGTGTAAAGTGTAGTGACTGTATATTTTGTGAGCAAAATGCAGCAGCCAGTTGCGCACAGCAATGTCCCTCAAATAGTCATGGATTGAGTCATGGATGGCCTAACAACAGGTGATTTCTATACTGGACAGTGAGGTTGATCTCCTGGCTGTTTTTGCTGGTAATGCACCAGAAGTACAGCTGACAATCATCCGCTAACAGTGCATCTGTTTGTCCAGTGTCCAGTGCCACAGATCCACCACAGTTTAGCCCTGTAGTCTCCATGTCCTTGATGATAGAGATTTCCAGTGATCCTCCTATATTAACTCCTATTTCACAGACCCTGGAAGATCACACAACCCAGATCAGAAAGCAGAGAGCTGCTGCATATATGACACAAGTAACCCAGTCAGAGAGTATGGTGAAGCTGAGTCGGCTGGATCTCCAAGCTGCTACACCTGGAGGCAATATGGCTGTCCCCATTCCAGCAGCACACAGGGATAGAGAGGATCCCAGGAACATTCTTGGTTCATCAGCAACAGAGATATAGACACTGACCAGTACAAGACAGCAGTAAAGGCTGGCTTCTTGATGGGTCACTATTCCAAGAACCAATTTGACCTCTGCCCATATCAGAGACCTGCGACAAGCAGGAGAAGTCACTCCATGCAGCTGTCATTGCATTGTTGTGGTGGACAAGGCTTTACGAAGTGTGATGCAGTGGTCAGTGGTCTGAAATGTCAGACCAATCGTTGTAAATGCTTCAAAGCAAAGCTGAAACGTAACTCCCAGTGTCATGGAAGCCTCACTTGTGCTAACAAATGAACATTTGACTCGAATATGCTATTCTTTACAGAACCAATTTAAATTATTCACATAGACTTGACAAATCCAATGCTTCTCTTTTTTCAGTAAATACATTTTTCGAGAGAAATTCTTCATCAGTGAAATGTCACATGAAGTTTTGTGATTTCACAAAATCCCTGGTTTCACAATTTTACTGTAACATAAATACATACTCAGGTATAATAGATTATATAGACTGTGTGTACATACAATATACTTTGACTTACTGCCTGTTCAGGTGACTATTAGTGAAAAATTGAAGTTTTCAATAAGATGTCATTTCAAGTTTAAAAAAACAGAATTGTATCACAGCCAATCTCACTCATAGAGACACACACACACATACATACATAGAACACACCACAAACAGATAGACACACACACAGAGCACACACACACACACTTGTGTTTTTGTCAGCATTGGATGGTGGATTGGTGCAGTTCACATATTTACAATGATGTGTTGAGACCCATCGAGGCACTTCACAGAATATATTGTAAAGTGAATTGACTATGTATTTTATGGGTCAAACGCGGCAGCCAATTTCGCACAGCAGCTTTCCACACAGTCGTGGATTGAGTGACCAAATTTGATTAAATTTTTTTGAAGGGATTATTACCCCCAGAAAGCGATCCGCCAATCGACTAACAGCCAGGTTTCTACTTTGCTAGGTAAGTAGAGGCGTGTGGATTAAGGAAACCCGCCTAAGGTTTCGCGCTGTGTGGAATTCGAACCTCCATCCTCACATTTGCAAAGAGAGTCTCTAATCACGGCACTATAGGACTCCACATTTTATTTTAGCATGTTGTGTGATGCATGCTTGGATGATGAAGTGGCTGTGTGGCACCCTGCATGTGCGATTGCACAGTGACTGCATGTTAGCATTTAATACACAGACACAACACATGCATTTAACACAGAGCAAGCTGGATCCAGAAGGAGTTTATTATTGCACCAGGTGCACCACCAATCTCTGCACGATGTGTTCCACTACACAGCCCATGGTAAGCAGCAATCCAGAGTCAAGCTTTTCTTTGATACGTAAAAACACGCATCGAACATAGATAGTACACGGAGCAAGGCTGGACCCCAATTTGGTCAAATCTTATCATAACAATAATAATCCTTCATTATCACGTTGTTGGGATGTCTCAAAGGTCACCACAGGATATACAGTACCGTATGTAAATTGCAGATACTTTTTTTGTGGGCAAAACATGGCAGCCAATTGTGCACATCAGTGTCCTGCAAATGGAGTGAGTGACCAATTTTATTTTTGGGAATTTGTTGACTAGGTCACCGGGTGTGAGAAATTACCATTTCTTTTCAAATAGTGCCACGGGTTCTTTAACATCCACCTGAATAGGCTCAGACAGGACCTTGGTTTAATGGCTTATCCGAAGGACAGCACCTCCAAAAATGCAACACTTCCAGCACTGCATTGGAGTGTCAGCTTAGACTGTGTAATTCCAAGTTGCGACATGAGGGCTTGAACCCACAACCTTCTGGTTGTGTCTGAACCAGACTGACACACTGGGCACTTGAGACCTGAAAAATATGTTCACATAAGGTTGGGGTGAGGAGGGAAGCCATGTTAGCCTCTGGATCCTGATCTTGTTCCCGAATTACTTGATCCCATTCCCAAACAGCATTTCTGACACATCCCCCACTCCCCAGGATTGGATTCCATCATTGGCGGTTGGGCTTTCAGCTTCTCTGTCTCACCTTCTGCAACTCCATCCTGGAGCCCTTCCACCTTGTCCCCTCCCTCAAGGCCCATTTCAAGACCCTCCTCTTTGAGTGGGCCTTGGGTCAACCTCCTACTCCTAGCCTCCACCACTCCTGATCCCAACTCCCATCAGGTACAAACCCCTCACTGTCCAGCACCTTGGGATGTCCTCCCGACGTGAAAGGCGCTGTATAAATTTAATTTGTTGTTGTCGTTGTTGGATATTTACCAATGTTCCACCCCCACTGAGCTCAGTGTTGCTGTTTTGCATCCATCACAATAAGAGCTGGGACTGATCTCCACGAGACACATGATCGGTAACCACGGAAACCATCCGCCCACGGCAGGTATATGTCTGCTCCTTCCTCCAATAGAGCCAACCTTCCGAATTCCCAATTCCCTGCTCTTTTCCTTCAACCTTCCTCTGCATGTAGGAAGATCTGGCCGAAAAGAGACCAAGGCCAATTCAGCTCACCTTCCACCCCCCCTGGCAGTCGCATGCTCTTGTCATGTCCTGAACTACTCATACACTGTATCCAAAATATTAATAATCTTTGCATTTGGTATGGCGCCTTATTACATTATTGAGAGATCTCAAAGAGCTTCACAGAATATTATAAAGTGGATTGACTGTGTATGTTGTGGGCAAAACCCGACAGCCAATTAAACACAACAGTGTCCAACCAACAGTCATGAATTGAGTGACCACATTTTTGTTTGAAGGGATTATTACCCCTGGAAAGCGATCTGCCAATTGACTAACAACTGGGTTCCTACTACTGCTAGGTAAATGGGGTATGTGGAGGAAGGAAATTTGCCTAAGGTTTTGCCCCCCTGGGAAACGAACACGGGTCCTCTTGTTTGAGGGGCGAGTGCGCTAGCGACTAAGCTATGGAATTCCTAATTGTCACAGGATGTTTCAGACTCCACCTTACAAGTGGAGCTAACTGGGTGGGATCGAGGTGAGGGAGGATAGATTTTATGCCAGAATTTGGCATAAGGGGAAAGTTCTTGTACTTTTGAGTGTAATTGTTCCCCACCCACCTCTCCTCCTTCACACCCCCCCAAAAAAACTAAACCAATTCACTCCGCTGAAGTCCTGGGATCTTGTTCCTCATCTTCATTTCCTTTTAACATTTCAACCAGATGTCCAGTTTCCTCCAACGCCTCAGTTTGTTTCTTCCACATGTTCCCAGTAAACCATTTCCAGCTCACCGTTATATTCCGAGGAATGTTTTCTCCCTCATGGTCACCTTGGCGATGGACAAAACGAGAGCCAAAGAGAATGAGTGAGAGAGGGAGAAAACAAAGATGGCTGCCACCATCATTTCCATATAATGGGGCCCACCTTTGCAACCAAGGCCCTGGTTAAAATTAACCTCCTACGCTAAAGTTCCCCTCTTGGGCCAATCGTTGTCTGGCGCTTGCCTAGATGAGCTTGGAGGGTTCCAGAAGGAAATAATAAAGAACAAGAGACACGAGAGAGACCCCTGGATCAGAACTGCGATGAATTGCATTCTCTTTAGAATTCAGCTATTAAATCCCACCACAGCTCCTCGGGTTCCTGCGGATTTACTGTGTGCGTTGTCGTCCTCGCTCTCTCTACCTCCCTCCTCCCCCACTGATGTCCATGTCCCCTAGGCGGCACGTGGAGTGTCCCAGCGCTGGCTCAGAGCTGTCATTTCACAGGGGTTTATAACCAGGATCCGCTCCCCATCCTCCTCACCCCCCAACACCTCACTGTCCAGGCAGTAATGAGACATCTGGTGCTGGATACGTAAACCAGCCTTCTGCCATTTCTGTATGAGAGAGAGAGAGAAAGAGAGAGATGTGAATGATGGAGAGAGGATGAACGAGAGGGAGGGGCGTAGTGTGAGATAGAGAAGGTGAGAGTATGTGTGTGAGAGAGAGAGGGGGAAGCGGGTGTTGTGTGTGAGAAAGGGAGAGATAGAGTGTGAGAGAGACAGAGGGTGAGTATTAGACAGAGTGTGTGAGAGAGAGGGTGAGAGTGTTTGAGTGAGACACAAGGTGAGTGTGAGAGAGAGGATAAGAGAGAGAGAAAGTGTGAGAGAGAGAAATGAATAAATAATAATAACAATAATAATCTTGCATTTAATGCAGTATCTTTCACGTCAGAGGGACACCTCAAAGCCTGTAAGCGCTGCAAGGGTTTGAGCACTACTCTGGTGCGAGGTATCAGGGCTGCACTAGTTTGTGTGTGTATGTGAGAGAGTGAGTGTGTGAGAGTACTGCAGCGGTGCAAGTGTGTGAGGAACACACAGGTGCGGGGTGTGTGGGTGTGAGCGCTGCACAATGCAGGGTGTGAGGGCTGTGTGTGAGTGAGCACTGCACTGCTGTGAGAGCTGCATGGGCACAAGGATGTGAGCGCTGCACGGGTGCAAATACCTGTTTTCCGTCGGCCTTACTGCAGGAGATGAGCAACACCTGTGAGCCGGGGAAGACAGTGCTGGTGGAAAGGCAGAGCTGGCGATGGCGGATCTGGTGACTGTGGGTGAAGGTCCATTGCTGGGAGCAGAGAGATGCAACCTCCATTTATATAGCGTCCTTATTAATAATAATATTGCATTTACAAAGTTCCTTTAATAATAATCTTTGCATTTCATAAAGGGTCTTATCACATCATCGAGACATCTCAAAGCGCTTCACAGAATATAATGTAAAGCAAAGTGACTGTGTATTTTATGGGCAAAATACGACCATTGTTAAGCGGCCAATTGTGCACAGCAATGTTCCACAAACAGCCATGGAGTGATTAATAAATTTTATTTGGAGGATTGTTGGCCAGGACACCAGGAGAGAGAAACTCCCTTCTCTTTTCCATTAGAGCCATGGGATCTTTAAAATCCACCTGAACAGGCAGACTGGACCTCTGTTTAACGTCTCATCTGAAGGACAGCAATGCAACACCCCCCGGCACTGCATTGGTCATCTTAGACTATGTGATTCCAAGTCCCAACATGGGGCTTGAATCCCACAACCTTCTGACTCAAAGACAAGAGCGTTACCATTACGCGTGGCTGCATCTTTCAGGGCTTAACAGTGGAGTCGCCTGACAGTGAACCAGGGAAAGAGAAGAAGTGAGTGTTAGTACGGTCGAAGAGGGAGGTCTTCAGGCACAACCTGAAAAAGATGGAAAGAGGGCGCAAGGCAGGGGGGCGCTGATGTGTTGATGTTACCTGTGTGGCCGCTGGCACCCCATTGGTGGTCACACATCGCCCCAGGCTGACGCCAGCGAGCTGCTGTTCTGTCCTCATAGACTCCACACACGTTTCATGCTGCCGGATCATTCCCGGCTGGGAATCTGTCTCCTCGGGAATCCTGGAGCACAACACAGGCAGGAAGATCCTGTGACAATTAGGAGTCCCGTAGCATAGTCGTGAGCGCACTCGCCTCGCAAGCGAGAGGACCCGGGTTTGATTCCTGGGCAGGGAGAAACCTTAGGCAAGCTTCCTTACTCCATTCGCCTCTGTTTACCTAGCAGTAAGTAGGAACCCGGTTGTTAGTCGATTGGCAAATTGCTTTCTTGAGGTAATAATTTGGTCACTCAATCCACGACTGTTTGTGGGACACTGCTGTGTGCAATTGCTGCTGAGTTTCACTCACAAAATATACAACCAAAACACTTTACAGTATATTCTATGAAGCGCTTTCAGATGCCTCAATGACTTGATGACACACTATATCAAATGCAAGGATTACAATTATTATTATATAGTAATTACTGCCAGGACAGGAAGGGTGGTTGAGGCCAGGACACTGGGCTTAAGAAGCAGCTTGATGCTGTGATGGTAGGGTGGGTGATCTGGAGGAATGAGATCAGAGAGGCCGAAGGGCATTCTTCATCTAAGCCCATCTTGTGATAATAATAATCCTCACATTTGATATAGCGTCTTATCACATCGTCACAAAGTCTCAAAGCGCTTCACAGGATATTCTGTAAAGTGTAATGACTGTATTTTGTGAATGAAACACGACAGTCAATTGGAGTGAGTGAACAATTTTATCTGGAGGATTATTGGCCAGGATATCGTGAGAGAAAAACTCCCTTCTCTTTTCCAATGGCTCCGTGGAATATTTAAAGTCCACCTGAACTGGCAGAGACGGGACCTCAGTTTAACGTCTCATCTGAAGGTCAACAACTGTGACAATGCAATACCCCCACCCCAGCATTGCACCGTGAGTTCAAAAGTCCTGATGGACTTGAATCCACAACCTTCTGACTCAGAGGTGAGAGCGCTACCACTGCGCTAGGCTGACACTGATCATTAATCATGTCCAACACGAGGACGATGGCAGACACGAGCCGCACACTGGGATGCGGGACGAGGTGAGGGAAGGCCACGTACTTCAGCTCCGGGTAGATGGTGTCCAGGTACCAGCGGAAAGACTTGCAGTTCAGTTGCTTCCTCAGCTCCACACGGCTGCTCACACTGAAACACAGCCCCCGTCAGTCAGCCAACCTCACACCCATGCCACCCTCCCCACGGTCAGTCAGTCCCGCACCCCCCACCCCCCACAGTCAGTCCCGCGCGCCCCCCCACCACCACGGTCAGTCAGCCCCGCATTCCCCCCCCCACCCATGGTCAGTCAGCCACACTCAGCACACATACGCCGAGCATCCCCACCCTGACCAGTGAAGACAGATAAATAGAGAGACACACTGAAAGACAGACGGAGAGACAGACAGACACAGACTCACTCACTTACTCTCCATATGGTCTCCCCTTGGCAGCAGGTCGGGCTGTGTAGTAAAAACGTTTATACTCATCCATCCAGACCTCGGCTGTGCGTTTGGTGTTCCTGCAGAGAGAAAGAGGAGAGTAATTATGTTTTACGTCACAGTTGCTCACACAGCCTGTCATACAACCTCGCAGCATTCACTGCACAGCATGGTGACTATGTCTGCAGGCCAGCTTCATTCAGACTCTCAGCAATTTGGCAGCAATTATAATAATAATCCTTGCATTTGATATAGCGCCTTATCATGCCATTGAGACCTCTCCAAGCACTTCACAGGATACACTGTAAAGTGAATTGACTGTACTTTGTGGGCAAGACGTGCTAGCCATTTGCTCACAGCAATCTCCCACAAACAGTAATGGAGTGAGTGACCAATTTTTTCTTGGGTGATTGTTGGCCAGGACAACAGGAGAGAGAAACTCCCTTCTCCTTTCCAACAGTGGCATGAGATCTTTAACGTCCACTGGAACAGGCACAGACGGGACCTCCGTTTAACATCTTATCCGACAATGCAGCGCTTCCCTGGCACGTCAGTGATTCCAAGTCCCGATTTGGGGTCGGGTGGGAAGCAGGACGAACGTGCGGGGATGGGGTTGGAAGCACGACGGACGTGCGGGGGTGGTGGGAAGGATATATACTTGATGTAGGTGTTGGCGTTGCCGTCCGGGAAGACATAGGGATGCTTCTTGCGGAACACGTGTCCCACTCGGCTGCAGGGAACGATCTCCAGGCTCCCCCCACACATCCACACCCGGAAAGAGATTTCTGCAACAGTGAGGGAGGGAGTCAGTCAGGGATGCATCTCCCCCCACCCCCATCCCCTTGTCGTTCCCGACCTGTCTGTCTCACTTCATATCTGATGGCTGCCTGTCGCTCTGCGTTTCTCTCTCTCTCTTTCTGGTTGTGTGGTGTGTGTGTGCGTCTCTCTCTCTCTCTGTCGGTCTCTCTGCATCTCCCAGATAAGTCGCTCATTCACTCCATGGATATTTGTTGTGTGTGCGAAACCAACAGAGTTTACTTTCGAGGACATTTGGACATTGCCTCGCATTTGATATAATGCATTATCATGTCGTTGAGACGTCTCAAAGCGCTTCACAGGGTGTATTGTAAAGTGTAGTGACTGTGTATTTTGTGATTGCGTATTTTGTGGGCAAAACAATTTTGTGGACGAAACAAATTTTGTGGCCGGCCCGCCTTACCATCGGCGGCTGGACTTTTAGCCTCTCTGACACTCTTTGGAACTCCATCCCACAATCCCTTCGCCTTGCTCCCTCTCTTGCCTCCTTCAAGGTACGACTCAAGACCCTTCTTTTTGACCATACCTTCAGCCGCCTCTACTCACTCTGTCCTCCCTCATCCCAAACCTGCCCCCACGCTCGGGTCCTGATCCCTAACTGTTCAACACCTTGGGCCATCCTCCCGACGTGAAAGGTGCTTTACAAATGTAATTTTGTTGTTGGTGAAACACGGCAGCTAGTTACACACAGCAGTGTCCCACAAACAGCCAGGGACTGAGTGACCAATTTTATTTGCGAGACTTGTTTATTTGGGGATATTGTTCTCCACCAACCCCCACTTCCAGTTACCGAGGTTCTCTCCTCCCCAGATGTCCATCATGGTGTCATACTTCCCCAGGTGGTTGAACCAGGCCTTGTCGATGACGAAAAGCCCTCCAGCTATCACCGGCGTCCTGCAGGCAACATCAGAATCCCTGTTAAGGTCAGGTTTGAGGACAGCTCCTTGGGAAGGGTTTATCATGAACAATACTTGCATTTGATATTGCGCTTCATCACGTCATTGAGACATCTCAAAGCACTTCACAGGATACACTGTAAAGTGAACTGACTATGTATTTGCTGGCGAAATGCGGCAGCCAGTTTGTGCACACCAGTGTCCCACAAACAGCCATGGAGTGAGTGACCAATTTTATTTGGGGGATTGTTGGCCAGGACGCAGTGAGAGAGAAACTCCCTCTTTCGAATAGTTCCATGAAATCTTTAACGTCCACCTGAACAGGCAGACAGGTTTAACATCTCACCCAAAGGACGGCACCTCTAACAATGCAGCACTCCTCCAAGCATTGACCCTGGCACCGTCCCCAGGCTCAATAAAGACCCCTAACCCCCGGCCCTGACTCTCACCTGATAGGCTGGGTGGGATCCGTCCTCTGGGCCTTCACTTCCGTGCTCAGCTGCTCCCACTTGAAGCGCAGGCTCCAGTCAAACCCTGTCGCACGGCACAATGTGGGTGGGTGGGGGCTGAGACCAGATTAATCTGAACAACAGCCTGACAACCCACTAAATTCCAGAACATGCCACAATCATGTTAAGCCCCTCAAATACACGCGTGTACTGAAAAGAACACACACAAGACAACCGCGCTTTAAATGCCCCCTCCCTCCCTCCCACTGTAGCGTAGGATCGCTGGTGTCCCGCTTCTGCGCTAAAATTTGGTCAGCCATCCATTGTCAGGTTCATTTGAAGTCACTTCCTGCGCGTTGCATATGCACACCGGGCACGAGAAGTACCACTGACGATACTCAATGGATGCGTTGAGATAACAGAACAAGAGGACATGGGTTTAGAGTCACAAAGGGGCAATTTCAAGACAAATACCAGGAAGCGTTTCTTTACTCAGAGGGTAGTTAATGACTGTAACAGGGTTACTAGGAAGCGTGGTTGAGGCCAGGACACTGGACGGATTAATTTAAAAAGCAGCTTGATGCTGTGATGGGGGAAACGGTAGGATAACACACTCTCTCACACACTGATCGGACCGTACTGTACCTCCTCGGAGATCAGTGGAAGCCGCGATATAAGCAAAAGTATCCATGTTGATAACATCGATGACAGGGCTGAGCACACGTGTGGGATCCTGACACAGAGAGAGTGAGATACAGAGAGTAAGAGAAAGAGAGTGAAAGAGAGATACAGAGAAAGAGAAAAAGAGAGACAGAGAGAGAGGGCGAGAGAGAGGATACAGAGAGAGATGGCGGGTATTTACAATGTGAAACATGTTAAATCTCTCCGGCCGTAATTATTTGTCACAGGAAGTCAGGGCAGGATTACCCTCGGTCTGAGTGCACAGGTCCAGAGTAGTTTAGGTATCAAATATGGTACAGGTAAGATACACAGCAAAACTCTGTCAATGTCAACGTCTCTCACATTGTGGGTCTCAGTCTCTGGGTCACACGCTCGGGGTCTCGGGGTCACACGCTCGGGGTCTCGGGGTCACACGCTCGGGGGTCACACGCTCGGGTCGGGTCCTCGGGGTCACACGCTCGGGGTCTCGGGGTCACACGCTCGGGGTCTCGGGGTCACACGCTCGGGGTCTCGGGGTCACACGCTCGGGGTCTCGGGGTCACACGCTCGGGGTCTCTCGCTCGGGGTCACACGCTCGGGCTCGGGGTCTCACGCTCGGGGTCACACGCTCGGGGTCTCGGGGTCACACGCTCGGGGTCTCGGTCTCACCTCTCTGCTCCTGTGCAGTAAGGGGGGCAGCCAGTCCCTGTTGACTTCGCAGTGACTGTCCAGGAAGGTGAGAACAGAGGCCTGGGCTGTGTCTGCCCCCCGCACCCGGGACCGGATCAGCCCTGAGAGCAACATCACCCGTCAGTCAGCAGTCCCGCCCGCTTCCAGGCCACACCCACTGCCAGGCCCCACCCACCACTGAGACCCGCCCACCCGCCACAAGGCCCCATCCACAAATGGCCCTGTCAAGCTCCTGGCCGCAACCACTTACATGCCCCCCTCCCCCACCAGGCTCCTCCCACCTCCAGGCTCCTCCCACCTCCAGGCTCCTCCCACCTCCAGGCTCCTCCCACCTCCAGGCTCCTCCCACCTCCAGGCTCCTCCCACCTCCAGGCTCCTCCCACCACTAAACCCCACCCGACTGGCACAAGGCCCCCTCTCAACACCAGGCAACCGCCCAACAATGCCCTGTGTCCCACACCCACAACCAGACGCCTCTCACCCTCCACACCCCTCTCGCTTGGCCCAGCCCTCCATCTGGCCCCACCCACTTGCCACCTGGCCCCGCCCACAGTTGTTTCTATTTGCAGAAGAGGGGGTGGGGGGGTCACCGAGTGGGGTGTGGGGTTCACGGGGTGTGTGAGGTTCACGGGGTGTGTGGGGGTCGCAGGGGGAGGATGGGGTCGCATGGGGAGGGTGGGGTCGCAGGGGGAGGGTGGGGTCGCAGGGGGAGGGTGGGGTCGCAGGGGGAGGGTGGGGTCGCAGGGGGAGGGGGTAGGAATAGTGCTCTCACCCTCTCTCTGCTCGTTCCGCAAACACTTCACCTTCGGAAGGCCAGTCAGCAGATGGCAGTCAGCAGCTGAAAGGGTTATAAAACATGATGGCCCCCAGCAGCCCTGTTTTGCCCCCATCCGGACATAACTTCTCCCATACCAGGCACCATGCCCCAACCGAGATCCCACCGGCCTCGCCCACACCCACCTCCCCCAACTTTAACATCCGCGTCCTGACCTTGCAACCTTCTGTGTCCTCGCCCCACCCAGCATCCCTAGCCCCTCTCCCATTCACTCCCACCACTCCATGATCTCCAGCCTTCAGGTCATTTCTCATTCCCCTGCATCACCATTGGCAATCCAGCTCTCAGCTGGGACACCCCCACTCTATGGAGCTCCTCTCTCTTTACGTCTGAGATAGACAAAGAGAGATACAAACACACAGAGAGAGGGAGATGCGGACAGAGAGAGGGAGAGAGAAACAGTGTGAGAGAGACAGAGGGAAACAAAGAGAAAGAGAGACAGAAACACAGGAGGATTAGCATGGAGTTGGGATTGAGGTTGGAGTTGGGGTTGAGGTTGGAGTTGGGGTTGGAGTTGAAGTTGGGGTTGAGGTTGGAGTTGAGGTTGGGGTTGGGGCAGCCCTTTTACTGTCAGCTACTCACGGTCATCACTGAAGTCATCCACAAGAATGATCTCGTGAATGAGATATCCAGGTGTCCGGTTCAGCACACTGAGGGTGAGAGGATTGTTAGAGAGACACCAACCCCAGCCACACCCCGACCCCAGCCACACCCCGACTCCAGCCAGGGACATTTCCCCCCACCCCTTCTCCTCCCCCTGCCCCCCACGCTCCCCTGCCCCCCACGCTCCCTCGCATCCTCCTCCCCCCGCATCCTCCTCCCCCCGCCCCCCCACGCTCCCCGACCCCCCACCGCCCCACGTTCCCCTACTCCCGCCCCCCACCCCCCCACGTTCCCCCCACTCCCGCGCCCCCACACACTCTCCCTACTCCTGCCCCCCACCTCCTCCTCCCACCAAGCCTCACCTGCGCAGGGTGCGGAGCAATGTGGAGCGAGCCTCATTGTGGAAGGTGATAATGATGCTGGTGGCTGGCAGATCCGGGCTGTACTGCAGCGTTGAGCATCTGCAGAGGCAAATCAGCTTTACAGAACCTTCCATTCCGCTTTGTGACCAACATGGCGGGCGTTACAGAGGCAGGCGAGCCAGCACCCCCTGTCCACACCCCCAGCCGAGTCAGTAAAACCCAGAGGAATGGGTGCCTGAGCTGGCTGGCGGATGTGCGGTGGAGGAGTGACTTAGCCGTCTGCTCCTGATCAGTCTCGTAGTGTAGTGGTTAGCACGCTCGCCTCATAAGCGAGTGGACCCGTGTTTGATTTCCAGGTGGGACGAAACCTTCGGCAAGTTTCTTTACTCCACACGCCTGTTTAATTAGCTGTATGTGGGAACCCGGTTATTAGTCAATTGGCAGATCACTTTCCAGGACTTTAATCCCTCCATAGAAAAAAATGTGGTCACTCAATCCATGACTGTTTGTTGTACACTGCTGTACGCAATTGGCTGCCTTGTTTCACCTAAAAAATAATCAATTTACTTTACAGTATATTCTGTGAAGCGCTTTGATGTTTTGATCCATCTCTCCCCCAAACCCCCTCCGTCTCTCCCCCAAACCCCCTCCGTCTCTCCCCCCCACCTAAGGCTCCCAACTGCTACTTTGTCTCTGGATACTGGAGGCACTGTACAAACAAGTGACTGTGCTGGAACCTTCTATGTAATTCCGTGTAAAGCAACAGCAGCTGATCAGCAGCCGGGTGTCGTGGATACCCATCACCGTGCTTAAGAGTATCCAAACCAACCAGAGAATTCCATGGATCCCACCTACACCTGGAAATCCCAGAGACAGATTGTTGGAATGGATGCACGCTCTCTCCCGGGAGGGACACATCCTGCGTACCTAATTCCGGAAAGTATTAGGCGCAGGTTGGCAGGAACCAAGGCTTGGGGATCCCAGAGTGTGTGTTGGGGTACTGCCGGAGTCTAACCAGCTTGAACCGTATTGCTTGCCATTGATATTGCTGTCTGGCAAACTTTTCCACTGTTTGTCCTGCTAGGACCCTCTAACCATCAGGGGTTTGGCTTGTAGGGTTAACAGGAACTGGCTGGGATGACTCCCTGCCCCCAGTGACTAGTCTGCCCTTCTCGATGCTGCCGATGAGCCAGGCTGGGCTGAGCTGTCATCAGCAGTGCCCTGGAATACTGAGGACCCGCCTGGCTCAAAAACTGGACGAGAGACCACCACAGAGAGCTGACTCTATTCCGACATTCAATTGCCAAACATGTCACCTTGGATCCAGATCATCTCCAAGGATACTATGTTTAACTCTCCCTCCCCGAGGAGGATAAGCTGCTTTTGAACATTAGACCTCCTGATGTGGGAGGCTCTTTGCTGCCTTTTCCAACTAGACCACGAGGGGGAGCTTGATTCCAGGTTATGTCAGAATGTTCAAAACCACTGACCAGATTGAAACCACTCGACCCATCGTGTCTGTGCTGGTGCTCGCTCCCCCACTACAGCTCTCTACACTAACCCCATTCCCCTGCTCTCTCCCCATCATGTCTGTGCTGGTGCTCGCTCCCCCACTACAGCTCTCTACACTAACCCCATTCCCCTGCTCTCTCCCCATCATGTCTGTGCTGGTGCTCGCTCCCCCACTACAGCTCTCTACACTAACCCCATTCCCCTGCTCTCTCCCCATCATGTCTGTGCTGGTGCTCGCTTCCCCCACTACAGCTCTCTATACTAACCCCATTCCCCTGCTCTCTCCCCATCATGTCTGTGCTGGTGCTCGCTCCCCCACTGCAGCTCTCTGCACTAATCTCATTCCTTGCTCTTTCATCATTATGACTATTGGTGTATGTATGCTGTGTATCTGGCACGTGTATGCTGTGTATATGGTGCGTGTTCTCTGTACCCCTGATGGGATGGGGATAATAATAATACTTGAGACATCACAAAGAGCTACACAGAATATATTGTAAAGTGGATTGACTGGATATTTTGTGGGTGAAACACAGCAACCAATTGTGCACAGCAGTGTCCCACAAATAGTCGTGGATTGAGTGACCACATTTTTGGGGAGGGGGAGAAGGATTATTACCCCCAAGCGATCTGCCAATTGATTAATAACCAGGTTCCAATTTACTGCTAGGTAAACAGAAGCGGGTAGAGTAAGGAAACCTGCCTAATGTTTCATCCCGCTCGGGAATTTTACCCGAGTCCTCTCACTTGCGAGGTGAGCACGCTAACCACTACACTACGGGACTCCATGTTGGGGATATGGGGGGGGGGGGGGAATGGGGATGGATTGGGATTTGTTGGGATGAGAGAGCTGGGGTCAGATACCTGTAATGCCTGGTGTCTCTGATAGCCCGGTTGCTGGGGACCCTCCCACTCTCTCGATGGTTAAAGGCGTGCCGCTTGTAGGGGTCTTCGCCAGCTCTCCAGCGCTTCGCTTCCAGGTAACTCCTCTCATCAAACCCGTCCACCGATTCCTCAAAGTCCTCCAGAGAGTCCTGGTCAGCACGGAAAGCATATATAATAGATACACATAATTATATATACATTAGACACACACATTTGATACTGACATCCTATAGATTAGGAACACACATCGCTCCATCACACACAGAGCCACAACTTACACATTAGATAGACGCAGCCTATATATTAGATACACACATCATATACATTAGATACACCCATCGCTCTCTCACACACAGAGCTACAGATTGTAGATTAGATCAGGTAGAACCCCGATAAACCAGAGAGAGAATCCCTATAAGATCATACAGGCCAAAGTGAAGTGACTTTCACAGTCTAAAAGCAGGGCGGGATCTCAAGCCTCAGGTGGGGCGAAATGTTACGCAAGTTTCTTTACGCCACATGCCTGTTTACCTAGCAGTAAGTAGGAACCTGGTTGTTAGTCGATTGGAAGATCACTTTGCGAGGAATAATCTCTTCAACATAAATAAATATAATAATAATGTGGTCACTCAATCCACGACTGTCTGTGGGACAATGTTCTCACTGCTGTGCACAATTGGCTGGACGTTTTGCCCACAAAATACACAGTCAATTCACTTTACAGTATATTCTATGAAGCGCTTTGAGACTTTTCAACAACGTGATAAGGCGCTATATCAAATGCAAGGATTATTATTATTATAATTATGATATCAACAAGGAGGCCTGAAATTTGAGGGCAGGCTTCTGTAGGGCCCAAGGCAAGAGCAGGCCTGAAACTACATGTGCATAGGACACGTTTCATTGACAAGTCAGTCGTGCCAACCTTCCACTGGAACCGTCAGCACAGCTTCCTAATCCATTATTGATCAGAATCCATGAATATTTTACCAGCGCATGGCTCTCTCAGTCCCAGGGCACGAGCACTACCGTCTGAGGCTCTGAACGCTCTAACCAGGAGTCTGGTGTAAGCTCACTGGCCTTTGCTCCCCTCCACCCTCTCCAATTCCACCTAGTCTCAGCCTATGGCACCTTTTAACCTTTAAAGTTTAACACAATAAATAATTGTAATTCTTTGTGACATGAATTACACAAAGGCTTCCTATAGTTATTGGCGCTCAAACCATGTGTGAAGGACAGTTTGTTTTTGTGTGTGACTTGTTTAAAGAAAGGTGTCACACTCAAGGGCGTTAACACGGGCTGGACTCCGATCAGACTTGTTTGGAGTTGCAGCCCTCAGAGCTAATTGGGGACCCGCCACAGGCTATTGATCCTCAGTATAAAGATGGTGCTGGAGAGAAGATTGAGGTAAAAAGCTAGAACTTCCTCATCAAAATAATTTTTTCTTTTTATTATTAAATCCATTGTGCAAGTTTTATATTCCTGGCGTGACCCACGCCCTCCTACATCCTTAGATTTAATATAGCATCTTTTATGTCAGGAGGATGTCTCAAAGCTCTTACCAGAGCTTTACTGCAAAGTGCAGTTTTATAGGCAGCCAATTTGCACACTGCAACTTCCCACGATCTCAGCCTTGAAGTATGTGACCAATTGTATCTGGGGGATTGTTGGCCAGGCCATCGCGAGAGAGTAACTCCCTTCTCTTTTCCAATAGTGCCATGGGATCTTTAACGTCTGCCTGAACGGGCAGATGGGGCCTCAGTTAAATTCAAGTGCTCTGGGAGGCTACCCTGCGTGACGGGTGCTATACAAATGCATGTTGCTGTTATAACGTCTCATCTGAAGGATGGCACCTCTGACAATGCAACACCTCCCCAGCACTGCACTAGAGGGTCAGCCAAGACTGTGAGTCCAAAGTCCCGATGTGGGGCTTGAACCCAAATCTGACTCATAGGCTAGAACACATGTGATGTTGCATTTTGCCCACAAAATACCAAGTCACTCCACTTTACAGCATATTCTATGAAGCACTATATTAAATGCAAGGAGTATTATTACTCTTAATAAAAAAACAAGACTGGATTTAAGAATTTCCTACGATTCCGAAGCCACTTAAGACAAGACGATCTCACAGGCTGAGACTGAATGGCATTTCAGGCCTCTTGAGTTTCGAGTTTAGCTCAGACGGTCAGCACGAAAGTCTCCTATCTCTGCCTCCTGTGAGAATGTTTTTATGTTACTTAAGGCGGGTTCAACTGTTATCCTACCCTATATAACTTGGCAACCTCACTGCGACGCCAGTTGACTGACTCCACATACTAAATATAGTCCTCATTTTCACTGCTTCTTTATAATGGGATTTCCTGTTTTAGAGTTTGGTAACAACATCTTGTATATATTTCAGCCCTGACTTACTTTCTCTCGTCTCAGGGTCAGTATGTTGTCCTTTGAATCAGATGTAAAGCTGAGGCACCGTCAGCTTGTTCAGGCGTCGGATGTTAAAAATGCCACAACACTATTGGAAAAGAGAAGGGAGTTTCTCTCTCCAGTGTCCTGGTCCAAAATCCCCCAGATAACATCAACCACTTCACTTCACAGCTGTTTGTGGGACATTGCTGTGTGCAAATTTGCTGCTACGTTTGCCTTTGAAGTACACAATCACTACACTTTAATAGTAACCCTTGCAATTGATAAAGAGCTGTATTGAAAAGTCTATAACAGGATTTACTGTCATCTCTGTGTAGTGACTGTATTTTGTGGGCAAACACTGCAGACAATTTGCACACAGCAATGTCCCACAAACATCCATGGAGCGAGTGACCAATTTTATTTGGGGAATTGTTGGTTTGGAGACTGGGAGAGATAAACTACCTTCTCTTTTCCAATAGTGCCAAATGATCTTTAACATCTACCTGAACAACAACAACTTGCATTTATATAGTGCTCCTCCAGCACCGCATTGGAGCATCAGCTTAGACTGTGTGAGTCCAAAAGTCCTGACGCAGAGCTTGAACACAATGCCTTCTGACTCAGAGACGAGCGTGTGAGCCAAGCTGATACCTTTACAGTAATTAGCTGTGAAGATGTTTCAACACTGTCAGGTTTGTATTAAGTATTAATATTGTGTGTCATCCTGGCTCAGATGCTAGCACTCTCACCTCAAAGTCAGAAGGTTGTGGTTTCAAGCCCTACGTCAGGACTTGGAATCTTGCAGTCTAAGCAAACACTCAAATGCAGCGCTGGGGTTGTGTTGCATTGTCGGAGGTGCCTTCTTTCAGATGAGACTTTAACCCGAGGCTCTGTCTGCCTGTTCGGGTGGACATTAAAGATTCCATAAAACTATTTGAAAAAAGGGAATTTCTCTCTCCCAGCGTCCTGGCCCACAATCCCCCAGATAAAAATGTGGTCGCTCACTTCATGGCTGTTTGTAGGACACTGCTGTACGCAATTGGCTGCCACATTTCGCCCACAAAATCACAGTCTATCCACTTTACAATATATTCTGTGAAGTACTTTGAGACGTCTCAACGATGTGATAAGGTACTATATCAAATGCAAGGATTATTATTATGTGAGAGAGGCAAGGAATGGTGGAGAATGTCACAGTCTCACACACACACACCAACAACAAAATTACATTTGTATAATAATAATAATAATCCTTGCATTTGATATAGCGCTTTTCACGTCGGGAGGACGTCCCAAGGCGCTGGACAGACAGAGTTATGGACCTGAGCTGAGGGTCGGGGAAGAGGGAGGGCAGAGGGAGTAAGCAGGGAGATTGAAAGCACGGTCGAAGAGGAGGGTCTTGAGGTGGGTCTTGAAGGTGGTGAGGGAGGGGGCGGACTGTGGGATAGAGTTTCAGAGGGTGGGTGCAGAGTGGTGCAAGGCACGCCCGCCGATAGTGGGGCGAGTAAGGCGGGGGACGTGAAGCAGGCCAGAGCCCGCTGAGCAGAGGGAGTATGCACACTCGTACTCACACACAGCTATATACAAGGAGAACACACACACAGGACTGCACCACTTGTGAGCCTGTGCATTAGTGTTTTGGGCTAATCTTTTGCTGTGATTGATGTCCGCTGGGACCATTCTCGAGCGCTCATCTGAAAAACTCAATCAAAAGGAATGTCAGTGGGAGGAAAGCAGCCGTGTGAATCGCGCTCCCGGGAATTTGTTTCATGAAAGTGCAATGAAAGCCCAGAAATTTCAAGGCATATTAAAAAATGGACTATTGATTCCAACGGTTCACCATCAAACGGATGACAGAGCCCAAATGAGCACCGGGTCTTCGCCTGCAATTTTGTCTTCAAATAGGACAGAGTTATGGAGAATTTCGACCTTCACTCTTAACCTTGAAGATTTTTGAAATAGCGCCTAATCACGTCATTGAGACATTTCAGTGCGTTTTTCACAGAATATATTTGAGTGTCTAGTGACTGTGTATTTTGTGGGCCACCAATTGTACACTGCAGTGTCCCACAAACGTCATGGATTGAGTGACTAAATCCCCCCCCACCACCCTTCAAGCCCCCATCAGAAGAAAAGCATCTCCAAATTATAACAATAATAATCCTTACATTTAACGGAGCACCTCATCATGTCATCGAGATGTCTCAAAGCGCTTCACAGTATAGTGAGTAGTCAGTAAAGTGTACTGACCGTGTGTATTTTTTTTACTGCGTATTTTGTGGGCGAAACGTGGCTGCCAGTTGTGCACAGCAGTGTCCCACAAACAGCCAAGGAGTGAGTGACCGATTTTATTTGAACAGGCAGATGGGACCTCAGTTTCATGTCTCATTTGAGGGACGGCACCTCTGACAATGCAGCGCTGCCCCAGCACTGCATTGGAGTGTCAGCTTAGACAACGTGATTCCACATCCCGACGTGGGGCCTGATCAGAGGCGAGAGTGCTACCGACTGAGCCAGGCTGAGACCCTATGACCAATTTTATTTGGGGAGGATTGTTTGCTAGGTCACCGAGAGAGAGAAACTCCCTTATCGTTTTCCAAAAGAGCCATGGATCACACCCTAATATTAAGCCTGGGAACAACCCCAATTTTCCCAGCCTCTCGTCGGAATTTAACCCTCTCAGCCCTGGAACTGTTGTGGTGAATCTGCGCTGTCCGTCCATCTGCCCTCTGAGGCCATGATATCTTTTGTAAACTGTGCCTTAGCTTCGGAGGGAGGGAGGTGTGAGGGGAATGGGGGAGGGTTGTCAGAAGGAGCCAGAGCAGCCCTGCAATCTAATATTATTCCACATGTTTTATTTACTGGAAATTCAAGCCGAAGGGAACGTGAAATATTAATGGCTGATCCGTAAGAGATGCTCTTCAGAGACGTTTGGTTTGGCATCAAATGCACTCGATAATTAATGTGAACCCGTTTGAACGGTCTACAGTCAGAAAGTCTGTCTCTTATCATACAGGAATGTAAGCACTGTGGCTCCAACCCTTTTGATTATTAAAAAAAATCATAGTAATCATTGATTTGATACAGGGCCTTTTCACATCGTTGAGACATCACAAAGTGCTTCAGAGAATATAATATAATCCTTGCATTGGATATAGTGCCTTATCATATCTTTGAGATGTCTCAAAGTGCTTCACAGGATATACTGTAAAGTCATTTGACTGTATTTTTTGTGGGTGAAACGCAGCAGAAAATTGTGCACAGCAGTGACCAATTTATTTATTCGGAGGGATTATTACCCCCGGAAAGCGATTGTCAAGTGACATGTTACTTACATGAAAGCGCTTTGAGACGTTCTGAACCATTTTTTTGAGGGATTATTACCCTTTCCCCACAAACACTACATCGACATTAACTACCTGCAAAACTTGCAGACATCTTATGTGTTAGGCTCGATAAAAATTTTATTTTTTTCTCGCTCCCCCTCTCTCGCTTTCTCTCGCTCCCCCTCTCTCGCTTTCTCTCGCTTCCCCTCTCTCACGTTCTCTCGCTCCCCTTCTCTCGCTTTCTCTCTCTCCCCCTCTCTCATGTTCTCTCACTCCCCCTCTCTCATTTTCTCTCACTCCCCCTCTCTCTCACCCAGGAGACATTGGCTATGCAGTCAGTGACACTGACTGAGTAAACATTAACTGGAGTTTGTGGGAACAAAGGTTAATCTGGAGCTGGAAAGTTGGAGCGAGCAACTCATGACTATCCTCTTGGTGGGAATGGGGTGGTGGGGGGAGGAGGTGAGCGAGGTCTCCTTGGAGATGAACTGGCAACACGGTGACATGTTTGGCAACAGAATGTTGGAATCAAGTCAGCCCTCTGTGGTGGTTTCTAGTCCGGTTCCTGAGCCAAGCGGGTGAACAGTATTCCAGGATACCGCTGATGACAGCTCAGCCAGTCAATGCGACATTTAGGGGCAACAACAACAAATTACATTTGTATAGCGCCTTTCAAATCAGGAGGAAAGCAGCGGGAAAGCAGCAGGAAAGCTTGCCAGACAGAATTCTCAATGGCAAGCTATGCGGGTTTAGCTGGTTAGACTCCAGCAGTTACCCCAATGCACACTCTGGGGTCCACAAGCTTTGGCTCTTGCCAACCTGTGCCTAATACTTTCTGGAATTAGGTAAGCAGGATGTGTCCCTCCAGGGAGAGAGAGCGCATTGCATCCCAACAATCTATCTCTGGGATTTCCATGTGTAGGTGGGATGCATGGAATTCCCAGTTTGGTTTGGATACTATTAAGCACAGGGATGGGTTTCCGTATGGGTCAGACACCCGGCTGACCAAAAAACAGAAAAAATCCTCTGTGATAGAGACGATTTGGAATGTTTTGCAATGCAAATGGTCATTTGTTTAGAATGTTTTACAATGCAAATACTCATTTGTCTCAAAAGTCCCTGACTGTGTTTCTGTGAGCTTGTTTGTGCACAGCTATGTCCTGTCACACAGGACACAGACATGAGTTGTGTGTTCATGGCTGATATCGAGGGCTTTGAGCTCATAGTCTAAGCTGACACTGCAATGCAGCACTGGGGGTGGGGGAGTTGTTGCATCGTCAGAGGTGCCATTATTTAAACTACGGTCCCGTCTGCCTGTTCAGGTGCACTTTACAGATCTTGTTGAGCTATTGGAAAAGAGAAGGGTGTTTCTTTCTCCCAGTCTCCTAGACAATAATTGGTCATTCAAACCACAACTGTTTGTGGGACACTGCTGTGTGCAATTGGCTGCTGTGTTTCTTCCACAAAATACACAGTAACTCCACTTTACAGTATAATAATAATCCTTACAATAATTGAGATGTCTCAAAGTGCTTCACAGAATAGACTGTAAAGTGAATTGACTGTATTTTGTGGGCGAAATGTAGCACACAAATTTTTTTTGGGGGGGATTATTATCCCGGGAAAAGCAATCCGCCAATTGACTAACAACCGGGTTCCCTACTTATTGCTAGGTAAATAAAGGTGTATGAAGTAAAGAAACGCGTCCAATGATTCGCCCTGCCTGGGAATTGAACCCAGGTCCTCTCACTTACGAGAATATTCTGTGAGACGCTTTGAGACATCTTGCTGACATGGTAAAGCACTATAAATAATAATAATCCTTGAATTTGCTATAAAGCTTTTTTATGTCTTCTAGACATCTCAAACTTCTTCACAGAACATACTGTAAAGTGAATTGACTGTATATTTAGAGGCAAAACGCAGCAGCCAATTGCGCACAGCAGTGTACCACAAACAGTCGTGGATTGAGTGAACAAATTATTATTATTTGTTTTTAAGGATTATTATTCCTGGAAAAGTGTTTCGCCAATCGACTAACAACTGGGTTCTTACTTACTGCTAGGTAAACAGAGGCATGTGGAGTAAGGAAACTTGCCCAACGTTTCGCCCTGCCCGGGAATCAAACCCAGGTCTCGCGCTTTCGAGGCGAGTGCTCTAACCACTGAGCTACAGGACTCCACTGTAGCTATATCAAATGGAAGGATTATTATTATGATTATTAAACATTACGTTCATAGAATCAATTATGGTGTAATTCCTACCCGGGCGTTTGCTATTTCTACTTCAGAGCAACACTTAACCAGAAGGAACAGCCGCCAGATTGGTGCCATTTGATTATTTCCCCTTTGCGTTTGAGAAAGATGTGCGGTTGAATGACATGTTGTTTGGGGCCTCCACAGAAACCTGTCACCATGATCAGCCAGGTGTCTGACACCCAAGGAAACCCATCACCCTGCTTTGGAGTATCCAAACCGGACCGAGAATTGCACACATGCACACCGCCTACCCATGGAAAATTCCTAAAAGACGCGGAAATAGCGAAAGAGGAAATGGGATAGAGAAGAAAAGACGTAGGGAGAGAGCGGGAGAAGGCAAGAAAACCAAGAGAAAAGCGCAGAAAGCGCTAGAAAAAAAATAAGAGAAAAAGAAAAATCCAGACAGGCAGGGAAACGGGACAGGGAGCGAGAAAGAGAAAGAAAAAGAGGGGAAAAAAAGGACAGAGGGAACGAAATAGGAAAAGGATAGAAGGGACACGATAAGAGGATTGCGAAGGGATGAAAGTGGAGATGGATGTGGCTGCTCAAGTCAGCAAACCAGGTGGATGGGGAATAAAACAAGAGTCAGCAAGAGCTTCAAGCAAGTCCCAGACCCAAACCCCTACAGAGAATGGGCAATGGTCTTGCTTTGCTTGCAAATAAAACACACACACACACACGCAGATCCAACGCTGAAATTTAAATGCAGAGAGAATTTTTTTTTAATATTGTGCAGTATTTTAGATTTTTAATGCATGTGTACGTCTGTCTCTCTCTCTCTCTCTCCCCCTCCACACACACACACACACACACACACACAACGTTAAGGTCAGAATTTAATAAGAGTGCATTAATAATTAATAACGCACTGTGTTAAGAGACACCTCTGTGTGTGTCTCTCTCTGTCTCACACACACACACACACACGTATAAGAGGTGTCTCTGTGCCCACACACACACACACACACACACACACATATATATATATATGACCCCCAAAAGTGGTGATACAATCACAATGTCCAATAAGTCATAAAGAAATGATATATTTTTTTTAGATGAGAGTGCAGATATCGTGACTTTTTGGTCACCCTATAGTTTTGCCTCTCTCTGCAGAAGAGGTACCTCTGTCTCCCACAGACACACATATATAAGAGGTGTCTCCTCGACCTCTGCATCACACACACACACACGTATATATATATATAATAATAATATATAGATGTGTGTGTGTATGATATATATAAGGCCTGTGAGCTCGCCACCCCACACGTATATAAAACAGCCCTTACCTTGGCTTCCAGCTCCCCCACAGCCGTCTGATCGCTCCTCCAAATCCTGCTCACGGCGTCTGGCTGCAGGAACAGTCTGAGAGCAGCAGCAGCCAGACCCCCAGCCAGCAACAGCCCCACAGCCTGTCTGCGGGACACCTTCCTCATTCTGTCTGTCTGTCTCTATCTCTGTCTGTCTCTCAATCAATGTGTGTGTCTCTCTCTGTCTGTCTCTATCTCTGTCTGTCTGTGTCTGTCTGTCTCTATCTCTGTCTGTCTCTCAATCAATGTGTGTGTCTCTCTCTGTCTGTCTCTATCTCTGTCTGTCTGTGTCTGTCTCTATCTCTGTCTGTCTCTCAATCAATGTGTGTGTTTCTCTCTGTCTGTCTGTCTGTCTGTCTGTCTGTGTCTGTCTGTCTGTCTGTCTGTCTCTGAACCAATGTGTGTCTCTCTCTGTCTGTCTGAGTCAGTCTCTGCCTCTCAGTCCCTCTGTCTCCCTCTCACTGCTTTTTAAGATGAAGGTGTTTAGTGACTGAGTGAAGCCCAGAGACAGAGAGAGATAACCAGTGTGTGTGTGTGTGGGGGGGGGGGGGAGGGGGGGTGGGGGGGGAGGGGGTACCGCTGGTGTTGGTTGATTTCATCCCCTTTTTGTGGCTCACAACAGCGATTACAGAGGTGACACCTCCTCTCTCTCTCTCCCCCTCCCCTCTCTCTCCCTCTCTCCCCCTCCCCTCTCTCTCCCTTGTCTCTCCCCCTCTCTCTCCCCCTTCCCCTCTCTCCCTCTCTCCCCCTCCCTTGTCTCCCCCCTCCCCTCCCTCTCCCTCTCTCCCCCTCCCCTCTCTCTCCCCCTCCCCCCTCTCTCCCCTCCCTTGTCTCTCCCCCTCCCTTGTCTCTCCCCCTCCCTTGTCTCCCCCCTCCCTCTCCCTCTCTCCCCCTCCCTTGTCTCTCCCCCTCCCTTGTCTCTCCCCCTCTCTCCCCCTTCCCTCTCCCTCCCTCTCTCCCCCTCCCTTGTCTCCCCCCTCCCTCTCCCTCTCTCCCCCTCCCTTGTCTCTCCCCCTCTCTCCCCCTTCCCTTCTCCCTCCCTCTCTCCCCCTCCCTTGTCTCCCCCTCCCTCTCTCTCTCTCTGTCCCACTGCAAATACACAGCTCTAACCTCCCCCTTCACCCCCCCCTCTCCCCCCAGCCCATGAGATTTACTGAGCTGACACCAGGCACAGTTGGAGCTGAGCCAGAGACACAGACAGAGCTGAGCTCTATCAGCCCAGGGACCCTGGTTTTCACACAGCGCCTCAGTGTCTCATCTTCACAGCCCCTCGACCTCAAGTGGAGGGAACGGTGATCATAATAATAATCCTCGCATTCGATACAGCGCCTTACATCAAGCCGGTGAGTTGTCTCAAAGCGCTTCACAGGATACCCTGTATTCATAATAAAAATAATAATCAGAATCCTTGCCTTTGCATTTGATGCAGCACCTTCACCACATCGCCAAGACGTCTCAAAATACTTCGCAGGATTTATTGTAATAATAATCCTTGCATTTAAATTTGATACTGCACGTTGAGACATCTCGCAGAGGTAAAGCGGATTGACTGTGAATTTGGGGGGCGAAACACGTCAGCCAATTGCGCACAGCAGCGTCCCACAAACAATATTACATGTCAAAGAAATCTTAAGGGGGATGTCGCTAAATTTTAAACTTATTTTATATATTATTATTCTTTTATATCCTTTTACTATTCTTTTATATGTACAAAGAATAAATGAAGACCCACTAATTGTGTTAAAACAGGTCACAAAAAAATCCACAAATTACTGTAAAGCGGATTGGCTGTGTACTGGTGGGCGAAAGTATTATTTACAATTTAACAATCCTCACGTTTCCCCTCACTTGTTAACATCTCAAAGAACTTCACTGGGAATCCACGCCAAAGTGTAGTGACTGTGTCAGCCTGGCACAGTTGATAGCAATCTCGCCCCATGTCAGGACTTGGAATCACACAGTTTAAGCTGATACTCCGATGTGTTGCATTTGTGTCCAATGTGTCGGAAGTGGCTTTCTTCGGATGAGATGTTAAACTGAGATCCAGTCTGACTGTTCAGTTGGATGTTAAAGATCCCATGGCACCATTGGAAAAGAGAAGCGAATTTCTCTCTCCTGGTGTCCTGGTCAACAATCCCTCAATAAAATTGGTCACTTACTCCAGAAAATGCTTCACATAATATATTGTAAAGTGGATTGACTTGTGTATTTGTGAAGTGTTCGACACTCCTCAACCTTCCAGACAAGGTGTGAAATGCAGGGTTTATCAATAAGAAATAAATATCAAGAATTATTTGGTCATTTCAATTTTTAATTTTTTTTGCTAATAAAAATCTGATTTTGTGCTTAATGGCAAAACATAACCCATAATTAACATGGCGATAGACACCAACACAAGTGAGCTCTGAGGGCATGGGAAATCAAATTAACATCATAAACACTGGGCAAGGTTAGGAGAATTTGATTTATACGTGTACACACACACAGAGAGGCAGACACATATACACAGGCAGACACATGTGTGAATTGGAAATGTTTTTGAAAAGGAAAAAATTAAAAGTTTCTCTGTGTATGGGTGCGTGTCTGTGTGTTTCTGTCCATCAGTGTCTCTCCGTCTGTCAGTGTGCATGTTTCTGTATGCTAGTGTATATCTGTCTGTCTGTCAGGTGTGTTTGTCAGACTGTCCTTCTGTATCTGTCTGTCAGTGTGCGTGCATCCGTCTGCCAGTGTGTGTGCGCATCTGTCTGTCAGTGTGCGTGCATCTATCTGTCAGTGTGCTTGTTTCTGTCTGTTAGTGTGTATCTGTCTGTCAGTGTGCGTGTTTATGTCTCTCGGTGTGCGTGTTTATGTCTGTCAGTATGTGTGTATGTGTCTGAATGCTAGTGGGTATCTGTCTGCCTGTCAGTGTGTGTATGTTTGACTGTCAGTCTGTATCTTTCTGTTGGTGTGAGTGTTTCTGTCTGTTAGTGTGTGTGTTTCTGCATGTCCGCGTGTCTTCGTGTGCATGTCTCCGCCTGTGCACATGTCTTTGTGTGCATGCCTCTGCATCTGCCTGCCTCTGCATGTATCTGCGTGTGCCCGTCTCTGCGTGTCTGCCTGTGCGTGTCTCTGCCTGTGCGTCTCTGGATCTCTATCACATGGCAGGACGCGATCACGTTGAGAGGGCAATGAGATTGCTGGCTGGGATCAGCACTTGGGCAGAGCCTGTGGACCCTGGGAATGTTCAGAGTGAAGAGAACAGACTCGGGGAGGGGGAAATCTCACTGAAATAATCAAGATACAGAGCAACGATAGGCCAGCCAGCCAGCCAGCCAAGTTCACTGGCTCAGGCCAATAATATCATTGCTCCTCACTATGCCACATCAATGTGAGCATGTCCTCTTGTGTAAACACACACACACTGACATGGAGACACACACACTGACACATTTACGCACTCATACACACACACTCTCTCTCTCTCTCATACACACACACACACACAGGCACAGAGAAACAAACATAGCCAGACAAATATCGTGCATGTGCAAATTGCACAGGATAGTGAAGATACTGTAAAGCCCCCAGTGCTGTACTGTATCCCCCCAGTGCTGTACTGTACCCCCCCAGTGCTGTACGTGCCACCATTCTAAGAGTATTGGTCACCTCTCACCCCCCCACCTCCACCCCAGCTGTGCCTCATGCCCCGCCATTGTCAAGAGCTCTGGAACGCTACCCTTCGTAAGGAGCTCTATATAAATGCAAGTTGCTGTTGTTGTAACTATCTTGCCAATTGGTCCCGCTGCTTTCCCAGAGATGGAGCAGGTTTTCCTCCTCGGTGTCTCTGGGGGATGAATCCCAGCTTCTCTCAGAAGTAGGCGGAGATTATCATCCACTATGAGGGGCAAAAACACAGTCAGTCACCATCCCATCATATCATTATCCCATCACATAATCACACCATTCCACACCCTCACTCAATCACAAGATCAGTTCAGGGCTGAGGAAGACCCTCCAGAACGAAGACCTCCCTCCCCTCCTACCCATCACAGCATTGTGCTGCTTTTTAAATGAGTCCCAGTGTCCTGGCCTCAGCCACCCGTCCTGGTAACCTGTTCCAATCATTAACTATCCTCTGGGATAAGAAACACTTCCTGAAATTGCCCCTTTGTGACTCTGAACCCGGCCTATCTGAAAGTACTGTTTCAAGTTTGCTTTTCAGTCCCATTTGGAATCTTATTTCCCTTTAATGAGGTCCCTCTGAGCATCGTTTCTCAAGACTAACCCCCAGCTGGTCCCCTCATTACTAACAGCCCAGCCTCTTCCACTGGGATCAGCTCAGCCTCTAACACTATAATAATAATCGTTGCATTTGGCATAGTGTCATATCACGTCGTTGAGACATCACAAAGCGCTTCACAGAATATATTGTAAAGTGAATTGAAGGTGTTTTGCAGGCAAAATGCGGCAGCCAATTTACGCACATCAGTGTCCCACAAACAGCCGTGGATTGAGTGACCACATTTTTTTAAAGGGAAAGAATCCGCCAATCCCATAACAACTGGGTTCCTGCTTACTGCTAGGTAAACAGAGGCTTGTGGAGTAAGGAAACTTGCATAAGTTTCACCCTGCCTGGGAATTGAACCCGGGTCATGGGATCGGTCTCGCTGCTTTCCTCTGTGCTGCATTGTTGGCAGCACACAGTCACTACAGTAAATCCTGTGAAACACTTTGAGATGTTCTTCTGGCGCGAAAGGCACTGTATCAAATGCAGGGATTATTATTCAAGAACTACAGAATATAATAATAATATGAAAACACACACACCAATGCTTCAACACACACACATAACAATCCCATATTTGATACAGCGCATTTCATGTCAGGAGGATGTCTCAAAGCACTTCAATAGGGTATAATGACTGTGTAGTGTAGTGACTGTGTGTGTTCTGGGTAAACAATGTAAAAACACACTCTCACACACATACTCTCACACACACCAAACACATAAATCAACTGCAAGACCAAACCTTTCTTTCTCTGTTATCATCTGGAAGTGATAATGTGGGAAATATGCCAGGAATCCTCAACTCACACAATCTCGTAGCACAGAGCAGGCCATCCGCTCTGAAAAGAGCTGTGCGATTCACCCCCAACTGATCTCCTCCTCCACACGCGCACACACCCTTTTATACTGTTCCTCACTCACACCCTCAGTCAGTCACTCACACCCTCAGTCAGTCACCCACACTCTCAGTCACTCACTCACACCCTCAGTCACTCACGCTCTCAATCAGTCACTCAGGCCGTCAGTTAGTCACTCAAGCCCTCAGTCAGTCACTCAGGCCCTCAGTCAGTCACTCACGCTCTCAGTCAGTCACTCACGCTCTCAGTCAGTCACTCACGCTCTTAGTCAGTCACTCACGCCCTCAGTCAGTCACTCACGCTCTCAGTCAGTCACTCACGCTCTTAGCCAGTCACTCACGCCCTCAGTCAGTCACTCACTCACGTTCTGTCAGTCAGTCAGTCACTCACACCTTCAGTCAGTCACTCACGCCCTCAGTCAGTCACTCAGGCCCTCAGTCAGTCACTCACGCTCTGTCAATCAGTTACTCACGCCCTCAGTCAGTCACTCATGCTCTGTCAGTCAGTCACTCACACTCTGTCAGTCACTCACGCGCTCAGTCAGTCACTCACGCCCTCAGTCAATCACTCACACCCTCAGTCAGTCACTCACACGCTCAGTCAGTCACGCACGCCCTCAGTCAGTCACTCACGCTCTCAGCCAGTCACTCACGCTCTGTCAGTCAGTCACTCACGCTCTCAGTCAGTCCCACACGCTCTCAGTTAGTCACTCACGCTCTCAGTCACTCACTCACGGCCTCAGTCAGTCACTCACACCCTCAGTCAGGCACCCACACTCTCAGTCACTCACTCACCCACGCCCTCAGTCAGTCACCCACACTCTCAGTCACTCACTCACCCACGCCCTCAGTCAGACACCCACACCCTCAGTCAGACACCCACACCCTCAGTCAATCACTCACACTCTCAGTCAGTCACTCACACCCTCAGTCAGGCACTCACGCTCTCAATCACTCACTCACGCCATCAGTCAATCACTCACACTCTAAGTCACTCACGCTCTGGCCTATGAGCCAGAAGGTTTTGGGGTCTGAGCCCTACATCAGGGCTTTGAGCCGCGGTCTAGGCCAGTGATTAATGGCCAACCAAATACATTTTTCCTTATTAAATTTTTCTTCATGTATGGCTGTATCATGGGTATAGTGGCTCGGGTGCTGCTGGAAACAAGGTATTGATAAGACCAGGTGGGCTTGTGTGGACTGGTCCACTGCACCAGTGTAATAATAATAATCCTTGCATTTGATATAGCGTCTTATAGACGTCTCAAAGCACTTCACAGAATAGACTGTAAAGTGAATTGACTGTATATTTGTGGGCGAAACGCAGCAGCCAATTACGCACAACAGTGTCCCACAAACTGTCATGGATCGAAACTGACCAATTTATTATTGTTTTTTTTGGAGGGATTATTATTAGGTGTGTGGAGTAAGGAAACTTGCCCAAGGTTTCGCCCTGCCTGGAATTGAACTCAGGTGTCTCGCTTGCAAGGTGAGTGCTCTAACCACTGAGCTACAGGACTCCAGGAGAGGGGAATAGAGGGGTGAGGGAGAGGGCAATAGAGCGGTGGGGGAGAGGGCAATAGAGGGGCGAGGGAGAGGGGAATGCATGAAATAAGCGATTAATTATTATTATTATTATTATTATTATTATTATTATTATTTTCCTTCCTTTATGAACGGATGTGTGGAAAGAAGACCGGTTGCTTCAGCGAACATGTGCGGATGAAATATCTACTTGGGGAAGAATTCAATTGAGAGACAGGGCAACTGTAGGATTCATTTCATTCCAGTCGTCGATCTAATGGGGAGTTTACGAGGAACTCTCTCACGCAAAGAGTGTGAGTGTCTTGGACTCACTGCCGGGGCTGTGGTTGAAGCAGAAAGCAGGAGGGTGGAGTGTAAAGTGTAGCAGAGGGGAATGGAGGGGTGAGGGAGAGGGAAATAGAGGGGTGAGGAAGAGGGGAATAGAGGGGTGGGGGAGAGGGGAATGGAGGAGTGGGGGAGAGGGGAATAGAGGCGTGGGGGAGAGGGGAATGGAGGGGTGGGGGAGAGGGGAATGGAGGGGTGAGGGAGAGGGGAATAGAGGAGTGGGGGAGAGGGGAATAGAGGCGTGGGGGAGAGGGGAATGGAGGGGTGGGGGAGAGGGGAATGGAGGGGTGGGGGAGAGGGGAATGGAGGGGTGGGGGAGAGGGGAATGGAGGGGTGGGGGAGAGGGGAATGGAGGGGTGTGGGAGAGGGGAATGGAGGGGTGGGGGAGAGGGGAATGGAGGGGTGGGGGAGAGGGGAATGGGGGGTGGGGGAGAGGGAATAGAGGGTGGGGGAGAGGGGAATGGGGTGGTGGGGAGAGGGGAATGGAGGGGTGGGGGAGAGGGGAATGGAGGGGTGGTGGAGAGGGGAATAGAGGCGTGGGGAGAGGGGAATGGAGGGGTGGGGGAGAGGGGAATGAGGGTGGGGGAGAGGGGAATGGAGGGGTGAGGGAGAGGGGAATGGAGCGGTGGGGGAGAGGGGAATGGAGGGGTGAGGGAGAGGAGAATGGAGGGGTGAGGGAGAGGGGAATGGAGCGGTGGGGGAGAGGGAAATGGAGGGGTGGGGGAGAGAGGAATGGAGGGATCAGGGAGAGGGGAAGGGAGGGATCAGGGAGAGGGGAATAGCGGGGTGAAGGAGAGGGAATGGAGGGGTCAGGGAGAGAGCAGGTGGGGGTTCCCTCCCTGGAGGGCTGGGGGTCTCTCTCTATCCTTCCCTCCCAATGCACCCAGCGAGAGGATGTCGGAGCCAGTCCTACCTGGTCAGCAGACAGAGAGATCCCGGGAGCACCTTTCCCTAACTTATTGAACGTTTCTGGAAAAGGAAGCAGTTGTTAAGTGGTTGTTTAGGGTAAAGGCTCCGAGCCGCACGACCCCCGACATCTTTTTTTTACATAGGCAATTTTATCGGCACAGTCAGAGCCCACCCACGGGTCAGGGTTAGGGAGCCCCTCCTGCAGTTAGTGACCGACCCCCAACAGGGAGCTTTGGAGGGAGACTGACCTGAGGGGGGGGTGGGCACAGATGCAAGCGTTGATGTTTGTAATTTCCCCTCTCTCCCCGATCTGCTCCCGCACTCCCACACCCCCCACCACCGGTTCCTCTCTCCCCCCACCTGCCCCCCTCCCCCCACCCCACACACACCCCGGTTACTCACTCATAGTGAAGTCCATGCGGAGGAAACAGCAGGTGAAACCGACCAAATCCACCCTCCCCGCGGTGTCTCCATACCTGCGGCACAACAGCCGGCGGACAGGCTTCGTCACCGGGTAATCTGTCACACCGGGAAACACCAGCACAGTGTGTCAGTGGGTGTCAGTGCCTGTCAGTGTCAGTGTGACAGTGTGTGTCAGTGTGTTGCTGCGTCAGTGTGTGTCAGTGTGTGTCAGTGTGCATCTGTATACGTCTGTGTCAGTGTGTGTCTCTGTTAGTGTGTGTCTGTGTTAGTGTGTGTCTGTGTCAGCGTGTGTCTGTGTGCGTCTGTGTCAGTGTGTGTTAGTGTGTGCCTGTGTCAGTGTGTGTCAGTGTGTGTCTGTGTTAGTGTGTGTCTGTGTTAGTGTGTGTCTGTGTGCGTCTGTGTCAGTGTGTGCCTGTGTCAGTGTGTGCCTGTGTCAGTGTGTGTCTGTGTCAGTGTGTGCCTGTGTCAGTGTGTGTCAGTGTGTGTCTGTGTCAGCATGTGTCTGTGTCAGTGTGTGTCTGTGTGCGTCTGTGTCAGTGTGTGTCAGTGTTAGTGTGTGTCTGTGTTAGTGTGTGTCAGTGTTAGTGTGTGTCTGTGTTAGTGTGTGTCTGTGTGCGTCTGTGTCAGTGTGTGTCTGTGTCAGTGTGTGTCAGTGTTAGTGTGTGTCTGTGTCAGTGTGTGTCTGTGTGCGTCTGTGTCAGTGTGTGTCAGTGTTAGTGTGTGTCTGTGTCAGTGTGTGTCTGTGTTAGTGTGTGTCTGTGTCAGTGTGTGCCTGTGTCAGTGTGTGTCTGTGTCAGTGTGTGCCTGTGTCAGTCAGTGTGTGTCTGTGTCAGCGTGTGTCTGTGTCAGTGTGTGTCTGTGTGCGTCTGTGTCAGTGTGTGTCAGTGTTAGTGTGTGTCTGTGTTAGTGTGTGTCAGTGTTAGTGTGTGTCTGTGTTAGTGTGTGTCTGTGTGCGTCTGTGTCAGTGTGTGTCTGTGTCAGTGTGTGTCAGTGTTAGTGTGTGTCTGTGTCAGTGTGTGTCTGTGTGCGTCTGTGTCAGTGTGTGTCAGTGTTAGTGTGTGTCTGTGTCAGTGTGTGTCTGTGTTAGTGTGTGTCTGTGTTAGTGTGTGTCTGTGTCAGTGTGTGTCTGTGTCAGTGTGTGTCAGTGTGTGTCAGTGTCAGTGTGTGTCTGTGTCAGTGTGTGTCTGTGTTAGTGTGTGTCTGTGTTAGTGTGTGTCTGTGTCAGTGTGTGTCTGTGTCAGTGTGTGTCAGTGTGTGTCAGTGTCAGTGTGTGTCTGTGTCAGTGTGTGTCTGTGTTAGTGTGTGTCTGTGTCAGTGTGTGTCTGTGTCAGTGTGTGTCTGTGTTAGTGTGTGTCAGTGTGTGTCAGTGTCAGTGTGTGTCTGTGTCAGTGTGTGTCTGTGTTAGTGTGTGTCTGTGTTAGTGTGTGTCTGTGTCAGTGTGTGTCAGTGTGTGTCTGTGTTAGTGTGTGTCTGTGTTAGTGTGTGTCTGTGTGCGTCTGTGTCAGTGTGTGTCAGTGTTAGTGTGTATCAGTGTTAGTGTGTGTCAGTGTTAGTGTGTATCAGTGTTAGTGTGTGTCAGTGTTAGTGTGTGTCTGTGTTAGTGTGTGTCTGTGTGCGTCTGTGTCAGTGTGTGTCTGTGTCAGTGTGTGTCAGTGTTAGTGTGTGTCTGTGTCAGTGTGTGTCTGTGTGCGTCTGTGTCAGTGTGTGTCAGTGTCAGTGTGTGTCTGTGTCAGTGTGTGTCTGTGTTAGTGTGTGTCTGTGTTAGTGTGTGTCTGTGTCAGTGTGTGTCAGTGTGTGTCTGTGTTAGTGTGTGTCTGTGTTAGTGTGTGTCTGTGTGCGTCTGTGTCAGTGTGTGTCAGTGTTAGTGTGTATCAGTGTTAGTGTGTGTCAGTGTTAGTGTGTGTCAGTGTTAGTGTGTGTCTGTGTCAGCGTGTGTCTGTGTTAGTGTGTGTCTGTGTTAGTGTGTGTCTGTGTGCGTCTGTGTCAGTGTGTGTCAGTGTTAGTGTGTGTCTGTGTCAGTGTGTGTCAGTGTTAGTGTGTGTCTGTGTTAGTGTGTGTCTGTGTTAGTGTGTGTCTGTGTTAGTGTGTGTCAGTGTGTGTCTGTGTTAGTGTGTGTCTGTGTTAGTATGTGTCTGTGTCAGTGTGTGTCTGTGTCAGTGTGTGTCAGTGTGTGTCTGTGTTAGTGTGTGTCTGTGTTAGTGTGTGTCTGTGTGCGTCTGTGTCAGTGTGTGTCAGTGTTAGTGTGTGTCTGTGTTAGTGTGTGTCTGTGTCAGTGTGTGTCTGTGTCAGTGTGTGTCTGTGTTAGTGTGTGTCTGTGTTAGTGTGTGTCTGTGTGCGTCTGTGTCAGTGTGTGTCAGTGTTAGTGTGTGTCTGTGTTAGTGTGTGTCTGTGTCAGTGTGTGTCTGTGTCAGTGTGTGTCTGTGTTAGTGTGTGTCAGTGTGGCTGTGTGTCAGCGTGGGCCGGTGTCGCTGTGTGTCAGCGTGGGGCAGTGTCGCTGTGTGTCAGCGTGGGGCAGTGTCGCTGTATGTCAGCGTGGGGCGATGTCGCTGTGTGTCAGCGTGGGCAGTGTCGCTGTGTGTCAGCGTGGGCAGTGTCGCTGTGTGTCAGCGTGGGGCAGTGTCGCTGTGTGTCAGCGTGGGGCGATGTCGCTGTGTGTCAGCGTGGGGCAGTGTCGCTGTGTGTCAGCGTGGGGCAGTGTCGCTGTGTGTCAGCGTGGGGCAGTGTCGCTGTGTGTCAGCGTGGGGCAGTGTCGCTGTGTGTCAGCGTGGGGCAGTGTCACTGTGTGTCAGCGTGGGCCGGTGTCGCTGTGTGTCAGCGTGGGGCAGTGTCGCTGTGTGTCAGCGTGGGGCAGTGTCACTGTGTGTCAGCGTGGGGCAGTGTCGCTGTGTGTCAGCGTGGGCCGGTGTCGCTGTGTGTCAGCGTGGGCCGGTGTCGCTGTGTGTCAGCGTGGGCCGGTGTCGCTGTGTGTCAGCGTGGGGCGATGTCGCTGTGTGTCAGCGTGGGGCAGTGTCACTGTGTGTCAGCGTGGGGCAGTGTCGCTGTGTGTCAGCGTGGGCCGGTGTCGCTGTGTGTCAGCGTGGGCCGGTGTCGCTGTGTGTCAGCGTGGGGCAGTGTCGCTGTATGTCAGCGTGGGGCGATGTCGCTGTGTGTCAGCGTGGGGCAGTGTCGCTGTGTGTCAGCGTGGGGCAGTGTCGCTGTGTGTCAGCGTGGGGCAGTGTCGCTGTGTGTCAGCGTGGGGCGATGTCGCTGTGTGTCAGCGTGGGGCAGTGTCGCTGTGTGTCAGCATGGGGCAGTGTCGCTGTGTGTCAGCGTGGGGCAGTGTCGCTGTGTGTCAGCGTGGGGCAGTGTCGCTGTGTGTCAGCGTGGGGCAGTGTCGCTGTGTGTCAGCGTGGGGCAGTGTCGCTGTGTGTCAGCGTGGGGCAGTGTCGCTGTGTGTCAGCGTGGGCCGGTGTCGCTGTGTGTCAGCGTGGGCCGTGTCGCTGTGTGTCAGCGTGGGCCGGTGTCGCTGTGTGTCAGCGTGGGCGATGTCGCTGTGTGTCAGCGTGGGCAGTGTCGCTGTGTGTCAGCGTGGGCAGTGTCGCTGTGTGTCAGCGTGGGGCGATGTCGCTGTGTGTCAACGTGGGGCAGTGTCGCTGTGTGTCAGCGTGGGGCAGTGTCGCTGTGTGTCAGCGTGGCGATGTCGCTGTGTGTCAGCGTGGGGCAGTGTCGCTGTGTGTCAGCGTGGGGCAGTGTCGCTGTGTGTCAGCGTGGGGCAGTGTCGCTGTGTGTCAGCGTGGGCCGGTGTCGCTGTGTGTCAGCGTGGGGCAGTGTCGCTGTCTGGCACTTACCTGCTGCCCGCAGGCAGTTGCACAGCTGTGTGACTTGTAGAAATCCCAAGTTCTCCACATCACACTGGCAGAACAGATCCTGTCCAGCATAGAGGACAGTCACTACACATATATACAGTCACTACACACACATACAATCACTGCACACAGTCACTGCACACACACAATCACTGCACACACACACACACACACACACACAATCACTGCACACACACACACACGCGCGCACACACAATCACTACACACACACAATCACTGCACACACACACAGTCACTGCACACACACACAGTCACTGCACACACAGAGTCACTACACACACACAGAGTCACTGCACACACACAATCACTACACACACACAGTCACTGCACACACACACAATCACTGCACACACACACAGTCACTGCACACACACACAATCACTACACACACAGAGTCACTACACACACAGAGTCACTACACACACAGAGTCACTGCACACACACAATCACTGCACACACACAATCACTGCACACACACACACGCACACAATGACTACACACACACTCACACACACACGCACACACAATCACTGCACACACACACAATCACTGCACACACACACAGTCACTGCACACACACAATCACTGCACACACATACACACATACACACACACACAATCACTGCACACACAAACACACACACACACACAATCACTGCACACACAAACACAGTCACTACACATGTTCCCCATCCCCCACATACTCCCCCAAACACTCCCCGAATCCTGCGCTTTAGTGTGCACCTGGACTAGGAGCTCAAACCCCACACATTCTGGCATAGGCTGAGGCAGCCTGGCACAAGGTGAAGGCTGAGGGGTAGCCTGGCACGGGCTGAGGGGTAGCCTGGCACGGGCTGAGGGGTAGCCTGGCACGGGCTGAGGGGCAGCCTGGCACGGGCTGAGGGGCAGCCTGGCACGGGCTGAGGGGCAGCCTGGCACGGGCTGAGGGGCAGCCTGGCACGGGCTGAGGGGCAGCCTGGCACGGGCTGAGGGCAGCCTGGCACGGGCTGAGGGGCAGCCTGGCACGGGCTGAGGGCAGCCTGGCACGGGCTGAGGGGCAGCCTGGCACGGGCTGAGGGGCAGCCTGGCACGGGCTGAGGGGCAGCCTGGCACGGGCTGAGGGGCAGCCTGGCACGGGCTGAGGGGCAGCCTGGCACAGGAGGAGGGTGAGGGAAACCAGGCAAAGGGTGAGGGGGAGGGGAGCCATGCAGAGTGGGAGGGAGAGCCTGGCAGAGGATGAGGGGAGCCAGGCACTCGCTGAGCCAGCGTGACACAGGGTGAGACAGGCGTTTGTCAGGTTTTGCCCACCTTGTAATGAGTGAGCTTTCTCCATAAGTGCCCAAACTCCGGCCAGGACACATGCCCGCTGTTGTTCACCTGGGATGCTGGTTAAGTGGCTTCTTGTCAACTCAAACGTGGAAAACCCCAGCTATAGGTTACAATTCTCTCTCTGCTTGTTTGTTTGTTTGGATAGCCGGGTGCCTGACACATGAGGAAACCATCATCTCGCTGAAGAGTTTCCGAACCAGAGTTCCCCGTATATACAAGAACAAATTACATTTATACAGCGCGGAAAGGTTGGTGAAGTTTTAGTAGGTCGCAGAGGTAGGGAGGAGTAAGACCTTGGAGGACTTTAAAAGTGAGGACGAGGATCTTGAACTCGATTCTCTGAGGGATGGGGAGCGAGTGAAGCCGGGAGACGGTGGGGGTGGTCCTTATAGCGTCAATTTGTGTGGTACGGAGTAGACACTCCATTGGCTTCTTGTCAATTCAGACGTGGAAAACACCAGCTATAGGTTACAATTCTCTCTCTCCCTCTCTCTGCCCCGCTAACCTAATTGCAGAGAGGATCTGGCAGAGAGATTTTGCAGTATGAAGGATACGTCCATGTAGAGCAGGATGAACCTGGCAGTGTCCAGACTGAAACCTTCACGTGTCTTATAGCCTGGGGAGAGAGATACAGAGAGAGAGACAGAGATATAGAGACAGAGATACAGAGAGGGAGATACAGAGAGACACACAGTTACAGAGAAAGATACACAGAGAGATACAGAGAGAGAGATACAGAGACACACAGTTACAGAGAGATACAGAGAGAGAGATACACAGAGCGAGAGCGAGAGGAGAGAGATACTGAGAGACAGAGAGAGATACAGACACACATACACAGATAAAGAGAGACAGGTAGAGAGAGAAAGATACAGAGAGAGAGATGCACACACACACACAAACAGAAACAGACTTACCTTCCAGAAAGTTTTCATTTAAAATCCTCTGTAAATAACCATCATCGATCTCCAGATTCTGGAAAATAAAGTAATTATGTTTAGGGAAGGGTTGGGGGCGGGAAGGGGGGTGGGGGGGTGAGGATAGAGGGGCAATGAGGTGGGGGAGAGTTAAATAAATAGTGTTTACCTCAAAAGTAGTGGGTGACATGGGGACAGGATCACTTTCAGACGAACTGTGGCTTTGGGTTATGCTGTTCAAGTGCAGCCTCTGTCAACAACAACGTGGATTTACACAGCCTTTTACACAGGGTAACACCTCAGGGTGCTTCACAGAGAGGGTCAGACACCGAGCGGAGAGAGGGGGAGGGGAGAGAGGGGGAGAGAAAGGGGAGGTGAAGGTGACTAGGGATGCGGTTGAAGAGGTAGGTTTTAAGGCAGGATGTGAAGGATAGTGAGGAGACGAAGCTCACCTCAGGGAAGGAGGGGGAGATGGGCTCAGGGTGATCCTCAAACCAGCTGTACTGTCGCTCTGGCCATTTGAAGGTAGTCTGGCAACAGATCACAGTTAGTCACACATATACACACACACACACACACACACACACACACGGTACGCGACATCCTCGGAGCTACCCCTCGGACCCTCTTTAATGGGACACCTCCTCTGTCCCATAATGACTTGTTACTGGTTATTTTTGTGCTGTACTGTGTTGAGAGAGTGAGTGAGGAGGAGAAGGGGAGTTGTTGTTGTGGTGTATTGTGTTGGAGTGAGAGAGAGGGAGTTGTTGGGTTGGTTTCCATATTGTGTCGTGTCAGGTTATTGTTGGTGGATTGTGTGTGTGTGTTGTGTCGCTGTGTTTGGTTGTTGTGTTGTTGTGTTTGGTTGTTGTGTCAGGGGGTCACTGTGTTGGGGGGGTGGAGGGAACAAGATGAGGGGGAGAGGGAGCGAGGCGATTGGGGGGGAAAGGGGAGAAGAAGGAGGGGGTAAAAAAACAATGTTTACCTTAGAAGCAATGGGTGACATGGGGGTGAAATGATTTTCAGACAAACTGTAGCTTCGGGTTGTGTTGTTTGAGCGTAGACTCTGTCATCAACAACAATAACGTGGATTTACACAGCTTTTCACACATAAGCCCATCACTCTGATCTGCCGGGTGACTGACACTCAGGGAAACCCATCACCATGATCTGCCGGGTGTCTGACATACAGGGAAACCCATCACCATTATCTGCCGGGTGTCTGACATACACTGAAACCCATCACCATGATCTGCCGGGTGTCTGACATACACGGAAACCCATCACCATGATCTGCCGGGTGTCTGACATACACGGAAACCCATCACCATGATCTGCCGGGTGTCTGACATACACGGAAACCCATCACCATGATCTGCCGGGTGTCTGACATACACGGAAACCCATCACCATGATCTGCCGGGTGTCTGACATACACGGAAACCCATCACCATGATCAGCCGGGTTATAAGGTAGGTGCCCTGTACCTGGCTGCTGGCTTTCTCAAGGTTAGAGTTGAAATTCATATTTCTGGAAGGAACAAATGAGTGGACATTAATACAACAATAACTTTATATTTTTGTATTTATATAGCACCCCTCATGCAGGGTAGCATCCCAGAGCACTTGACAGTGGAGGAGCAAGTCACAAACCCGGGTGGAGAATCACTCTTCATGCGATCGGTCTGACATTCTTCTTATTACATGATTGAAAGGCCTTTAGCTTAGTGGTTAGCGCGCTCTCCTCGCAAGCGAGAGGATCCAAGTTCGATTCCCAGGCGGGGCAGAACATTACGCAAGTTTCCTTACTCCAAACGCCTATTTACCTTGCAGCAAGTAGGAACCTGGTTGTTAGTCAACTGGTGGATCGCTACAGGATTTAGCACACAGTGAGCAAGGAGGTTGTGTTATTGTTGTGATTATCACACGGTGAATGAGGAGGTTGTGCTGTTGTATGATTTAGCACAGGGTGAATGAGGAGACCATGTTGTTGCTATGATTATCACGTGGTGAGCCGGGTACCTGGGACCATCCTTCTTCTGGTAGAAGGTGCGGAGGACGAATCCGCACTCGTTGCCAGGGATTTCCGTGCAGGGCACCAGCACATAGGTGCCAGGCCTCAGGTGGAAGATCTCCACTACCTCTCGGGCTCTCATCAGCTGTGTCTGCCTCCTGACCAGGGTCATCTCAGTGAAGAATGTGGGTGGCATCTTGCCTCTCTGAACCTGCGACTGTGAGACACAGAGGTCAACACGCACACACACACAGCACAGAGAGAGAGAGACTGACACAGACAGGGGTCATCACACACACACACACATAGCCCAGAGAAAGAGAATGACACACACAGGTTAGCATACACACACACACAGACACACACCCCAGAGAGAGAGGCTCAGAGATTAGCACACACACACACACACACACATATCACAGACAGAGACACAAACAGGGCTCAGCACACACAGCTCAGAGAGAGAGAGAGGAGAGACTCAAGAGAGAGAGACTCCGAGACAGACAGAGAGAGACTTAGAGATTTGCTCAGAGTGAGGGAGAGAGAGATTTACTCAGCGAGAGAGAGGGAGAGCAAGTGCAGGCTGATCACAGTGTGAAGGACAGCGACAGTATAACCCTGTTGGAGGTTTGCCATTAGTACTGTAGCCAATGTGTATGTGTTGAAGACCCATTAACCACAGTTTCCTTATTTGCAATATTGTCAGGTTTGCGAGGAGTGTGGTTATCGAGCTCTCCACTGTACTTACTGTAGGTGGGACCTGAGGGGAGAGGGAGAGACATTAATGTTCCTGTGCACAATTGTCAAAGTGGTTTTGTTCATAATAGTAATCCATGCATTTAATATAGTGCATCATCATGTCGTTGAGACGTCTCAAAGCACTTCACAGATTATATTGTAAAGTAAATTGACTCTGTATTTTGTTGGTAAAACCGGCAGCCAATTCCACACAGCAGTGTCCCCCAAACAGTCGTGGATTAAAGTGACACAATTTATTATTTTTTTAAAAAGGAATTATTGTTACCCTGGAAAAGCAATTTGCTAATCGACTAACAACCAGGTTCCTACTTTACTTACTTACTAAAGATCAGACTTATGCAAGCGCAATGTGAGGAGAGGGCAGGTAAGGGGGGAAATGGAGGCAAGATGAGGTGAGGGGGTAAGAAGTGGCGAGTACCTTGAAGAGGAAGCAGGCGATGGGGAGGTGGGAGTACTGCTTGCGGTATTGGCCTCGGGATTTCTGCATGAGGAACACCATGACAATCGATGTCTTGGCTCTGGGGTCCACATCGTCCTCCTTCAGAGTGAAGAGATACTGTGGGTTCATCCAGAACGTATCTGCGGCGAGAGGAACATAGGAATTAGAAGCAGGAGCAGGCCATTCAGTCCTTCGAACCTGCCCCGCCATTCAATAAGATCGTGGCTGATCTTGTAACCTAACTCCATCTGCACGCCTTATCCCCATATCACTTAATCCCTCTATCCTTTAGAAATCTATCAATCTCAGTCTTAAATATGTTCAAGGACTGAGCATCTACAGCCTTCTGGGGTAGAGAATTCCATAAATTCACTACCCTCTGAGTGAAGAAATGTTTCCTCAACTCTGTTTAAAAAGGCTGACCCTTAATCTTAAGACTGTGACCCCTAGTTATACATTCTCCTACCAGGGGAAACAGTCTCACACTGTCTACTCTGTCAAGCCCCATAAGAATCTTATATGTTTCTGTAAGATCACCCCTAATTCTTCTATATTCTAGAGAGTATAGGCCTAGTTTACTCAACGTAACCTCATAGGTTGAGAGGTGGCACTGGCACTTACTGGGGCAGGGAATCCTCCCATTCATCTCCTGTTAACCCTGCAAGCCAAAGCTCTAACAGGTAGGGTGGTCCTAGCTGGACAAGCAGTGGGAAAGCTTGCCAGACAGCGATATCAATGGCAAGCTAATGTGGTTTTAGCTGTTTACACTCCAGCAGTTACCCCAACGCACACTCTGGGGTCCCCATGCTTGGCTCTTGCCAAACTTGCACCTAATACTTTCCAGAATTAGGTAAGCAGGATGTGTCTCTCTGGGGACAGAGTGCAACAATAGCGGAGTTGTGAATTAGTTGTATTTTGTGTATGGTGGACCTGGGGAGACCAGCGAGCAGAGCATTGGAATAGTCCAGCCGGGAAGTGACGAAGGCGTAAACGAGGGGTTTCGGCTGCTTTTGTTGTGAGGTACAGACGGATGCGGATAATGTGGCAGAGGTGGAAAAAAGCGGTCCTGGTCAGGGAACGGATGTGGGGTAGAAAGGAAAGCTAGGGATCAAACCTGACACTTAAGTTGCACACAGGTTCGGTGAATTTGAGGGATAGCCCGGGGAGGCTAAGGAGTTCAGACCCACAGGAGAGAAGATGTTGAGGGGAGCAGCCAATTGCGCACAGCAGTGTCCTACAAACAGCTGTGGATTGAGTGACCAAATATTTATTTATATGAAGAGATTATTACCCCCGGAAAGCGATCGCCAATCGACTAACAACTGGGTTCCTACGTACTGCTAGGTAAACAGAAGCGTGCGGAGTAAGGAAACTTGCCTAAGGTTTCACCCTGAACAGGAATCAAAACTGCATCTTCTCAATTGCGAGGTGAGTGCTCTAACCACTACACTGCAGGACTTACCCTTGTACCTCATTTTGCCGCCAGCGGTCACACCTTTCACCCACTTTTCCTGGTGGCAGGCATAGTGCCATTGCAAATGACTTTGGTCAATCATGAAATCAGGATTAGGACTACAGAACACAAGTCTTTTGAAGTTAGCCATGAAGTCCTTCAACGCCATCCTGTGGAGATCAGTGCACACCGCATGTCACTGCAAGATCTGAAATCCCCACTCAATACGCCTGTCAGTACAGCGTCACTGACCCTGAACCTCCTCGCCCCCCAGCCCAGCCCCATTATTATAATTAATCATTATTAATTACAATAATCTTGCATTTGCATTTGATATAGCACCTAATCACGTCATTGAGACACGTCTCAAAGTGCTTCACAGCATATATTGAAAAGTGGATTAACTGTATATATTGTGGGCAAATCGTGGCAGCTAATTGTGCACAGTAGTGTCCACAAACAGTCATGGATTGAGTGACCACATTTTTTTTGGAGGGATTATTACCCACGGAAAGCGAACCTCCAATCCACTAACAACTGGGTTCTACTTGCTGCTAGGTAAAGAGAAGCGTGTGGAATAAGAAAACATATATAAGGTTTTGGCCTGCCCAGGAATTGAACGTGTAATTATAATGAATCATTATGAATTATTTTTCCCTCTCTGGTTTGTGTGATACCACTCTTCGTTTGGTAACTGTGAGAAATCTGTGGGTGTACAGAGCAGCAAGGAAAAATCTACTTTTCAAGCTTAGAAATCAAAAGGCGCCAATCATTTTACAGTAATTGCTGGAAATTAGCAGCAACTGACTGAATAACTGAGATTGAATAACAACTATCCTTGAGAGCAGGATATGGAAGGGAAAAGGGAGAGGCAATGGCTATCACCAATGGAAAGTGATGAGGCTGATCCCCAGTGTTAGCCACAGAAGAGAGGTATGCTGATTCTAGTGTTAGAGACAGAGGAGAGCAGCGAGGCTGATCCCAGTGTTAGAGACAGAGGAGAGCAGTGAGGCTGATTCTAGTGTTAGAGACAGAGGAGAGCAGCGAGGCTGATCCCAGTGTTAGAGACAGAGGAGAGCAGTGAGGCTGATTCTAGTGTTAGAGACAGAGGAGAGCAGTGAGGCTGATCCCAGTGTTATGGACAGAGGAGAGCGACAAGGCTGATCCCAGTGTTAGAGGCAGAGGAGAGCAGTGAGGCTGATCCCAGTGTTAGGGACAGAGGAGAGCGAGAAGACTGATCCCAGTGTTAGAGACAGAGGAGAGCGACAAGGCTGATCCAGTGTTAGAGACAGGGGAGAGCAGTGAGGCTGATCCCAGTATTAGAGACAGAGGAGAGCAGTGAGGCTGATCCCAGTGTTAGAGGCAGAGGAGAGCAGCGAGGCTGATCCCAGTGTTAGAGACAGAGGAGAGCAGTGAGGCTGATCCCAGTGTTAGGGACAGAGGAGAGCAGCGAGGCTGATCCCAGTGTTAGAGGCAGAGGAGAGCAGCGAGGCTGATCCCAGTGTTAGAGACAGAGGAGAGCAGTGAGGCTGATCCCAGTGTTAGAGACAGAGGAGAGCAGCGAGGCTGATCCCAGTGTTAGAGACAGAGGAGAGCAGCGAGGCTGATCCCAGTGTTAGAGACAGAGGAGAGCAACAAGGCTGATCCCCAATTAATATGATGCAGGATTCCAATTTCATACCAGAATTCCCCGTCGTTACGATTCAGAAGAAGCCTCTTCTTCACTTTAGGGTCAACAATGTCCCACTCCTTTGAGCTGAGGAGGGAACAAGAATAAGAATTCGTATTACATTCAATACTCCGCTATCCACAAAATCCAGTTAATTCAAAACCGATACTCACCCGCACTAAACTCCATCCCCCCATCACACCAGGTCTAGCCAGACTCCACTGACCCCCTATTACCGAACGGATCGATTTCAAGATCCTTGCACTCGTCTTCAAATCCCTTGAGGCCTCAACTACTCTTCCCAGTAACCCATTGTTAATTATACTCTGCATTACAGAAAACAACAACAACAACTTGCCTTTACACAGCGCTCTTCCCGAAGGGCAATGTATCAAACCCGCTTAACAATGGCAGAACCTGATCCCGAGGGTGGGGGGAGGGAGGAGATAACTGTAAGCACGGTTGAAAAGGGAGGTCTTAAGTTGTGTTCTAAAAAAGGGGAAAGAGGTGGCACGGAGGAGGGATTGGGGAAGAGAGTTCCAAAGCTTCTGAACGTAATGGCTGAAGCACAGCTGCTGATGGTGGGGCGGAGGGGATGAGAGACAAGCAGGAGGCCAGAAGACTGACTCAATGTCGATATTCCAGAAATTCCTTTCCCCCTACCTCCTCTTCCTCCTTTCCTCCCCCTCCTCTTAACCCACTCCCCTCCCCGGAGGATGTGTGTGAAAACCTTGTACTTACTTATCACTCCAAGATCCGTTCCACTCTGCATTTCCCCACGGGTTCCTCACTCGAACCAGTTGCTCTTTTTGATTCTTGGTCAACACCTACAGTGACCAATAATAATAATAATAATCCTTGCATTTAATATAGCACCCTATCACATCTTTGAGACATCTCAAAGCGCTTCACTGTAAAGTGGATTGACTGTGTTTTGTGGGCAGGAGGGGAGTGGGATTTGAGTGGAGGGTTGGAGGCAGACGAGAAGCGAAGCCAGCCCAATGGATTTATCAACTTTCTTTACCTCCTTGATGCCTGTGACAGTGTAAGCATGGGTCAGCAACAGCCCGTTGGGTAATTTAAACTCAAGTTTCTGTTGTGGAAAGAGTACAGAGTCAAAGGTTAATAGGTTCAATGAAAAATAATCACAAAAATAATTTTCGAATTTCATGCAGCATACTTTGGATGAGACATTAAACTGACCGAGTGACCACATTTTGTTTTGAGGGATTATGACCCCCGAAAGCGATGCGCCAATTGACCAACAAACGATTTTCTACTTACAGCTAGGTAAGAGGAGTAAGAAAACTTGCCTAAGGTTTCGCCACGCCCAGGAATCGAACCCGGGTCCTCTCGCTTGTGAGGCGAGCGCGCTAACTACTACTACGCTACAGAACTCCAAACTCCAGATATGATATGGCCTGATCAGATTTTACTAGAAATTGTGACTGATCTCTGGAATAATGACCCCGGATGGAGTGCTGCAGCCCATGAACAGCCGTTGATTGTCAGCTTTCTGCATCCACTGCCAGAGGTTGTCGGGTGCTTTTGCCAGTTCGATATCGATCAGTATTCCTCCCGTGAAGTCCACCAGCGCCTCCGAAATTTGCCCCATGTGCAGATCTGCATATGATCCTTGGAGCCTAGAACATGCATGAGGCCTTGGTTAATTTCTCGGGAACTCTTCCCCCATCATCCCACCCACTCCCACTGGTGTCAGCCTGGCCTTTTGGTGACTCAGTCTCTCTTGTCACTCAATCAGGGTTCAAGCCCCAAATCTGAGCTCACAGTCTAAACTCATGCTCTGATACTATGCTGGGGGTGAGTGCTGCATTGTCAGAGGTCCCGTACTTGAGATGAAATGTTAGATTGAGGTCCCATCTGTGTGCTGTTATGGTTAAATAATAATGCTAATACTTGCATTTGATATAACACCTTATAACGTTGTTAAGAGGTTTCAAAGCCCTTCACAGGATATCATAGAATCATAGAATATTACAGCACAGAAGGAGGCGATTCGGCTCATCATGCCTGTGCCGGCTCTTTGGAAGAGCTACCCAATCAGTCCCACTCCCCCGCTCTTTCCCCATATCCTTACAAATTTTTCCTCTTCAAGTACCTATCTAATTCATTTTGAAAGTTGTATTGAATCTCTTTCCTCCACCCTTTCAGGCGGTCCATCCTAGATCGTAACAACTGTGTAAAAAGAATTTTCTTCATCTCCCCTCTGGTTCATTTGCCAATAATCTTAAATCTATGTCCCCTGGTTACCAATCCACTTGCCAGTGGAAACAGTTTCTCCTTTATCTACTCTATCAATAACCCTCATAATTTTGAACATTTCAATTAAATCTCCCCGTAACCTTCTCTGCTCTAAGGAGAACAATTCCAGATTCTCTAGTCTCCCCACATAACTGATACCATTCTGGTAATTCTTCTCTGCACTCTCTCCAAGACCTTGATAGCTTTCCTAAAGTATGGTGCCCAGAATTGTGCTCCAGCTGAGGCCGAACTCAGTGACTTATAAAGGTTTAGCAGAACTTCCTTGCTTTTGTACTCTATACCTCTACTTATAAAGCGAACTATCCCATATGGTTTTTTAACAGCTCTAACAATCTGTCTTGCCACCTTTGGATTTGAACGTAAGACAAAGGCTGGATTCAGTCCTTACTTGGCATAGGCTTTCTCTAGCAGTGCACACCAGAACTCGTTCTTGTCACTTGAGTGGACAAAAATCAGATTACCCCTCTCATCGGTCGGAAGCTGATCATCAACCACAACATCAGTCCAGTCCCCGAAATGCCAAAACTGGAAGAGAGAGACGGAGATTGTGATCAGAGATGGTACATCCAACTCCTCTCCTCACACCATTCGCTCGGCCGAATCAGGCCTCCTGCATGTCCCTTGACCCCCTCCACTCCCCTATCGGTGGCCATGCTTCCAGTCACTATGTCCCGAAACCCTGGAACTAAATTTGTTCACTCAAACCACTATTTGTGGGACACTGCTGTATGCAATTGGCTGCTGCGTTTCGCCCACAAAATATACAGTCAATTCACTTCACAGTATATTCTGTGAAGTGCTTATCAACTACGTAGTAAGAGGCTATACTGAAAGCAAGGATTATTATAGGATTATTATTAGAATTCTTTGCATCAATCCCTCCATCTCACCATCTCCCCCCTCTGCCACCTTGTCCTCTTGGATCTCTTTGCCACGTTCAACACAGTCGACCACTCCATCCTCCTCCATCGGTTATCCTCCCTCATCTATCTTAGTGGGACTGCACTCGTATGATTCGAGTCCTACATAGTTCGCCTCCATTTCATCTCAGCAAATGGTTCTCCTCCCGCCCCCGCCCGGTCACCTGCTCCATTCTTGGCCCTCTTTTTTTCCTTATCTATATGCTTCCACTGAACAATATCATCCGCAGACAAGGGGTAAACTTCCACATGCATGCTGATAACACACAAATCTACTTTGCCTCCTCCAGTACCAAGTCCATGTCCACCGATGTTCTATCAGCTTGTCTGGCAGACATCAAGGCCTGGCTGAGTTTAAACTTCCTGCAGCTGAATATGGGCAAGATGGAAGCCGTACTCCTTGGCTCCCATCAACGTCTTCACTCCTGTGGATCTAAACTCCTCAACCTTCCTGGGCTCTCCCTCAGACTCACCAATCCAGAAGGCATACGACAAGGTGCCACATAAAAGGCTGTTGCATAAGATTAGAGCCCATGGAATTAAAGGCAATATATTAGCATGGATTGGAGAGTGGCTAACAGGAATAAAACAGCGTAGGGATAAACGGGTCCTTCTCAGATTGGCAGGATGTAACTGGTGGAGTGCCACAAGGATCAGTGCTTGTGCCTCAATTATTTACAGTCTATATCAATGATTTAGATGAGGAAATAGAACTTAACATATCTAAATTCACGGATGATATGAAGATAGGTGGGAGAGTAAGCTGTGAGGATGACACATGAAGAATGCAAAGGGAAATAGACAGGCTAGGTGAGTGGGCAAGAAGGTGGCAGATAGAGTATAACGTGGGGAAGTATGAAGTTCTTCACCTAGGCAGTAAAAATAGAAAAGCAGATTATTTTCTAGAGGGAGAGAGACTAGGTGGTGTTAGTGTTCAGAGGGATTTGGGTGTCCTTGTATACCAGTCACAAAAAGTTAGTATGCAGATACAGCAAGCAACTAGGAAGGCTAATGCTATGTTGGCATTCGTTGCAAAAGAGTTAGAATACAAGAGTAGGGAAGTCTTGCTGCAGTTGTATAAGACCTTGGTGAGACCGCACCTAGAATATTGTATGCAGTTTTGGTCTCCTTATTTAAGAAAGGACAAACTCGCCTTAGAGCAGGTGTAGCGTAGATTCACTAGGTTGGTTCCTGGGATGAGGGGGTTGACCTATGAGGAGAGGTTGAGTGCACTAGGCCTATATTCTCTAGAATATAGAAGAATTAGAGGTGATCTTATAGAAACCTATAAGATTCTTAAGGGTCGTGACAGGATAGATGCTGGGAAACTGTTTCCGCCGGTTAGAGAATCTAAAACTAGGGGTCATAATCTCAAGATTAAGGGTCAGCCTTTTCGAACTGAGTTGAGGAAACATTTCTTCACTCAGAGGGTAGTGAATTTGTGGAATTCTCTACCCCAGAAGGCTGTGGATGCTCAGTCCTTGAACATATTCAAGACTGAGGTTGATAGATTGCTAAAGGATAGAGGGATTAAGGGATATGGGGATAGGGCAGGTAAAAGGAATTAGGTTAGAAGATCAGCCATGATCATACTAAATGGCGGGGCAGGCTTGAGGTGCTGAATGGCCCACTCCTGCTCCTATGTCTTATGGTTATGGCAACCTAGGCATCCGGTTCAACCCACAACTGTCCTTCCTTCCCCACATCTGGTCCCTGACCAGGACCGCTTTCTTCCACTGATCCTTGTGGCACTCCACATTGCCTGCTTCCGACCGTACCTTACCCCAAATGCAGCCGAAACCCTCATGCGTGTGTTTGTCACCTCCCGCCTGTTAGTATGATCATGGCTGATCTTCTAACCTAATTCCTTTTACCCGCCCTATCCCCATATCCCTTAATCCCTCTATCCTTTAGCAATCTATCAACCTCAGTCTTGAATATGTTCAAGGACTGAGCATCCACAGCCTTGGAGTCCTGTAGCTCAGTGGTTAGAGCACTCGCTTTGCAAGCGAGAGACCTGAGTTCAACTCCAGGCAGGGCGAAACCTTGGGCAAGTTTCCTTACTCCACACGCCTAATAATAATCCCTCCAAAACCAATAATAAATTGGTCATTTTCAATCTACGACTGTTTGTGGGACATTGCTGTGCGCAATTGGCTGCCGTGTTCGCCCACAAATATACAGTCAGTTCACTTTACAGTATATTCTGTGAAGCGCTTTGGGTCGTCCTCCCGACGTGAAAAGTGCTATATCAAATGCCAGGATTATTATTATTATTTTATTATTATTATTACTCCAACGTGCTTCTCGACAGTCTCCCCACCTCCACCATTCAAAAGATCCAGCTCATTCAAAACTCTGCTGCTCGCATACTGACGCGAACCAAACTCCGTACCCCCATCTCACCAGTTCTGGCCAGGTTTCACTGGCTCCCCATCACCGAACGGATCGGCTTCAAGATCCTCACTCTCGTGTTCAAATCCATTCACTCCCTGGCACCTCCCTACCTCTCCGCCCTCCTCACTCCCCACTCCACCACCCGGCGCCTCTGCTTGACTGGCACCGGGCTTCTGCTCATCCCTCACACCCTCCGCACCACCATCGGAGGTCGTGCTTTCAGCCACTACACCCCAAAACTCTGGAACACTCTCTCTCAATCCCTCTGCCTTGCCCCCTCTCTCCCCTCTTTCAAGTTCCGCCTGAAGACTTTCCTGTTCGACAGTACTTACAGCCACCTCCCCCTTCCCCCGGCTCGGAGTCAGGCTCTGCCACTGTTAAGCGCTCTGAGACGCTACCCTGTGTGGAGGGTGCTACATAAGTGCAAATTGTTGTTGCTATTGTTGATACAGGCCAGTGTCCCCACACCTCTTACAGAACACCATCCTAATAAAATTTAATTTGGTTTTGGTCAACTGGGCGTCTGACACAAACGGAAAACCCATCATCCAAACCAGACTGAGAGTTTCATGTATGTTACCTTCACATAGAAATTCCCATCTCTGGTACGGAGTGCAACTCTCTCCAGGGTAGGTCACACCCTGCTTACCTCACTCCAGAGAGTGTTACTAATAATCCTTGCTATCGGGACTAATATTTGACATAGAGCCTGATCAAGTCATTGAGCCGTCTCAAAGCGCTTCACAGAACTTACTGTAAACTGGGTGAAATGTGGCCAATTGTGTACAGCAGTGTCTCACAAACATTGAATTGAACCCGGGACCTTTTGCTTGCGAGCAAGCGCTCTAACCAATACGCAACGGGTCTCCATAAGGCACAAGTTGGCCAGAGCCAAGGTTTGGGGCATCCCAGAGTGTGCATTGGGTCCTCTGCTGGAGTCCAACCAGCTAAAACCATTTGCCATGAAAGGCATTTACATAGCCAGCAATGCTCCAGATAAAAGTTGTTGCATTGCGCAAATTAGTTTGCCTACAAATAAACAGTCACTACACCTTACAGCATATAGTGTAAAGCAATCTGAAATTTTTTCCTGCCGTGAAAGTCACTGTATCAAATGTAAAGATTATTATTATTATCTTTTTTTTAGTTTCTAAAAAGAAATCTATGGGAAACCGACTTCAAAAAATGTAAGATTTGTTTAAGAATCTGCCAAATTCTGGCCTCTCTTAAGAACTACATAAATAGTTTAAATGTAAATACATATCAAATTTCTCCCTACCAAGCCCGCCCACCCCCACCCCTTGCCCATGAGAGCAAGCCTGAATCTACATCATAATAATCCTTGCATTTAATACAGCGCCTTACCAGATCATTAAAAATGTCAACAAACCCTAAGGGAATAAAAGCTTCCAAATGTGTCAGGGTGACACCTGAATCATTTGAATGTTGTACAAAAAAATAGGTGGAGTCCTTTAACCTTTGCAGAATTAGTTTCCACCTGAAGCAGAATTAAATGAATGTTCGAAGTTTCATAAGCCCCATGGCACTTGTTCAACAACGTTCACCTCCATTCCCTTCTCTCCCTTTATCCGTTTATTCCCATCGCTCAGAACAACATGGCTTTGAGGCCCACGTCAGGACTTTGAACTCTCAGCCAAGAGAGGTGGAGCACTGCATTATTGGAGGTGCCATCTTTCTGAACGGATGTTTAACCGAGGTCCTCTCTGTCTGTTCAGGGGCACATTAAAGATTCCATCACGCTAAAACAAAATAAGGAGTTTCTCCCTTTCTCCTGCCGATCCCCCCACCAACTCACAAACACCATCCCTCCCCCACTAACCCAACCCCCACCACCGACAACCCCCAACCCAGCCACTAACGCACCCCACCTTGAGGATGTCTCAAAGAGCTTCACGGTGCTTGGCTGGTTACTGAGCCTGATCAATGTTCATCCTGACTGTCCCCAGTGCAGACCTCTGTGAGGACCATCCCTGACTGTTCTGTCTCTAGTGCAGAGCTCTATGAGCATCACCCTGACTGTTACCAGTGCAGGGTTCTGTGAGGATCACCCCTGAGTGGCCCCAGTGCGGAGCTCTGTGAGGATCCTGATCAATAAGCCACTGATACTGACCCGGAAATGGAAGATTCCACAGTAATTTTGTTGACAACTTTGATTGGATGGAACCACTTGTGAAAACATGTTCTCGTTCATCGTCAATGCTCCTAGAGCAGCCAGGAACCAGCAATCTCCTGAAAAAGAGGGAGATAACAACATTTATTTAGCACCCCTCATGCAGGAGAGAGAGAGAGTGAGGGGGGGGGGGGGTGAGGAGGAAGAGAGAGAGGGGGTGAGAGAGAGATGGGGGGAGAGAGAGAGAGAGGTGGGGAGTGTAGGGAGAGAGAAAGAGAGAGAGAGCGATAAAGGGGGAGAGAGAAAGAGATGGAGGAGGAAAGAAAGAGAGAAGAAGAGTCTTGAGATATCCCTTGAAGGAGACAAGCAAGTGAGGGAGTGAGGTGAAGGGACTGTGAGATGGAATTCTAAAGGATGGAGGCAGAGAGGCTGAAAGCCCGACTGCCAATGGTGTGGCGGGAAGGGCGAGGTTTATGGAGCAGCCCAGAGCCTGCTGAGTGGGGGAGCAGTCTGCAGGCGTTTACTCCACACGGGATTCGCTTTGCGTGGGGTGGGGGAGGTAGAGGGGGGTCTACCTCGGGCCTGAGCTGCCAGAGGGGGCACGTATGACAATGGAATGTCAGTATTAAGCTGAATTTATTTAACTGATCGCTGAGGCCAGGACCCAGGGCCTCAAGGAGACGCAAAACAGAGAATGATAATAATAATCCTTGCATTTAATATAGCGCCTTATCAGGTTGTTGTGACATATCAAAGTGGTTCACAGGATACACTGTAAAATGCAGCTACTGTGTATTTTGTGGGCGAAACACACCATCCCAATTGTGCACAGCAATGTCCCACAAACAGCTATGGAGTGATAGACCAAGAGAGAAACTCCCATCTCTTTTCCAATACTACCACGGTATCTTCAACATGCTTTTTAAATGTTTTTAAAATGTCAGAGACCAGGCTCCATTGGCTCCCCATTCCCCAATGGATTGAATTCAAGATCCTCTTCCTTGCCTTTAACTGCCTCATGGTCTTGCTCCAACACTACTGCTGCTACCTCCTCAAACCGTACAGACCCAGCCTCTCCTTTCTTTGCTCAGTGAGCTTCGTGTCCAACACCCTGTCCCCAACCACCAGACTTTTAGCTATTCTATCCCAGCTCTCTGGAATTCCATCCTGGAGTCCCTTTCACACCTTCCCTCACCTCGTTCAAGGTATGGCTCCAAACGTACTTCTTTGACTGTGCCTTTGGTCATTTTCCCTTTCTCCCCCACGCCCCTGGCCCCCACCCCCAGCTCGGTTGCCCAGCCAGAATTCTAAGCACTTTGGGAGGTGAAAGACGCTGTATTAATGTAAATTGTATTATATTGAAACATCTTTCTTGGTGTGGTGGAGAACCCGATTTTCAAACGCAAACCAGGCCGTGAGGTTCCTGGGTTTATTGGAATGAAAATGGAGCATTATCTCTCCATTAGCCCCACCCCCTTCAGATTCCCCTCCATCAAAGCGCATTGAGACATCTAGAAGACATGAAAAGCGCTATATCAAATGCAAGGATTATTATTATTATCTTTCAGGAGTGGGGTCTAAAGAATTGTAAGGCTTACAAAATAAACCTATCCAAATCTAAAGTGAGGGCGTTGGCCCTTTAAGATGCCAGTAATATTGGTAGATTGAAAACTTCGCAATTAACACTTGTGAACTTGGTAGCAATTAGGTAAATCTTCTTTAATCACAGTCTAATTGTGTCTCAAACTGGAACAATGATTTCCCGTATTACATCGCTCATTCCCACCTAGAGGTCCCGAGGCTCTGATCACAAATGATACATTCCCCCACCTCGATCCGAGACTTAGTCATCTTCTTTGAAGCCCCTGGGGCTGATTCAATCAATTTTTTTTAAAAATCCTTGCATTTGAAATAGCAAATGCATGAGACATGTCGTCGAGACGTCTCAAAGCGCTTCACTGAATGTACTGTAAAATAGATTGTTTATTTTGTGGACAAAACACGGCAGCCAATTGTGCACAGCAGTGTCCCGCAAACAGCTGTGGATTCAGTCACCAAATTATTTCTTCTTGTTTTGCGGTGTAGGGATCATCCTCGATGCTCTCTTCTGTTCTGCAGGGTGTCACGGTGACTGGTCTGCGAGCAGTTTTCGGGGTGGGGTCTGACCAGCTCTGGATGGCCTGAGTGCCACGGGGTCTTTAAAGTCCACCTGAATGGGCAGACCTTGGACAACCCCGGGCTTCATTTTACAACCGAGTTCGAAGAAAGTCTGTGCGGAACAAGTCTTCAAAATTAAGACTGGATTTAAGAATTGTCTAAACTCTGCACACTGTGCAATGCTAAAAGAAATCCGAGTCTCAAAACCAGGTGGTCTATTTCCCCCTCCTCACCTTCTCCTCCCCCCACCCACAAGATCTTACCTACTCGTCCCTGGCAAAGATCAAAGCGACTGACTCCTTCCACATAAAACTGAGGATTTGGATGGATTTCCTGCAAAAGGAGAAAAGAAAATGGCTGAATCCCGAGAAGATGGGTCATAGTCCAAAGGTTAACATTGATGACCCCCCTTTCCCGACCCCCCCCACAACCCCATTCCCAAACACCTGCAAGAGAGGTTCCTGTAAAGGCTTTCCCAGTGTTACATGGATAAGCTGTGGATGAGTAACCAAATTTTTTTTTTGGGGGGGATGGAGGGATTATTATTCTGGAAAGCGATCTAACAATCGATTAACAACTGTGTTCCTACTTACTGCTAGGTAAGCAGATGTGTGGAGTAAGGACATTTGCCTAAGGTTTTCCCCCACTGGGAATTGATGGGAATAATGGGAGCATCGTGCATCAGCCTGACTCATCCGATAATACTCTCACCTCCGATTCGGAAGGTTGTGGCTTCAGGCACATGTCAACCTTTTCAACTCACACTGGTGTGTTGTATTACCAGAGGTGCCGTCTTCTTGAATGAGAGGTTAAACCAAGATCTTCTCTCCCTGTTCAAGTGGATGTTAAAGATCCCATGGCACTACTTAAAAAGTGAAGGGAATTTCTCCGAGCTGGAGTCCTGTAGCTCAGTGGTTAGAGCACTCGCTTTGCAAGCGAGAGACCTGAGTTCAATTCCAGGCAGAGGGCGAAACCTTGGGCAAGTTTCCTTACTCCACACACCTAATAATAATCCCTCCAAAACCAAAAACAATAATAAATTGGTCATTTTCAATCTACGACTGTTTGTGGGACACTGCTGTCCGCAATTGGCTGCCGCGTTCGCCCACAAATATACAGTCAATTCACTTTACAGTGTGTTCTGTGAAGCGCTTTGGGACGTCCTCCCGACGTGAAAAGCGCTATATCAAATGCAAGGATTATTATTATTATTATTATGCTAACAAACACACAGTCACTACACCTCATTGCACTACATTATATCTTCTGAAGCACTTTCCAGCGTTCTCCTAACATGAAAGGCGTTGTATCATGCGTATTATTATTATTATAATAACACTCCATTCGTGGCCTGACCACAGCTGGACTCAGTAATAAGAATAATCCTTGCATTTGTTATAGCGCTTATCACGTCATTGAGACATCTCAAAGCGCTTCACAGGACACAGAGTAAAGTAGATTGATTGTGCATTTTGTGTGCAAAACGCGGCAGCCAATTGCGCACAGCAGTGTCCCACAAACAGTTGTGGACCGGGACTGGTCGGAACTGGGACGGGATGGGACTGGGTCAGTAGCTTTGTATTTTGCCAGGGATGAGTAGGTAAGATCTTGTGGGTGGGGGGAGTAATCAAATTCGCTCTACAGAGACTGGCCTCCTCCTTGTCCCCCGAGTCCTCCGCTTCACCATCGGCGGCCGTGCCTTCAGCCACTATGCCCCGAGGCTTTGGAACTCCCTTCCTCACTCCCTTCGCCTCGACCCCTCTCTTCCCACTTTCAAGTCTCGGCTGAAGACCTTTTGGTTGGTCACCTTCCCCCCCCCCCTCCCTCTGGCTCGGTCCCGGGATCCGTTACTGTAAAGCGTTCTGAGACGCAGTCCGGCGTGGAGGGCGCTATATAAATCCAAGTTGTTGATGTTGGATTGAGTGACCAAATTATTATTATTATTGCTATTATTTTTGAAAGGATTATTACCCCCAGGAATTGAACCTCTCGCTTGCGAGGCCGGTGTCCTAACCACTATGCTACGGGACTCCAGTATTCCAGTTGTGACCGTTTGGAGTCCTGTAGCTCAGTGGTTAGAGCACTCGCTTTGCAAGCGAGAGACCTGAGTTCAATTCCAGGCCGAGCGAAACCTTGGCCAAGTTTCCTTACTCCACACACCTAATAATAATCCCTCCAAAACCAAAAACAATAATAAATTGGTAATTTTCAATCCACAACTATTTGTGGGACATTGCTGTGCGGAATTGGCTGCCGCGTTCGCCCACAAATATACAGTCAATTCACTTTACAGTGTGTTCTGTGAAGCGCTTTGGGACTTCCTCCTGACGTGAAAAGCGCTATATCAAATGCAAGGATTATTATTATTATTATTATTGATCGTTTGATCTTAACATTTTAGGATCTGAAATCATTTTAGGATCTGAGCCAAGCATCTTGTTTTTTTGTTTATTCATGCTCATGCTACTGTGATTGGTGAGCAATGAGTCAACTAACACGTCTATATCTTTTCCCGCTTCCTGCATGACAAGTTCTAACCTGTTCATATTATGAAAGAAAAGTAATCCTTACATTTTATACAGCGCCTCTAATATCAAGAACATGTCAAAAATATTTCACAAAATGCATTTGTAAGTGAACACGGCATCCAGTTTTACATCCAGTAAACAGTTGTAGATTGAGCAATCAGATTAACTGGAACATTTATCATAATGATATAATAATCCCTGGATAACACTTTATCACGTCAGCAAGTCTACTCAATACACTTCACCAGATTTAATGTAAAGTTTTTTTGGTTAGCCCAGATGTCTAACACATACAACACAATACAAAATTACATTTGGATAGTGCCTTTTACGTCGGGAGGATGTCCCAAGGCGTACTGGAAACACTGTATTATTATTATTATTTCTCCCCTTCCCGGGAGCGGAGTCAGGAGAGCGCAGGGCGTAGCCGAGCCGAGGCCTTGCTGTGTATAAAGCTGTGTATAAAGCACAGCCAGGTGAGGAGCCACTCAGTCGGGAGGCAGGAGCTGAGGTAAGTGACGGGATGGGGTGGACGCCATTCACAAAGTGACATTGGGAGTGACGTCACAGTTAAAAAACAGAAACAACAACAACAACAACAACAACGGTCTGGCAGCCGCTGCCACTGCCATCCCGGCCATGACCTGGGAGGCTGAGCCTGAGGGCTGATGCCGTCCCGCTGATCGCTTGCTCCCGGTCTCTGCGTGCGCGTCTTGGCTGCCGCCCCGACCCTCCGCCTCCACTTTCACTCTAAATGTCTCTCCTTCCAACCCCCTCTATCCGCTACTCCCCCTCTGTCATTCTCTCCCACCGCCCTCCCCACCTTCTCTCTCTCCTCGACCCCATCACCACTTCCCTCTGCTCCAGCCTGGGCATCCTCCGCCGGACCCACCGTGGCTCCCGGCACTCGCTGTCCCAGACCAGCAACCCCACATGTCCCATCATTCACTCCCTCTGCTCAAACCGCCTCCTTAAGGCAAACCCAACTTCCCCCTTCCTCATACGTACCCTCCCCAACTCTCCACTCGCACCACTCTCTACAACCCTCTCTCTCGTACACCCGAAAATCCTCTCGCATCACTCTCTCCTCCCTCCAGCAAACCCATCCGTATTTCCCTCCAAAAAGTCTGTTCCCTCTCAAATAAAGCCCTCACCATCCACGACCTCATCCTGGATGAGCACTTTGGCATTCTTGGGCTCACCGAAACCTGGCTTTCCCCCAATGACCCCATCCCCCTAGTGGAAGCCTCCCTTCCACCACACCCCCCATCCAAACCAGCGTGGCTGCGGGGTGGTCCTCATTTCCAAAGCCTCCCTTGGTCTTAGCCCCTACTCCTCTGGCTGCTTCCCCTCCTTCGAGCACCTTATCCTCTTCCATCCCTCTCTCCCATTGAAAATCCTCCTTGTCTACTGCCCCCCCCTAAGCCCCCCGGCTCCTTCCACACAGACATCTCTCCTCTCTTCCCTGTCCCTCTGTTCTGAGCGCCTGCTCATAATGAGCGATTTCAACCTCCACCTAAACTCCCCTTGCGATACTTCTGCCGACTTCACTGCCCTCCTCTCCTCCCTAAACCTCACCCTTCATATAAATTCACCGCCCACAGCCATGGTCATGCCCTTGATCTCGTTATCTCCCATGGCCTTGACATTTCCGACCTCAGCATAGTGGACAAGGCCATTTCGGAGCAGTTCCTCATCTCCTTCTCCTCTCACAACCCTCTCTCCTCCACCAAGCTCTCAACAATCCTCTACCGGCCATGGAAAAGGCTACCCCCTGAGACCCTCTTAAAGGCCCTCGCATCATCAAACATCTTATCTCTCTGGCCTTCCACCCACGGAGATCCTGAAGCAACCGTCCAGCTACTCCATGATCACCTCTCCTCCACCTTCAACTCCCTCGTCCCCCTTAAATCCAGGACCACCTCCAAACCCACCCGATCCCCCTGGTACAACAACCATCTCCGCTGCCTAAAAACCCAAACCCGGCTGCTCGAACGCAGATGGCGGAAAGCTGGACTGACAGTCCACCGCCAACTGTGGCTCGAGTATCTCCACAGCTACCGCCGTTCTTTGACATGCGCAAAAACGGCCTTGTACGCCAACATCATCTTGGAGGCTAAACACAACCCTAAAATCATTTTTCCACCACCCACTACCTCCTCCGTGGCCCCCTCCGGCCTCCTCAATCTGCATATCAAATGCCAAGTGCGAGGAGGTCATGGACTTCTTTTCATCTAAAATTCACAACATCCGCCAGGCAGCCTCATCCACCTGCCCCTTGTCACCCACCACCACCCCCTCTCTGTCCCTCTCACTCTCCCCATCATCTGCTCCTACCACCACCCCCATTCTACATTCCTTCCTACCCATCTCTCCCTCCTCCCTCTCACCCACTATCACCACCATGAAACCCACCACCTGCTGCCTCGACACCCTCGCCACCAACTTGCTGGTCACCCAGCTCCCTGTCCACTACTGGGTGACGTCATCAACCAGTCATCTCCCCGGGATCAGTCCCTGCCCCCCTCAAAACTGCTGTCATCACCCACCTTCTCAAAAAACCTTCCCTAGATTCCTCAAACCCCAGCCACTACCGCCCTATTTCTAACCTGCCCTTCCTCACAAAAGTCCTAAAACCCGTTGTTGCCAATCAACTTCGCGCACACCTTTCCTCCCACTCCCTCTTCGAACCCCTCCAGTCCGGTTTCCGCCCTGCCCACAGTACAGAGACTGCGCTTGTGAAAGTCACAAACGACATCCTCTCTATCTGTGACCAGAGCTCCCTCTGCCTCCTTGTCCTCCTGG